TAATTAATTTTAAAATACACTAAAAAATCTTTATACTTTGTGCTCTTTCATAAAAAGTAGTATGATAATTAAAAATAAATTAAAAAATAACGTTTATTTTGTTGCATATTTTATTTTGTAAACAACTATTGAGATAAGTGTAAAATATAAAAACTGCAATACTAAATATTTGAATTGCTCTTTTACCTTTTATGTACCGAATTCTTTTATTTAAGCAAAACTTTAATGTGTGGTAATATTGCTATATACTGTGGTAATTTCTTTATTTAACCTCCTTTTTTTCAATTGTAGTTTTGTCTTGTTTGAAAGTGAAACCCTTATATTTAAATCAAAGTGCACAGTTATGATAACTATTTAAAAATAGAAATTTTTACATCTTATACGATGATTCTATCTCAACAGCGTATGCATCAACAACATAATCATGCATCCTCTCTTTTGTTAAACCTAGAAGAGCATCTTTTTCCAGCATCAGCCAAGTATTACCCAGATCTCTGGCAGGAACAAAAAGGAGCTTAGCGAGACGCCTGATCCACATTCTTGATTTCTCATCGTTTCTGTAAGAGGTCACTAGTCCCAAATTTCGCACCTATAAGAAATTAATTATGTGATTATTTTAACACATACTTATTGAGAATCAATTAATGCAAATCAGGACCAGCTCAAACACCCCAATTCTCCAAGGGGAAATTAGTATATACACACATATATATATGGCTATCTTAAGGCCATTATGGTGAAGGGTTTCTTAAAAAATAACTTTTCTTTGGGAAGGAAAAAAGTATTTCTCTTTGATCACATAGAGCGAACATCAAATATTGATGACGACAGTATTATGCTAGATGATTTTGCCACTTAATTTGAAAATTATTGATCAACAAAATAGATTTTTTTTTGTGTGTGCAAGGGGTGAGAAACGCGTCTTACACGTTTAAAAAAATGCTTTTCAAAATCATGCATTAATATTGAGTTTGAAGCGATTGAATCATTTATGTGCATAGTGCCGAGTAACTGTTTCCACAAAGTCTGTGTTGCCCAAAAGAAATTCCCGTCTGGCTGTGTTCTTATGAGCTCATTCTAGGGGTTTTGGGCATAAATTTATACAAAATTAGAAATATAAAATATTTTATTGAACTGTTTCATTTACTTTGTTTCAAATACTCTGTGCAAAATGAAAGTAACACCATTTAATTGCTATGTTCCCAAAGATATTATTTAGGACATTAATTGTCTCCTTCTCAAAATCCAGCAAACAAGTTTCAGGTGCATAACTGAGGCCAGCATTTGAAGCTTTGAGCACAAGGTGGTGGAACAGGACCATATGTAACCTTTTGCTTCTCCTGAAATAGGCATGGCATAGATGGTATTACAATTTTGAATGGATCGTATTTACTTCACAATTAAATTAGTTTTCTCTTCAATTAACTTTAATGTATGAGTTTTATCACCACAATTGAATTAAATTTCTTCCTCATCAAGGAATTACATGCTCGGGTAAGGATAATCTCCTATGTTGTTTTCTATCTTTCAATACATCTTCCATAGGGAATAATGAATAAAGAATAAAACAAACTAAGCAAAGCATTTCTTACTCGTAAAAAGCAGCTGTGTTCTATCCGCGGATGCCAGATATTCCAATTTTGCACTTCGAATCATAGTTAAGGATGTCATTGTTCTTGATTATTTCATAAACAACTTACAGCACACGAAGAGATTTATTTTACAGTTCTATTTACAAAAATATGAAATACTAGATGAAACTCGAAATACTCAAAGATAGAAATTGATGTAAACATAAATAAATATATTGATGCCCAAAAATAAATAAATATAAACTCAAAGCCATTTTGTTTCTTCTCCACAAAAAAGAACGAACAAGCTCTAAAAAAAGTAGAAAACTGTTACTATAGCAACTTAATTTTATGAGATGGATCAAAATTAAAAATTAAGTAGACGATTATTCTCAACAGAAACTATTTAAAAGGATGATAGCACGAATTCTCAAGCCGCTAATAGGAAACTTTGAAATTTGAATTGGAAGAAATACATGATTCCTCGGTTAAAGTGTAGAATCGGGAGCCCCTCTGATATTTGGTGATTTGAAAACATACCTATGTATATGCAATACAAACTATGTATATACAAAATAAACCAAGAACCTATCATGTAACGGTAAATAGAAATTGTGGTATTTAAAAGCAGAGACAGCAAGAAAAAATATCATGGTAACCAAAAAGTGAGTTTCAAAATTTCGCAATTGAAATTTGTCCCCAAACCGAGGGCCCCCGATTCTACACTTTAAACAATTTCTCAACCATTTATGGGATAAATTGGAAGATAATATCTCATTCATCTGCTTGGTGATGGGAAAGATTTAGGGAACGAATAGTGAGAATGAAGAAAGAAATGTTGTGAAGAATTCTCAGTATTGCATCTCTTTCACAGGGAAGAACTAAATACTATTCTTTTCGATTGCGAAGCAATCGTAAACTCAAGGTCTTTGACATATATGTTCGATGAAGATAGCTTAATATCATTAACGCCAATCATATTTTTAAATAGTTCGGTTTTGTCAAGTAATGCAGATGTTGCAGAGTTAAACAAAATCGATGGCAAAACCTTAAACAATAGACATAAATATTTACAGAACATCCGAGAAAACTTAAAACGACTGTTCAAAACAGAATACCTGGCTCAAATTATACATCGTGATAAAAAAACCAAATAACAGTTTAAAACACGGAGGAGTCAAGGATAAACATCAAGACAATAAGAGTTATATTTGTTCAAAGATGGCATTTCTTGAGTTGCGAATTTAAAGAAACAGATTTGTTTAATCTGAAGTCTGCAATCCCTGTCCCAAAAGAAATACAGGGAAATATTACGAGTATTATATTTTATGGTAGAAAGATTAAAAAAAAAAAACAAATTAACAGCAAAAACGGCATCAATTGATGTTTGTCCTCTTGTCGTGCAGTGTACTGGATTGCTTTGCAATTTCAGCCCATAATCGTTTCTAAAGACCTCACATTATTCTTTTCTTTCTTCAATATTCATGCTGTTAAGGCAATAGTTATGAATAAGTTGGGGAGATTTTCGTATCTGTGACAGAATTATCGCCAATTCTGGGCAACTTCCGGGCAATGGACCTAGGGAAACTAAATAAAAAAAAATAGAAAAAAAATAGAAAAGAAAAAAAAGGGAGAAAAAAAATAGAAAAGAAAAAAAAGAAGAAGAAAAAACATCACAGAAAGCGACAAATTCGTAACCACCCGCGGGCAAACATCTACTACATATTTTTTTTTTCAACAATATAGTACAAGTTTAAAATCGCTTTGGCGGTTGAAGTTGGTGCGACAGATCACGACGCGGAAATATCCCCGATAAGTTCACCATAAAAAAACATAAAAATTCATTAAATTAATTATATGGAACCGCGATGTCTCAGGGGATAGAGTGTTCGCCTTCCAATGAGGCAAACCGGGTTCGAATCCCAGTCGATACTAATTCCGCATCAGGCTTGCACCAACCACAGTGCTGACGTGAAATATCCTCAGAGGAAGACGGATCATGGGCTAGAGTTCCCTTGCCGTCAGGCTAACCATGGGAGGTTATCGTGGTCTCCTTCTCCATGTAACGCAAATGCGGGCTCATTCCATCAAAACGTCCTCCACGAAGGCAAATTTCTCCTAATACTTGATCCAGAAGCCCCCTTGTCTTCTAGATTGGGTTCAAAATTACAAGGCTACAGAGTTTAACATCAGTAGTCGTAAGAACATAAAATTGGGTCGGCTGTTCAACGACGGTTATAAAATAAAATAAAATTAATTTTATGTAAAAACAATAGAAATGCACACTGATGAAAACAAAAAGAAATAACTCAGTCTGGAAAATAATCGACACCAAGAAGTTTCAAAATTATCGTTTATTTAATTTTGTTTTACTGTTTTTTTAATTAAAACTTATGTAAGCCTGATTTTGGTAAAACTCTTACAACTCTTTATTTGTGATTGTTTTGAAATTTACTTAGACGATGAAGTTGATCTAGTCCACATTTGTGTGAGCAGGAAAATTCTAGAACACTCATTTTCTCAATGAGTTACAAGCTAAGAAATTAAAAAAAGTAATAATGATCATTTTGCAGACATTTAGCATACAAGTGTCCTTAAGGAACGTTGAATGAAGAATGTATTAATTAAAAAATGTAAAGTCAATCATTTTGAAATTTCATCCTCATACCTCCTTACATTACTTGTGCATTTTAACTTGTACGTTTTAAAATTTTAATATCTCTTAAGAAGGAAAAAAAAGACATTTCTTGGAATTCAGCGTTCCATATATAAATATATGCTGGATGAAATATTTTTCGTAATTCAAAAAAAAAAAAAGAAAGAAAGAAAAGGGAGATCTAGGTGTCATAATTTCTATATTTATATCAACTTTAATGGAGTGTAGAAAAAGAAAATGATAAAAAGGTGGCAAAACATTTTTTTCCCTATCGCATGCCATAAATCTACCAAAATACGAATACATTTTATTTGAATTTAAAATTTCCTCGTATTTGTGAATGGTTATACCTTCTTTTTTTATTTAAACATCTGTTTATCGTCAAGAAACGGAAATTGATTGTATCTGCAGTGGGATTTAATGAGCAAAAGGAATAGGTGACAGAACCCCCTAGTTAGCGATAAAAAAAAGATACTTTTTATCTAGAGAATTCGTAAAAAACGGACAAAATTTGCATTTATCCTTCTTCAACACATTGTAAGCTTGAAATATAATACCACCTAAAACATACGTTTTAAACTACGTTGTGTTAAAAATATTTTTTTATAATCAAACAAATAGAAAAAAAACTCATTATGATACTATTTTATCACATAGTTATTTAAATCATGGACGCAAAAACAAACGCATTGATCGTTAGCGCTGCAAGTCCTATGCCACGCATGCAAACGAGAACGAAATCTAAAAAGTCACGAGGTGAAGAATTAATGATGGCCAATCAATTCATGTTCTAAGAAATCGTTTGCTTTTTATGTTATCGATCAGAAGAGGAGGGCGGCGAAGGACAACAACAGCAGAAAAGAGTTCTATCAACAAGTCACCAAGGGAACCACTGGACCAAACAAAAGCACGTGATTCCTTCAATGCAGTCAAGAATGTTTTTAAGTAGTCGAAGAGAGGCAGAGAGAATGCACCGGAAAGAAATGTTAAAAAGGTAAGTTTTCTTTACAGTTCATAAATTATGCACGGTCGCTTTAAGATCGAAATTCCATTATAATATCGTATCGAACTTCTTAAGAATCTTTCGTTCAAAAGAACAACATTTTAGAGAAAAAGCACAGATTTTAATCTTTTAAAAGGACGCTTTAACACGGGTGAAACTTTTCCAGGCAAATTTTGTTTCACCTCCATTGGTGTTTTAAAATTTTTAAGTTCAGAGGAACGTGAGTTCCGGTAAACCTAGAATTAAGCATGGAGTTTCAAATCCTGAAAAAAAAATTTCAAAATATCAATATGCAAACAAATTACGGCAGAATTACTGCCCCAATGATTAATTAGTATTTTTATTCCATTGGTATTTTAAAATTTAAGGAGAATGAGTTCGTTTAACTTAGAGTAGACCATGAAGTTTCAAACATAGAAAAAATGTTTTTTAAAATATCAATATGCAAGCAAATTATGGCAAGATTAATTTAATCATTGGGGAAGTAATCCTGCCATAATTTGCTTGTATATTGATATTTTGAAAACATTTTTTCAATGTTTGAAACTTTATGGTTTACTCTAAGTTTACCGGAGCTCAATTTCTGAACCTTAAAATACTAATGGAGGTGAAACAGTATTTTCCTGGAAAAGTTTCACCCTCGGTAAAGCGTCCTCTTAAGGGTACAAGGAGCTTGAAAAACATGTTCATGTTCAAACAAGTTTCGCAAAAAAATATTTTTGTCTAAAAAGTTAAGTTACTTTTACATATTGTTAGTGACATTTTTATCAGTAATACAGTTTTTTGAAGATTTTACAACAATTATATTGGAAATTTTAAGCTAATTTTTACTGAAGTTAGATTTTTATTGCTATAAAGTATTGTTTATTTCTATTTTTCGTTTATTTTGCTCGTTGCATCTCAATTTATTTTATTAATTTTCATGAAAGTTGACATAAGTTTTATATTTAAAAGTTACCAGAGATTGTTTTGTTAAAATAATCATTGCAAAACTTTTTGTGATGGTTTAAGTGAATTAAAGCGCATAATTTTGTGGAGGGGGATTGCATGAAAAGTAATTTTTTCCCCTCAAATACAGCGAACGCTAAACAAAAAATGTTATCTGTGTCGATTTACATTCATATTATTCCCCTGTTGATAAAATGTGAAGTTTTTCTGTTGGCATTTTAGACAATTTTTGTATTTTTTGCATCTTTCATATTTTAATACAATTTTGCAGGATTTATCAGTTGCACAGAAAATCCTTTAAACTGTCATAAATTTCAAAACCAAGCCGAATAATTTATAAAATTTACTAAGAAATTTCCTGTCAGTTTATAGATTTAAAAAAAAAATTCTTACATTTTTCACTCTAAAAGCTCCGTGTCACCATAAGATATAAAAAAAGGCATTTCTCTCATCACGTAATTCAAACATTACTGATAGTAATAATGTATTAACGAATTTACATTTTCACAATTATTGTAAAATTATTTTAATTCAAACTCCAAACGATTTTAAAAAACAAAGGATGACATTAAAATACCTGATGATTATTGCGATTCTGAGTGGTAAAACCGGCATTTATGAACTATTTTCAATTCATAACTAGGTTGATGGATATGTATATTTCTTTTTTAGTGTTATTAACTGTTAAAATAACACGATAGTATAAATCACAATATACGGTAGACCAGGGGTTCTCAAATTGTATCAAATATTACGTAAGCATATTTTCGTCTAAGTTGAACTCCCTCTCCCCTCTTTAGCAATAACAGTCAAATCAGTAAGCTTTTTCCATGCTTACATAGGAAAGTGGTAACCCCTTTGGTTTCTGCATTAACTTAGTTTTTTGCTGTATTTATCTAATTTTAGAATTATATTCAAATAAAAGATGTTACTTTGCATAAAACGAAATTTACGCTTTCAATCATTTTATAAACTTTTGAGTAAAATATTCCTTAGAATTTTTTTGTGATTTCCCTCTGCGTTAAAAGCTTTTGACATTTAAAACTCTTTAAAGAAATTTTTCCTCCAATTTTTTTCTTTCTCCAAATTCAACTTTTATAATAAAATTTGAAATTTTCCATGCGTCATTCTTTCATCAATTTTATTTTGCATTTTAAGGAAATTTTGAAATTGGAGACTTTAATGCCTTTACGTAAGCATATCTGAAACCCTTCCAGCATCTTGTCAAAAGCAAGCAAGCGAATCACAATAAAGCAAATCACAACCACCCCCTCATTTAAATGTGAGCATAATATTTGAATGGCCCCTTAAAAAATTTATAACTGATGGAAATTAGTATATTACAGGGACGGGCAAACTTTTTTAGTCGAGGGCCAAAAATCGAGAAAAAAAAAGTTTGGTGGGCCGAGTAAAAACTTCTGATATAAAAATAATAAAAAACGATTTACAAGTTTTAATTCAAATATTTAATGAGATGAATGAAATTGCGATTTAGTTTTCAAGAGTTCCTTATATTGACGTTCGAAGTGAGATGTGCTTATTTTAAGGAACGGGGTTAAATGCTTGTCTGTTAGTCTACTTCTGAAATGATTTTTTCTAAGATTCATAGTTGAAAACACTTGTTCACATGTATAAGATGAAGCAAACATTGCACTGATTTTCTGGGCATGAGATATTAAATTTTGGAAACTAGCTTTTGGTAATGGTTAGCAAAACTCAAACATGTTTAGAAGCAGCAATAGTGTGCAGTCTTTACATAATCAATAAATAATGTTAGAACTCGCACCGGCAGAAAAATCCACTCGTTGCAGCTTAAAATGTGCTGTCTGCCACATGTGAAGCACAATTCATCTATGTTAGATTTCATGTCTGATCCTCCAGAAATACAAACGCTAGTTGGCGCTAATCTGCGTTCTGCGTTCAAAATTTTACCAATTGAAACTGTCTGTGCTAACTATTTCAATCAATTCCACCGATAGAAAAAGTAAAAATGTCATCAGTACTTTGTTAAAAAAGAAAGAAAAAAATAGCTTTAAGCAAAGTAGACAAAATAGTGCATGTATAATGTATCTTGTTTAATTCGCCACGGATCGGCTAGTTAGAATTCTGTCCACGGGCCAGATAAAACCTTCCGACGGGCCACAATTGGCCCGCGAACCGTAATTTGCCCATCCCTGGTATAGTATATAACCACAAGTATATAGTATTTAAATATATTACCATTTATATACTTTATTAAAAGATTATGAAACGGAAGTGAGACTAAATCACAGTGACTATACAACTCATGCTTTCAGAAACCCTCAAAATGATTTTATAATAATTAATAGGCATTGAGAAATAATACTATTGTTATTAATATCAACAAAAAAATTTAGCATCCACATTCGAAGAATTCGTTTCATGCAATGCTCACAACATCATAAATTTTCTAACGGTCGAACAATATTTCTTTTTTGCTCTCTTGAATGATATTTTCTCCTTGTGCTGCTTCGACAGAGAAAACTCTTTCAATTACTCATTCTACAAACACCACATTTCCCCCCTATCCAACCGGCTGTATGGTGGACAGGGAGCTGACATCAAGTCATAGAGGTCCCGGGTGCGAGTAAGGCGTGGATGTTCTTTCCTTTCTTACAGTGTGAGCAACTATGGCTCACTTACTATGGAGCCCTTCAGAAAGTGGTCAACAAATCTGCTCTAATAATACCCATATGACGAAAGTCAAAAACTGGGTGGGCATTGGGAAAAAAAACAATTATTTTCCTTTTAAATAGTAACATTTTACTCTTTAAAGATACCTGTTAGATTTAAAAGGCCTGCAAATCTTTTTCTTTTTTTTTTTTGAGTTACGTGTGTAACTAGAAAAAAAAAGCTTTTTCAAACAAAAATAAGTCGATTAATTGCTGTCTTTCTTTTATTTTTTTAAAATTGTTTAGTAAAAAAAAATATGATGGAGCAAAAAATGACGAGCATTCATCTATAAGTTAATATTGTAATATTTTAAATATAAGTTCATATTTTAAATACGTCCTGATAAAGACAAAAAAAAAGGGAAAAAAGGAGAATAAAAAGACGCGTTCGAATATACAGGTGCTGGATGAAATATACAGGGAATGTATTATTCATGCACCCACTGCTCTTAGCTCAGGAACAAGCAAAAATCATACAGTCACAAGAGTAATGCATTACATTACCACAAAGTCACAGGCTGGGCTGAAAGTTAGGTGACAGGTCAGAAATAAATAATGGTTTATAACACTACAAGTTCCACAGATCTTAACTTTAGGCTATTAGAAAATGGTCATAAATGACTAATTTTATTTTTTGAAAGAATATTTTTTTTTAAAAAGGATGCTTTTTATTTTTTTTTCATTTATTTAAGTTATTACTTAGTGTATTTACACTTAAATCTTATTGATTCATTTTTCGCTCAAGTTTATCACCACACATAATTGTCTGGTGAGCCATCCCATTGGATCGACTTTCCACTTTTGATGTGGATGCATTGAGAACTTTAATTACAAGCGTCACTATTCCTTCAATGGTATCTAATACTGTATTATATGGAATTTTAAAAGTGATATAACACTGTTTTTCTCTTCTTTTGTCAATATTTTGATGGATATAGTATCTTTATCACCACCTGCTAGTATATTTTAGATTTTTTTTATCCAGAATGTTTCCTGAGATTGTATCTAATTATTTTACTTTGCTTAGTATTTGGCTAACACTAAAATTTGGTTAAACAAATATTCGGTTAACCAAAGAACCGAGGCGAATACTGAAAAGAAATTAACTGTTTATAAAATACATATTAGTTTAATTGAAATTGATTTAATGTCTATTACCAATCATTTTGTGCATCATTATAACAAATACAATTCAAGTAATAGTGAAAAGGATTTGAATTGAAAAAGAAATTTGATGTAAATAAGGATTGTGATGCAAATAATAATTAGACGGGTTAAACAACAACATTAAAACAGCAGATTTAATTAAACAAAATAAGTACAAAAGTTAAGCCTCGGACACGACATTTCTATGCCATAACAACCCGGGACACACCTAAAACAAAAGTAAAATAACACAGTACCTTTTCCCTCTCAGGGGAAAAGTTGAATCATTCTCCCTTTCAATTTGGATTTTCCCATTTTGCTTTGGCTCTGAATCTCACTAATTGAAACACGATAAACAATTTGCGTCATGGATAACGTTTAGATTGCGTCTTGATCCGTCTACAAGATTTTTACTAATTTTATAATAAAGAAAATTATTAATGTAAGGAACCGCTGTAATATTTAGAGTCATGAATAAAAACTTTGAAAGTAAAAAAACACATTTCGAATTTTAAAAAAAGATAACATTCAATCGAAAATATTGAGTCAATTCAGTTTTTTTACATATTTTTTTATACAAATATTTCACATAAAATAGATATTATTACCACAGTGGTTAAATCAGATTTTCTATATTAATATCTAGAATACCTGTTATCACAGCATTTTTTATTACAATAATACAAGAAGTACTAGCTATTAACACTATTAAAAAAGCGACACATGAAATAAAAAATATTTAATAACGTCATAAATTTAAAGGGCGAAAAGTAAGTACCTTAAATTTTACACATTTCTTCAGTTTTATGAAGCAGTAAAAGGTTATAAATGAGTATTTTAACTTAGAATGTATTGATTCAATCGCGATATATGCAAATATCTAAATCAAGTGGTCACGGTACCCTCGGACAATTTTTTAAGTAAAAGTAAAACAATATTTTATATTTTTTATTGCTTTACCTGCACACGTAATTGACAATCACTGACTAATTTTCTTGAAAATAGAAAAATTCTTAAAAATTTCCCAATTTTTTAAAATTAAAGCTTTTTTTCGCAAATTTTTCAAAAAACTTTTTTGTTAAATGATTTCAACTATTACTTTTGAAGCTTTGTGAATTCATTTGCTTATATATGAGTTAGAGCATTTTCTATAGTTAGTTAAGGGTAAAATCGAAGAAAATAATTATGTTATACACACCGATACAATGTCATGCAAGAGTTTTTTTAAAAAAATTTAACGCTTTCTCAATACACATTTTTATTTAATATATCACGCTCATTCTAAGAATGTTTTTATTAAAAAAAAACACCTTTTTTAGTAGAAAAAATCCTTAGGAATTCAAATAACGTAAAAATACCATAAAAGCCCTTCAAAGTTAAATTTTTTTAGGGAAAAACCACAGCTTCTTTTGCCTAAACTCACTCGTAACAACATTAAAAATACAGATAGATAAACGAACTTTTTTCTGTGTGCTTAGAATTTTTCGAAATTTTAATATAAACAATAAAATTTTCTCGATACTTAAACAATTTAAGAAAATGAAAATAGAAGAGTTATAATTGGTAATCATAATGGTCTATGTAACACATTATGATTTTCATAATTCACTTTAATTGAATTTTGAAATCTAAGTGCTGAGACGGTAAGTTTGATGAAAAGCAAACAACTTATAAAGTTAACTCTTTTTACAGTGAATTCAGAAGATAGTCATTTATTTAAATTCATGCTGTATAATACAATAGTGCACCAAACGTATAATTTTAGTACAAACTTAATACTTTATTTTTCGAAACAATTTATATTCTTCTTCTTCTATTGGCATGACAGCCCTTTGTGGGTCATAGCCTTGCCTAGAACCTTCTTCCATTCCGCTATTTTCTTTGCTATTGTTCTCCAGTTAGTAATTTCTAGGATTTCAAAATCTTCTTCCACACAGATAGGCCATCTGATCTTAGGCCTACCTCTAACTCTAGTTCCCGTTGGTTTGTAATTGAAGATGTTAAAAACTATCAGTATAACGCTTCATTTTTTAAAAAAAAAAATTTTAACTAAAAACACAGCTTTTTTCCTTATAGATTTCTTATTGTAATAATCTTAAGAAAAGATTTTTTTTTAATTATTACCTAAGAATTATTATAAATTAAGGTATAATCAAATTTTTTTCATTTACAAAACAAACAAAAAACAAAGTGAAAACAAACCGACTAAGATAATTTGAAAATATTTTGAAAAAAATTAAATATTTTTTTTAAATATCTATATCGTCATCAACTTTTTCCAACCTAGTTTAAAATAATAATTTTTAATAATTTTGTTGATCTTGTACTGAAAATCTTGTTCAGTTTTTACTTCCCATTAAAATATTGATTATGTTGTAAATAACACGTAAAGTTGCTACGAATATTATCTCTCAACAAAAGTATACTTAATCTTGTTGAGAGAACTGCTAACTCCATAAGTATGATATTGTAACAGATTTACCACAAACAAATTTTCTGTTGTTAAACAAATGACGCTCAGCATTGAATAGAAACTGTCATTGTTCATTGAAGCAAGATTTACAATATATTATTGATGCTATTAAGTCAATCATTATTAAAAAAAATTATTACAAATATAAATAAATTTGTAATACAATAAACAAATGGGTTCGTATCATAAATAACTCTCTAACTTTAGATTGCTTACATAATTTTTTTTCTGATTTTTCTGATGAAATATTACCTTGTAAATAAAATGTTTTATTAAGTTGATGCTTAATCTGCACGCTATAGTTATTTTAAGTTTGACTAAAAACTACAAAGCTGAACAACAGAAAAAATTGTAAGCTGATAACGAAATTCAACTTATTATTAAAAATCTTCATTTCAATTAAAAGAATTTTTATCATCAATATTTCTTATATTACTTTTTTTTATTTATAAATTATGAATTATTTGTGAAGTTTAAATTTTTAGATAAGAATCAAAAAATTTTAATTTCATGATTTTGCTCAGCAAAATTAAATGATTGAATACATGAGCTTATTTATACTCGGCATTCTATAATGCTTGAAGTTATTTGATTCATAAAATTATAGGAAAGAGAGCCTAAATATAAAATTCATATAAGATAATTAAAGATAACTGAAGCAAGTTTTTGAGGGATTAAAATATTTCTCCAGTGTCCAATAAGAATATCTCTGTGATAACCTGACATTGTAAACATCAGGCAGAAATCCCTTATATATCAATGTCAGGTGCCGTATATACCTTGAATATTTGTAATAAGTCACGTATATCTGTCAGTTGTCTTTTGGATATACAACAGATGTCACAATATTCAAATATCTATTGAACATCTCACAGTTGTGACCCCTGGATTTCTGACAGGTATTTCATGGATATTCAGATAAGTTGGAGATATTTATTAGGTTTTGGACCATCCAGATTTTTTCTTTTTTAAATATCACAAAAATTCGTTGAAGATATTCGCGGCTATATGGAGACACAGTCCCCACTAGATTATCGATGTCCCCCACAATCCCCTCTGCAGACAATAAAAATTGTGATGACATGTCCTCAAGCATCATCCTCAGAAATGTCCCCAAGGTCGACACCAATAGCATGTTGTCCAATTCAAGTGCAACGTATATAAAATATTACCATTATAACTAAGTAAAACACAATATTTTAGCTTAAAAGAAATTTTCAAAGCTGGTGTTCGAAATTGCGATCTACAGTTTTACACTTACTGAAACGTATTCCTTCAAACGTAACCAGTTTCGACAGCTCATTTTATTACCGTCGTTGAAAAACAGCCGACCCAATTTTGAGCCTACGACTACTAATGTTCAACTCTGTAGCCTTTTAATTTTGAAGTCAATCCAGAGGACAAGGGAACTCCAGGATCAAGTGTTGGGACAATTTTGCCTTCGTGGAGGATTGTTTGATGGAACTAACATAGATTTGCGTTACATAGAGAGGAAAACCACGAAGACCTCCCAAGGATAGCCTGACAGCAAGGGGACTCTAATCCATGATCCGTCTACCACTGAGGATATTTTATGTCAGAACTGTGGCCGGTGCGAGCTAGGGGTGGAATTCGTATCGATCAGCCATCGCTGGGATTCGAACCCGGTTCATCCTATTGGGAGGCGAACGCTCTATCCCCTGAGCCACCATGGCACTATTATCCACCATGGCATGAATCACTATCAGCACTTTTAGAATATAGTCATAGAGATTTTTTTTCTTTAAATAATTCTAATGAAACACTATTTTTCTAGACAATGAGTCAACTACGGGACATAATGGCCTTTTCTAGACGCCGACCTCCAGGGAAGAAGGCAAATCTAATGAATCATCGGCGGCGCTATGAGAACAAGTGATGCTCGCTCGACTCAACTCAACGCCGGAGATCTCATTGTTGCCCACGGGTCTGGGGAATCACTATACTTCCAGTAGTCGACACCTCATACCCCCTGGGAGACGGAGATTTCCTTATAACAACAACAACTCCGATTTTAATGGTGAGTATTTTTATACCAAGCACTGTAACGCTGTATATAGGAGACATCTCGGCCTATTGGTTACCGATTCATTCGGTTAGATCTATAATAGAAGTCATAAAACATAAAGGCGTATAATGCTATACTCTGTTGCAAGTTGTCCCATAGTGGACTGATCGTAAAGACACGGTTCCCAGTAGAACACCGAAGTCAAGCACCACTGGCTGCGGTGAGTAGGCGGATGGTTGAAAACTTGGATCAGATTGCGCAGGGACAGAGGGTGCACGGGATCCTCGTTAAACTGTTCAACCGTAAAGTACTCGACTTAGCGCGCAGGTTGTCGGGCTACCAAAGCAGGGAGCCCTCCCCTCTGCAGCGGTACAAAATTGCGATGGCAGGTCTTCGGATCATCCGCAGGGATGTTTCTCAGACTGTCGCCAATAGCCCATTGGGCAGTTTTAGTGCGACGTATATAAAATACCTACAAGATGGAAGTTAGATGGGATTATTGCACATAAGTTGCACNGGATCATCCGCAGGGATGTTTCTCAGACTGTCGCCAATAGCCCATTGGGCAGTTTTAGTGCGACGTATATAAAATACCTACAAGATGGAAGTTAGAAAAAAAAATACTATCCGTATAAAGAGAGCCTGTTAGCAACTAAGTGCAGGCCAAATGAACACCAAGCTCCCAGTGCGAACGATTATTAACATCGCCAACTCTTGAAATGACGTTGTACAGCCTTCTTTTTGTTTGCTTTCTTATGTCGGGTGAAATGAGGAAGACTTATTGAATAATCAATTAAGAAATAATAACAATTAATTAAAATGATATCTAAAAACCGTTACAAATGTAAGCCTTTCTGTTCGCATTTAAAGAAACTGAGGAAAGAATAGTAAATATTGTTTCTTGCAGACGATTTTCTTTTACAGCGAAACAAAAGTAAAAATTCTTTATCTCGCATTTGATTTGTTAAAAGTATGCCAGCTTAAGATGCGTCATTTTTAGTGGTCAAATCAAATCCAACGTTTTTTTTTTTATTGTTTTTAAAGCATATTTGTATATTTTGATAACTAAATAAAGTGAAACTACAAACAGTCGCGGATAATTACATAAATTCTATACCTCAATGGTCTGCTTTTTACTTGCAAAGGAGTATAGAGAAAGTTGGGGGAAGAACTTCATTGATTATAGCAAATTCTAATAGTCAAAAAAATTAACTTCAGCACTACATTAGTGAATGTAAAAATTGTAAGCGTAATCTGAATGCATATTAAACATTAATAATAGAAATATATACAAATAAATACGAATATTTACAATTGTGAACAAAAATTAAGAGTTAAATTTAGAAATGAATTATGATAATATGAAAACGAAATATTTATTTACAGTTGTCCTCTGTTAGTTCAGCGATTCACACAAACAGTGTTGCTCGCTGAGCTGAAGCTTGTTAGTCTTATGACTCACCCATTTCGGATCCTACAGAGTTGCTTTAGACCCGGGGGGGTATGCCACAATCCTGCAATGTTTAAGCTGAGCATGTGTTGCATTCCTATTACTTAAAGTGTTTGGGTAGTAGGCAATCAGAGGTTAAAAAAAAAGCTATAATCCGGCTGTATTTAGTGTTGTCTTTCAAATATTCTATGTTGAGTAACTGTTTGAAGTTTGATAGTGTTCGATATATACTTAAATTAGCATCACAGTAGAAAATAGTATTTAGTTTAGCAATATAACAATTCATATCATCTATATTTTATTTCCTAAGTAGTCTGTTACTATTTGCCCTAGGGGCTTCCAACCCATCCTTCTGTGTATCTGGCCTTCGGTATTTGATAATTTATTTTTCAGGTTGTCACTGAGAGTTGAAAGAGTTGCGCAGGCATATGTTAATATAGGCCTGATAACCTGTAGGAAGATGGTTCTCTTACTTGCCAGATCAAGTTTGGTCATCTTTTGTAGCCGGCTGATCCACAAAGCCACCTTTTATAATTTACTGCGTAACAAAAATCCCTTGCGCTCCAGACCGTAAACGGGTCCATCGGACATGAAAATCACCAGCGGCGACTTAGAAGCAATGCGTGCTGTCCCGTGCATCTAGTGCCCAACCACATGGTTATTTGACAGGGTAGAGTACGGCCGGTAAACAAGCTTATTACTACATGTTCTTTGTAATGCAGTTAGTTTAATAATGTCAATTAACTTCTTTGTGATCTGTTTCTGTCTGTGAGACTGTCAGCAAATTTTTCTCTGTTTGTGTCACTTGGTACCCTCAGATTGTATTGTTCAGTTAATCAGCACTCGTATAAGTAGTGTTCTGGTGTACGGATATCGCAGCAGGAGCACAGATTTGAGTTCAGTTTCTGCATTCTTTGTAGAAATTATAAGAATAAGCCGTGTTCTTTGAGAAACTGTGTGACAGCTGGATGGCCGACTAAACTATTCTTTCTGACCTTTGGAGAAATTCAAGTTTAGAGCTTTTATTTAAAATAGATTTTAAAGCAAATAAAAAAAGCATCCCAGACCTTTTTTGTGATCTCATTAATATATTTGTTTTAGATAATTTGTTTTGAAATTATTACGCCAAGAATTGACATCATTTGCAGGTTTTATATCAACATTAAAAAGTTTAAGATATTTTTAGCTATATTTTATTATTGATTATAAGTGATTGGAGCTTCTTTATCTCAGAATCAATGATTATAAAACTAGTCTTCGTGGAGAACTTTTTGGTGGGACTAACCCACATTTGCTTTACATGGAGAGGAAAACCACAAAAACGTTTCACGGTTAGTCCGGTGGTAAGATGATTCTAATCCATGATCCGTCTACCACTGGGGATATTTTTACGTTAGTACTGTGATTGTTACGAGCCGGGAGCAGAATTCGTATCGACCTGCCACAACCAGGATTTGAGTTTGGGTCACCTCATTAGGAGGCGAACGTTCTATTCCCTGAGCCACCGCAATATTCATGTTGTGAAGCTTCAATGTGAGATCCTTATGCCATACCCAATCAAATTTTAAAAAAATATTTCACGACATTAAGCAGGATAAGAGCCATAGTTTCCTTTTTAAACATTCGTTGACTGATAAATTCAAGCAAATTTACTTGTTATTTGGATCTAAACCCGTGTTGCAGTTTAGGTAGATTATGAAGGCAATCAGATAATCTATTATAAATTATTTTTCAAAAGTTTTAGACATGGTGGATAGCAGACTAATTGGCCTTTGGTTGTTGGGATCCGAGACGTTCATTCCTGGCTTATGGAAAAGGATGATGACTGACTTTTTCTCTTTCTCTTTCTCTGACTTTTTCTTTTTCTGAAGTCTCGGGGAAACAATGAGTTCAATGAGTTTTCCAGACAGACGTTGTTTCAAAGTACTGGAATGATATTTTAAGGCATATTTTTTAATTATCTCGTCGGTAATTTTATAATGCCTCGTGGCCTTTTAGTTTTTTTAATTATACCAATGATTTTATCATTATTTGTCTTATCCTTTGTTGGTGTTGCTTTGATTTTATTAAAAGCGTGGTTGATACATTTTTCATTTATAGGACAGGTAGATTCAGTGTTATACCAATATGCAAGCTGTGTGACGTCTATATAATGGTCAGTCTCGTGATTCATGCAACTCCAATTGCCATGGAGGGAAAATGAGAAACTGATTGGTTAAATACATTTTCACGCGAATAACTCACCAATTAGGTTCTCCATATCTCTCAACTGCGATCGAAGATTCGTGAATTGTAAGGACCCGACAATTTACTGTAACGCAAATGTTTGATACCGATTTTGAGACACATGTTGAAACAATGTTCAGAAAGTACAGGATGTGCACAAAAGAACGTCCCAGTTGGTACGGTGTATTTCAACAATTTCATTTACAAATCATACACCAAATGCAAGGTAAACTAATCTTAACTTTTATTGCAATTGTTCAATATCTGTGCCATTAGTTCTACTACACACAGCCAATTTAAAATTCAATTCTTCCCACTCTCTGTTTCACGAATCAGAAGTATTAAACACAAATTCATCCTTAATGTATTTCAACTGTGGCTAATCATTAAGTAACGGCATATGTTTTTGCCACATGAGGGATCACAATTGAATTTTAAATAAAATGCACAATGAACTGAAATTAAAGATTCACTCCTAGTAATTTTCAGAACACAAAACGCCTTATGATCAAGAGCGCCATTTTGCGTAAACATCCAAGCAGTACTCGAGCAGGGACTTACCTAAAACAGAAGGACGAATCGAACTTTAAGCATTGCCGTACTGCACATATTGAACATTTATGAAAAAAATTTATTAGTTTAACTTTAATTTGGTTTGTGTTTTGTTGTAAATAATCCAAATAAAACTGTTAAAATATGCCATTAAAATTGGGTATGAACCATCGGTACTACACGTCGTCTCTGTAGTGGTATTTCTTCGGACAGTAGAATGGGCTTCTTTGTATTTTTTACTACAAGTTAAAAAGTAAATACATAACTCTCAAACAAGCAAACTATCAAATATTAATTTTTTTTATTCCATCGTGTTCTCTCTCTACATGTTTCTTCATCCTTTCGTAATTTTAAGTCTCTAAGTCTTATAAGTTTTTAAAAATGTAACGTAAAGTTACGTAAAGAAAAAAGTGAGAAACTGAGAAATTCATAAAAAATCCCTCAAACTTGTTATAACTTTCGAACAAATTAGAAATTAAGAAAGAAAGAAACTCGTGTTTATTTAATAAATTAAGTGGCCTTTTCTGCACTTCAAATTCATAACTCTGTATTTGCCGTTTATACGGGCTGTGGAGGGATCCGCAGGGTACTTTTTAATACAAGTTCAACAGTAAATAATTCTCAAACTAATTATCGAACGTTACATTTTTTTTTTATTCCATCATGCTCCCTGAATATACTTGAAACTTTCGTAATTTTAAGTTTTTACGCATCATAATTGTTGTATTTATTGCATTAAATGTAATGTAAAGTTGAACACACAAAACAGAAAAAAGTGGCGGTAGAGTCACTTAAAACTTTTTTCTAATACAGTGAGATTTTTAAAAAATTTGATATTAAGACTTAAATCTTCTAACATCTGATCTCCCTCTTCTTTTTTGTTTTATTTTCGACATCAACTTATGGACCAGCTAATAAAATGATGACGATTTTTTAAATGCAGAGAGAATAAAATAAGATTTAATTGAAAACCAGTGGGATTCCACACCTTCTCTCCTATACTTCAGCATTGAGGAAAAGCATTTAAGGAGCACAGATTTATCCTACAAAAAAGTAATAATAAATAAATAAAAATTGCAGGGACTATATTAAAGTAATAAAGATCCACGAGAAATAGCTTAAAACATCTCTGACATTTGGAGAAAAATTCCCAAGTTCAGCGAAAGCAAAAAGACAAGCATCAATAAATTCCTTTACCCCCTTCTCCCCTAGTACTATAAAGCTCGGATTCGTCAATCTCTTGGCATAAATGGCTTCATACCATAAGAACTATGCGAGTATAATCGAGTCATTAAAAGATAAGTTAGTAGAATGCGTTACTTCCATTTGCATATAACTGAATACTGATTCTATATTTATTGAGAAAATCAAAGAAAACAAACAAAATTTGTCTTCCAAAGAATTATAATCTTTAAATCTTGTTTCAAATTCTCTTCTAAGATTTAAATTTTTTTCTGCGTATTTTTTATACGATGCAGTATCGTCTGAACTAGATTTGTTCTTGTTGCGCGTAGAGAAGTGCGTTAAATCTTCATTTTCCAGTTGCCTTTCCCAAAGAAATAGTTTACATTTGAATACATTAATTATGTCAAACATGTTCGTAATGATCTGAGCCTTGTAACAATAAATTTAAATCGGGTAAGTGTGGTTACATAAAAGATAAATCTTGCAACCATATTTGATCGGAGAACAAGCTTGTATCTTGATTTTCAGTTTATAAAAACTTACATATTTCTTCTTTCGCATCCCAGAATTGTTTGAGAACCTCGCTATAGTAGGATAAACCTGAATATGTACTATCTAACTGATAGCTTAGTGTGAAACGGACTCCATTTCAGCCAATTAGAATTTTACATTTTCGCACGCGTACAATTTAAAATGATCCGTATAGTTTATAAATAAAGTATATAATTTTATATGCTGGCTTCATTTCTAATTTACAATTCCATTTTATTTTTACTTTGTTTCGGATATACTGACTGGGCCACAAAAATGTTCATCTCGGGCCGCATGCGGCCCGCGTGCCGCGAGTTTGACACCCCTGATGTAGAGCATACCGAACAATGGCACTGAAAATTAAAAAAAAACATTGATGAAGGGCATGCCGGGAAAGTGTGTACCGGGCAGTGGCACTTATCTAGACTTAGCATATATTTCGGACATTTACCAAAGCGACGATGTGATTGTCGACATTCACCCCGGTGGAAGTCAACAACCACCCATTCCGGTCATTCACAGTAACATATATATAGTTGCTATGCAACAAAACATGTGATAAATGGTGTTTTCAATAGGAATGTAAACAATAACAATCTCAAGCTCGGCACCAACTCTATTTCCGGTTAAAAAATTTGCAGCTGCTTACTACATGTTATTCTGATAGGCGATGTTTTCAAACGGATAATTTTGTTTTCAATAAAAGAAATAAATTAGATAATTTCTGAGCTCAAATCTGCCGTATTTCATAAGATATTAATGTTATTATGTAATTCTAGGGAGTTTGGAGTGAAAATTTGATTTAGTTATCTTGTTATTTATTATTAAAAAAGGTGACATGGTTGCTAGATTTTGAATATCTCACTTTTTTGGCAGTCTCGATTTGGCCTCTTCCCATTTGTTTATTACTGTTTGTTCGTGTTGCAAGATGTGCACCATCTTACGTTGGTGTTAACACTTTTAGTGTTGTAAACACAAGTATTGTTAGCATTGTAAACATAAGTAATAAGTAATCAAATACATTGTTTGCAAGAATCTCAAAACACAATGATGCCAAATGCCTTTAAAATACAACTGAAACAGCAACCCGGAAATTTAGGCAGTCCCGAGCTTGCAGCGTTCCCTAGTGTAGAAAACACCATCCATAGTTATTGAGCCTTTTATTTCATTCTCATTAACAAAAAGCAATTAAGTTATAACATAGCCATAGACATAAAAATCTTAAGTATTTCTGAAAAAAAAACTCGATAATTGTATTCATTAACAGTAACATATGCATAATTATGAATTTGCATTCAATCCTTGAAGAAAGACACCTTACGATTGCTATATATCATTGCATCAATGTTGCTGTTGCCAGATACACAATACATTACAATAATAAAGTTGGAAAATTTCATATTGGTATCAAATTAAATTTAGGGAATACAAAGATTGGAGGAAAAAATGTAGTCAATAAGTTTTAGAAGTCAAGAGACTTTCAACTGAACAGAAATGTTTAAAAACAAGTTACTAAATCGTAACAAGTTTTGGAAAGAAGAAAATGAAATGATATATGAAGGTCAATACCTTTTGAAGTCATTAATGACAATAAAAGTTTGTTTTAATAGTAAGTTGCCAAGAAGGGATATATAGGACCATGATAATATGTGATCAACAAAAGGAATCTTTTATATAACAGTAGAATTTTTCGTTTGTTGGGAAGAAGATGGCTTACCTGGTGGTCGTACTAAAATTGCTTTATTACTTGATCATTTTATTTGGTGATAATTTAGCAATTTTCATACAGAATTTCTCTTTTTTTTTATTTAAATTTTGCAGGTACACTGAAAGTCACTTCCTAATAGCAGATGAAATTGCCGTTGTAACGAGCTTATCGATATACGCACATACGCCTATTTAATGCTCAGATGAATGGTTAACCGTGTAAACCTAAGTATATATAAAGCTGTGAGTTAAAATTCGTTGTAAGACTTCCGGATTACTACTTTTTATTGATTTTTAAGCCTTAACATGAAAAAGGGCGCCACCGCCATCAAATATTATTATACTTGTAGTGTTTACAATATAACGCGTTCCTTAAATTTAAATTTCAACGAAACAAGCATAAGAATTTAGAGGACTCCGCAAATATACTATGCCCTGATAGATGCAACTCAAAAAATAATTAACTGTGATATTTTACACAAATATAGCCAAATAAGGGATAACACTCAAAACATGGCAAAGCTTAGACTTTATTTATGTCGGGATATTAATTTTCTGACATTTATTTTAGTTGGTTGGTTGTTAATTTACGTCGCACTAGAGCTGCACAATGGACTCTTGGCGGGAAACATCCCTGAGGATGATCCGAAGACATGCCATCACAATTTTGATCATCTGCAGAAGGGATGGCGAAGTCGAGCACTTTACGGTAGAACAGTTTAACGAGGACCAATACCGCACACCCTCGATCCCTACGCAGACTGATCCGAGTGGTCACCCACCCGCACACTGACCGCAGACAGTGATGCTTGACTTCGGTGATATACTGGGAACCGTGTCTTAACGATCAGTCCACTGCTGGACATTTATTTTAAGCTCACTACCAGTTAAAATTTATAAATTACAACAAACTCTTATGAATGGTCAAATGACTTACAAATTTAAACACAAATCACACTAATAAAACTTCCTAGAATATTAAGCCTTTTCAAGCATCGCCTCGTAAGCATAACGTAAGCGGATGAATACACCGGAATTTCTCTACATTTCGTCCGATTTTAGGAAGCTAGTTATTGTTTACATTCAGTCAACCATCCATAGCAAATAAAAAGTCTAAAAAATAAAATAGACATATTTAATCCTTTTTTCTTTTATTTCCATTTAAAATACATACCTAAAGTTGACTGGTTTTGCTTACAGATTGTAAACTAAATTAATTAGCTCTGTACATTATGAAATGCTGAAATATCTATGACAAGAATATTGAAACAACAAGTTTCCAAATCATAGAAAGATTTTGCAAGTGAAATGAATTACTAACATAATATTTGCAGAATTTCCATAAAAATAGTGAAAGAATTTTTGTTCGTTAAGAAAAGATAACAGGTGATCGCCCACACATTGCTTTATAAAAATAAGGGGAAATGATAAGAAGGAAACGTTTTTCGGTATTGTTACCAGAATTAAATATAAATGTCTTCCATTTAACCTTTTTTGTTAAATATTGCACTCTCTAACAGTAAAAAAAAAAAATTTCCCTAAATCATTTTTGTCGTAATAGTGGAAGGCTAAGCATTTTTTTTTCATAAAAACATACAAATTTTTTATATTTTTAACATTAACCTTTTGTCAATGACTTAAAAATTCTTTTTCCCCTTCAGGAGATCCAAACGCACCTGAAGCAAACATGAGCTTCCGTGAGCAGCAAGAATATTTTGGTCCCGATGTGTTGGTCATCATTGGATTGGTATTGGCCTGCTTGGGTGCCATTCTCACCCTTATCAGTTTCTACTGTCACTTCAAACATCCCGCCATTCAAGCCACAATGGCGGGCATCGGACCATCCCTGGTTGGCATAGGTCTTCTATTCTGTGTCCTCAGATTGTTCTTTTGTACATTTTTCATCAGCAGGACATGTTGCGAGTGCATCGGGGATGGACTCAGGTATCTCATTCTGCGTTGTCCAATCTGCAAGTGTTGTCGAAAAAAGAAAAAAGTACACCCACTCCAGGTGAAGGACATCAAGCCCATCCTCAACGGGTCTGTGAGCAAGCAAAATGGCGGCTTCAGAGAACGCCCATCCGCCATCGAAATGCTTCCACCTCATCATCGAATAATGGAGCCCATCCACGAATCCGAGGAACAGACGACGAAAAAGATTTTTGCAAGTGATTCGAAACTTCATTCGGATGATGATCCACCCAAAGAGGAGGAGGATATCCTCAAAGATGAGATAGATCTTTTAGAGTCCAGTTCACCACATTCCGAAAACAGTCTTCATAAGAATATAAATGAGCTCGTGTTAAACTCACGTTATTAAACATGAAAATAAAATATCATCCATCTCCTAACACAAAGTCTCTTCTTCTGGTAAGATCTTTCCTATAGTATTAGAATTCGGTAGATGTAGTCGCAAATATCCAAATGAATCCACTTTTGTACTACTTGTAAATAAATAAAGCAAAGAAACTAAAGCAGAAATAATAAAATTATACAGAAATACTTTAGTTTCTGTCATACAAATAAGAATCCTCCTCTAACACACAAATAACAGTAAAGAGGCAAACGCGTTTTAAGTTTAGGGGAAGAGATCAGTAGAGTAGTTTTAATGTATGTTCGAGGGGATCTCCTTTCTATATACATGTTCTCGTCAAAATGTATAATTCAGTAATTTCATAAAATAACTATGTATTTTATGAAACAACTAGACTAGTCAGTTGTATATAACTGATGAAAAATTTCATACTTTACCAAGTCATTCTATGAAATAACTAATGATAGACCGTTGATCAAAAAATACAACTTACCGCTATTGCGAGTGATTAATTGATAAATAATAAGCGAAAGCAGATTATATAGTTTATTATTACTCATATTAATACCTACGTATAAGAGCAACGGTGAAGCGTTATATATATACTATATATATACAATAGCTCATTAATCTAGTAATGTAGAATTTAGGAGGGGGCTTCGCCCCTAATGCCTAAACAACGCCACTAGAAGAGGTACAAGACAAAAAGAGATAAGTTAAAGGTGTTTGGGGAAATTAGGCGGGAACCCGGTAGGGCGCAAGAATCATAATTAGATTTCCAAATATTTTTAAGTTATACTCATGATCAAATATTAACAAAAAATCATTCTTACATAATTTAATTTTTACTATTTATATTGACGCCTTTAAGATCACTAATACTACAAGAGATGCTCAGAGACGATGCTGCATGGAATAGTAACTCGTTCTAAAACATACCAGACGGCTGAACAGACTGTCAAAAACTTTAAGTGAGTAGTACAGGACGTCAATGTGAAAATACAGTCGAAATAAAATGATTTTTAATTCATTAATCATGTGATTATATGTCGATCTCTTTTATGTAAGGGCTCCGGATAGCTTTAGCGACTTTTTTTTAATTATTTTTTAATCATCCTGTGTAGAAATCACTTATTCTACAGATTATCTAGAGTCACCCATTTTATTTCTTATATCAAATCTGCAAACTACCTACTAAGCGGACATGCGTAAATAAGACCTTTGCTAGAACAACATTAGCGCTTCCGTATGTTTCAATTAACGTAATTACTGTTTTATTTTCGATCCACGCCGGCCGAAGACTCTTCGTGTAGAAAATAGTAACTGGTGCACGTTAAATCTATCGGACCACAAAGTCCACTATTCCCATAACAAATCATATCTCTGGGGGTAGAGATTGAGATACCTGCAAGTAACGTAGTGTGGGTATCTCCATCCTGATTGGTTGTTGAAACGCGGCACTTGTTTTGGTTAGCAACTGTTCTTTTCATTCTATTGCGAGTAAACCAAGACCGTCAAGTATAAATTCTCTGATGTGACACATTCTATATTCATTCTCAAAGATTTCAATTCTTCCACTATATATTTCTTACGTAACACAAAGACAGACATGAAGTTATGTAGAACACATTAGGCATCGAAGTTGCCAGATAAACAAAGCAAAAATATATCACAGTTATAATAAAATACATAAGCAAATATTACATGTGACAAAAGAAAAGGCGTAGAGGTAAAGGGGTATACGCTATCTTCTTCTTGAAATGCAAATACCCAATTGGAGATTGATTGTTCTCTGGTTCAGGTTAAAATTACGATCTGTAGGTGAATGAATGGATCCGCTACATAAACGGGTTTTAACGTATATGTGTAGCAGAAGTAAAATTCTTAGCCATAGATGACGCCACTGGAAAACAAGAAGTGCGTCCCCTTGGCATACGACAACAACAACGCTGATTTAATTATTTTTCAATATCTAAAGTATCAAGTCAAAACAAGCGACATATTAGTTGATAGAATGAGGGTTACACTTTTGCACTTTAAACATACGGAAACCATTACTACGCGCATTCCCTATTAAAAATGAGGATAAACTAGATTCCGCAGCACATCAGCTAGGTAATATAGACGGTAACGGTTTTCGAAATTTAGCGAGAACATATACACTGCTTTTCAACATAAAGTGAGTTTTTAGATGTCAGTATCTCTAGAACTACTAGAGAGTTTAAACGAAATTTGGCTTCTTTCATTTATTTATTTTGTTTTATTTTTTGATTGTTTATTTTTCTGTTTAACAATCTATCAAATTATGTGTACGTACGTATGTACGCACTCACAATATATAGTCTTTTTACAGAGATACAAACCTTACGCCATTTCATACCGGAAAAAATAGTTAATATATTTCGGTGGTCATTCTTTTTACTTCGTCTTACTCGTTCAGCAATCACGCATTCCAGCATGGTTTTAAGACTCTCTAAAGGATTTTGCGCGTTCCAATAAACCGTAATAAAATCGAAGTCAATCGTATTCAGCAAATCAACGACAAATTTAATCGTTAAATTCGTGATTTAAAGTTACAAATCAAGACTAATTTGAGTTATTTATTTATTTTTGAAAAAATTTGCACTAATGGGAATTTTGATTTAAACAACTTTTGAGCTTGCCAAGATAGTAGTGTGTTGGTGTTGTAAAAATTTACGTCGCACTAGAGCTGCACAATGGGCTATTGGCGACGGTCTGGGAAACATCCCGGAGGATGATCCGAAGACATGCCATCACAATTTTGATCCTCTGCGGATAGGATGGCACCCCCGCTTCGGTTCACTTTACGGTAGCACAGTTCAACGAGGACCAATACCGCACACCCTCGGTCCCTACGCAGACTGATCCAAGTGGTCACCCACCCGCACACTGACCGTAGCCAGTGATGCTTGACTTCGGTGATCTGCTGGGAACCGTGTCTTAACGATCAGTCCACTGCGGGACGCCAAGAGAGTAAAATCAGCTCCTGGCAATTCGCGATCGCAACGCTCAAATACGCTATATCGGGAGAAGACCGGATCCATGTCTTAACCCTCCCCAGTTGTAAAGGAATGTACTGCGGTATTTTCCTCTTTCTTAATATTTTTCGTATTTAAGTGTCAAAAATACTTTTTTTTTTTAAATTTCCAAGACGTATTTTTTAGAACTATGTTCAATGTAATTTTCAGTTCCATATAGTTTTTTAACTTAAAAGTTCTTAAACTACTTCAAAATCAAGACAGAAACTAACGTACTTCCTTCTCTTATGACTGTCTACACGCTAAAAGTGAAAGCATGCGTGCGTTATGTTGTCTTAGATAGAAAATTCTGCTCTACGCCACCTATAGCCCATTTCGATCACCAATCTCAAGCGTTACAGCTAAAGACTGCTTCTGTAATCAACTTAACTGTGAAAGACCATTCGGGAAAAGAAAATTTCTTAATTCTTTCACTTGATCCTTAGATATTGTAATAGACACTTGAGTTATTCCCCATTGAAACATGATTGCGTAATTCTCAATATCAAAGTTCAGCTGTTAGAATGGAATGAAACGATTATCAGCCATTATTGTGAAAACAATCGCCATTTTTTTCGGCTGAGGAACCCTTAATGAGCGATCTTCTTTTGCCAAATACTTAATGAATTAAGTTCATTAGCAATTATGAACTTATTAATTAAAGAAAAGATATTTTTAAAATTTACAAAACTCTAAATTTTATTAACAATTTTGAAAATTAGTGAATGCATGAACTTTTTCCAACGTATCGTCTTGTCAATATTAGTCTTAAAATTGGGTTTTATGCCAGACAGTTGAATTCGCAGATTTGGAGAGTCATATATAATCTAGTTCTTAATTTGAATTTAGTGCATGCATAAACTTTTTTCACGCTTAAGCTTAAATATGAATCGGAAGTAGTAACCCGGAAGTCTTACGACGAATTTTAACACCTAGCGCCATCTGCGCTTAGCTTTACATCCATAGACGACGCATATAGCATGAACCGTATTTTGCGCATTTGTATGAATGCATTGACACCTATGCATCATTCATTTGATAAAGAGACTAAATTTTAAACTGCAATAAAAGAAAATTAAAAAAAAACTTTAATAAATTTGCAAGTCAGATTATTTTTTACAGTTTTCAAAAAACCACAAATTGAAATCTTTAAAACAATAATTTGGAGCTCTGGGCAAGTGTCGCTTCTGCCTGGGCAATAACTGAGCCATGACGTGCGGTCTTTTGACATGATGAATGCCCGCAGACCCCTTCATGTCTCTGATAGAGGCACTTTGTTGAGTGCGAGGTTTTTATAGCCCTAGCTTTATTTTAAATAGTAACTGATACCCTGAAATAATTTATAATGAGCAAATAATAAGTAGGAATAAAACTTTTTCAATTATTATGGAAACTGATATGCAACAGTTTAACTACTGGTACTGGCTTGAATACAGCATTTTAAAAATATGAATTTGGCAACCAAAAAAAATTCTTAACAAATAATTTGAGTGAAATTAATCTTATTCACTTATTAACTATATCAAAAATAAGTTTTGGAAAACCACCCCATGATATAATATAATTTACAGTATCAACTGTACTTATAAGTTATACAGGGTAGTCAAAAGCTATGGAATTCAACAAGAACTCAAGAGCTTGAAAATAAGAAAACGAAGGCTTTGTAGTTGCATTTATAAGAAGGTTATTATCCAACACGAACTGTAGTGCCACGAAGAAAAGAGTGAGACATATTAAGAAGGTTTTAAGTATTAAAAAAAAATTTATTTAATAGAAAACTGGAAGGGGGTCCTTGATGAATCCCTCTTTGCTATATGAAGGTTCAAAGACTCTGTAATAAAATTAGTTTAAGAACATAATAAGCCAGAAGTAAAAGAAAATAAAATCTTTATTTTTAATACAGATACATCTCTGTTTTCACAATCAATTGTCAAAGAGTGAATCGATATAAAAGTATGAATAAATAATAAAATATAAACCGAATAATATTTACTTTCGTCAAACATAACATTTTCATAGGACTTTTAGAAATATCTTATGACATGTTTTTATCCATTGAAGTTTAAGCAACATAGTTAGATAAAAAAAAAGTCATTCATAAAATAGATATTAAATCCTAAATTGAAGTAATTATACAACTGCTATTATAAACAGAATAATTTTAATTAACACAATACTTCCTGAGATTTAGTCTCAAAAAGATACAAATGGAAATAGCCTATAATTACCATAAACAATCTTAAAAAAACTACAGAAAAAGTTTGTAAATTCACAACAAAATAATCTGAGAGAACAGAGTGGATCCGATGGATATTTTACTGGATTTAAAGAACAGGAAGATGTTTTGTATAAATTAAAAAAATCTGTTTGAAAATTTTTTTTTACACATATCATCAAAAAAAAAATGATTTAGGCTGTCTTTGAATAAAGCTAAAACTTTGTGAAAAGAGCACAAAAACAGATAGATGATTGTATCAGTACAATAAAGCACTTATTTCAGTATAAAAATACAGAAGGTCTTGATTGCACTAGGGATGTAGCAAATATTTGGTATTCAGACCGAAAAAAGGGTACATACAATTTGACAGAAAAATTATATACATTTAACTCGTTCAATTATGTGCCTTTGTTCCGTCATCTGCACTTAGAGTTCCCTACAGCACTAAAATTGAAATTAAAGGCAAATTCCTTTAGACTTGTTTATTTTACTTTTATAAAAAAAAACAATAAACTATAATCAATAACCATATTCACTAATACAACAATCTATTTGTTAACTATTGGATTATATTTGTAATTTATTCATAAATATTTACATATTTTAACTGTTAGTAAAATATAAAAAAATTTCATTTCGATTATTAAATATACATACATTTTTTATTTAATTTAATGCCAATAATCTTTATAAACAAATATAAATTTGATAATTAGTTGATTATTATTATTAAATGAGCAATACATAAAAAATAATGTTTAAAAAAAAAAAAACTATTTGAACTTTTTAAAATTTAAGAAAACTTAACACTCAAAGACCCTGTTTTAAAGAGAAATTTTTGTTTTGGTTCAATTAAAAATAAAAAAAATTTGAAGATGGAAGAAATAAAGGAATGTTTTTTCAAGAAATACATTTAAAACAAAAGAATCAGAAAAAAAGGCTACCAAAATTTTTAAAAAAAAAATCAAAATAACTAAATAAAAAAGCATTTCTGAAGCGGTCAAAGACAATAGCGTAATTTTTTAATGCATTTAAAACAGTATATTATTATGACCTCATATAAAGCTTTAGTCTCTAAAAGCATAACTTGGAAGTATATAACATTCCACCATTCATGTTGATTATATAATTCAAACGCTGACAAAACAGAATTCAAAAAGCGCTAAATAAAAAAAACAATTTCTACTACAATCTTTATTGCTGAGTATCTTTAAAATAAATTGGTAAAGACTTAAGGAATAAATATTTAGCATTCTTTTATTCGGCCATATCGTTGCATCACCACATTACATAAAATAATTTTTCTCAATAAAAACTCTGAAAGTCATTCTGTGTTACGACTTACACTGAAAAAGTGATTTATAGATGTGTCCATATGCCCTTTTCACACTGTTTTAGCAACTATCAACTACATAGCACATGCATTTAAAGTCCAAAAATGCCAGATAAAATAGTCATTTTCCCACAAAGCACTCTCAATTACAAGTAAATGAAAACAGTTTTAAAAAATTGAATAATAATTATTATTCAAAACTACAATGTATTTTAAATCTTCAGTAAAGACATTTAATCAACAACAAATTGAATTGAAGTGCGTTTTTTTATTTTAGTGATTGATTTGTGTATTGATTTATGTTTCAAACATTCTCAAGGCCAAACAGGACTCTCTCTCAATGGAGTCATAAATTCTGGTTCATTTTTAAAAACACTTTTAAACTTGCCAAAACAGTAAAATCTTGAAAAATACTATGAATTAAGTTGAAGGAAAGAACAGCTAAAACCCAATACTGAAGCACCATGGCTGATATTAGCTGAAATATGCATTTTTATGAAATCCACTTTTCTTCCGAACTCTTAATAAAAGATTGAAAAAAATCGCTTAATAATTTTGACAAGGAAATTTCAAGTACCATATAGTAAAAATTTTATTTAAATAATTCTATAAGAAAAAAATGATATAAAATTGGACATTATTAAAACATGAATTAATTTCAGGTAATTTAAATGAATTGTGATGCACTTTAAAACAGTTAAAAACATTTGATGAAGTACAGTAAAACCCTAGTTATGTCCCATTCTCAAACGAAACAATTCCTTACGTAAAAAACTTAGCTGAGATAAATGATTGCAATATTTTTCAAGACATCTTACATAGGATTTTTTTCTGAACTTGTAATAAGTGTATAGTTTTTGAACTTGGAACTCTAATTGGAACTATAAAATGTTGTGGCTTCCACTAGCAATATTCATTAACATAAAGAGATGTTGGATCAAAAATCCAAATTTTTTTTGTTTCTTCAAATTTATTCTTGAAAAATTCACATTTGTAAAACAGGATATTCTGAATATATGAAAATATCAGGACAAAAAGCTAAAAATCAGGATAAAATATTTTTTATGTAGAAAATCAGAACTACAAATTCTGAATTAAAATACAGGATTTAGCACAAATGTAAGACTGTATCTTAATGCTTATATTTACGTAACTATTGAATATTGAAGATATTACATAAATGATACATTAAAAAAATATAATACCATTTTTTTTCCAGTTAGGTAACACTAACATTTCACCATTTTGTGACAAGATGGATAATGATTTTATAATCAACTAAGCTTTCTGTAGTATCAAATTCAGTACAAATGTGTTCTTTGAATTTTTGCAGTAATATCAGCATAATGTTTCATAAATAGTGTGTTGGGTTAGCATGCGGTCACACAAAGATTCCCGTACTTTTAGCTATGTTACAGTATTTTTAGCCATATGATTTTTTATGGGGTTATTTTAAAGACTTTGTCCAAAATACTACAAAAAAATTTAACTTAAAAAAAAAAACTTTGTATATTTTCTTTAATTTAACATATCTCTTGTTGCGATTTATATAACGTATGGAATATATCAATATTAAAATACAGATATTACTTATGCTAATCTTATATTACAAAGTTGCTTCATAACTTTCCCCTATTCATAAAAAAATTAGTTGCTTATTCAATGCCATAGTCACTAGCTATTCTTTTAAGTTGTTTACAGAATTTTTTTTTTCTTTCCAGAAACAAACATCAGTTGATTTTTAAAAAAAAGGCTTACTGTTAATTATTTAATGAATAATATTATTTTAAAAAGTTTGTTTTTGTTGTAGAAATGTTAACTACAGTTTAAAAATTTCTTAAAAGCACAAACTAGAAAAAGATTATTCAAAATTTTCATGTGAGTGTTGGATAATTAAGGTTCTACTGTATTTTAAAAACATTTATGACTCAAAATTGTTATAATTAAGTCATAAGCATACAAAATCATTAAAAGAGGGTTTCTTGTCAGTACATTATATAAATAAAAAAATACAAAAAGAGCAGTTTACCATAAAGCTTAATAGTTTTAAGAAATCGATTAAACAACTAAAAAATGCAAAAATCATTCATTCTTACCAAAGAAGTTCAATTTAGAATATTAAGTTTCACATTAGGGAGTCAAAAAAGATATGCTAACTTATAAAAAGTAAATTTTGATTTTTCTAATATTTTTCTAGCTGTCCACACCAGTAAGTTTTAAATGAGCTCTTTCAAACCATGAATATTGTATTTTAGAAAGTACTTAAAAACTAGATATTAGGTATGGAGATATTTTATTTTATTTACTGACGAAGAAGAACCTCCAGATGCATTCATCAAACCCTAATTAATTTTGAATCACTCTGTAAAAAAGATTATTCTCAATTTAAGAGAAAAGGTAAGTGAATTTGGGACAAGCAAGAAACATTTGCCCTACAAAATTTTTATATTCTGCAATGGTAGCAACAAATGTATTTATATTTTTAAAAAATGAGGAATGTATAAGAAACAACTATAACACCAATATGGAAACCTTCTTCACTTAAAAAAAAACTTTAAGGATTAGACAGTTCATAAACAGGTTGGGAATTTTAACAATATTTTGTTTAACACATTTTTTACATTTAACGTGCTATACTTTTTTCTAAAGTTTTGCAAAAAGAAAAGTTAAAATGATGGTTAAGTTTCAGGTAAGAGAGTGTGATACTTTAAAAATTTCATTTGTTTCAATATTACGTTATTCATTTCATAAATCTATATCTCAGCTTAAAAAAAAAGAAGAAATAAATAAACAATTTTCTTTTATTCTGGACATTTGGCAAAAAAAAAAAAAAACTTTTCTTAATGAAATTCTCAGAGGTGCCAACTTTTATAAATTAGCTGGTAGTACAATAATACATAAAATGTTAACAAAATTCAAATTAGCACATTTTTAAGACTTTTTAGCACATGATTCGATATAGGTATATACCTAAATTTATAATATTATGCCTTAATTTACTCTTAATTATAAAAAATTAACATTTAAGTGTTACTTTTTTTTAAATATTTGCCGTAAACAACAGAATTTCCTAACTGTTGGTAGCTAAGAGGAAAAAAAAACAACTTATTCTTAACAGATTATTACAAACCATAACTGTTATTACACAATCATAACATAGTTACCTTGAGTGCATAGTTGTACTAGTTGGTACCTCAGCATTTTAAACAAACAATTGAAATGGATTTAATGTAAAACCACAAACAATCCCCCCAAAAAAAACTAAAATAACTATATTTAATTTCAAATCCATGGCTCATGAGAGAAGATCAAATTTCAGGTGTGATTTGGACATCAGAGAGGGATTTTTTTCTTTTTTTTTAAATTAAACAGCAAATACACTTTTTCATATATCATCACAGCAATGTAAAAAATTAAGGTGCTGATTGGTTAAACTTATTAAAAAGATTGAAAAACTTCATTTTAAAAATCTGACATTTAAATAGTTGCTAATAAATATTGCTTTTACTTATAAAAATACATCTAGAGTAATTTTAATTAAAATAAAATTGTTTTCTGCAGAGACCATTGTTTTATGAATACTCTTGAGGTACTTCAAATATACCTAGAAGAGTCATTACAGCACTGAAACAGGCTGTACACATTTTATATTTTTTCTACAAGAAATGAAGGAGATTTTTTGTACAACTTCAGAAAAAATGTTTAACCCCTAAAAATGCCACCATTCCATTTTGAATTAGAAATCTTTCCTAAATGGTATATTTTCAAAGTTGTTGCTCAATTTTAAATAACTTTAGTCAACTGAAATAAAAACGAAGGCATTTTACAGAGGTGAAAAATTTATTCTACATACGCAAAGCTATTCCTCGGGGGTGGGGGGGCAGATTAATTAGGAAACTATTTTGTAGAGTTCCGCATCCAGAAGTAATACTGGGACATTCTTAACGCAATAAATAGAAGGCCTTTATCCAAAGATATCATTCTGTCTTGGCAGGGTTTCATCATTTACTCGTGAATTATATCATTAAAAAGTTTCTTATCAAAAACTCTTATAAAATTTTTCAATAAAATAAAAAAGAAGAAAAGAAAAAGGAAGGGGAGAAATAAAAGTCTTTTGAGTATTCAATGTAAACATCACATCTTTACAAAATATGAAAAAATAAATTTTAACATCAGAATAAAAACATATCTGAACAATGCAGATATAGTGTTTGTAAGTACTCATGTCTTTTATGTACACATTTCTAATGAGAAGAAAAGGGGGTAGGAACACAAAAAAAAATCACCATTTTATATATACACAGCTAAGAAGAAGAATGCTTGGGGGCTGCAGCATTCAGTATTTCTCCAAAAGAAGACTCGAAACACGCCTTCAACTCAGCATAAGTCACCACCAACACATTCTGTTCATCTCTTCCCATCAAACAGATCTTATCAGAAACTCCTGCATCCAACTAAGAAGAAACAGTTTACAAATAACAGGGATGAGATTAGCCAAAAGGCAAAAAAGCTGAATTTCCACAATAGTAAATTTTACACAAGCGCAACCCTTTAATAATAAATTTCAGACAGTTTAAGGTAATAAATAATGTGTTGACATACAATTGGTACTAATCTATTATTATATAAATGATTACATTGATACTTAACATTTAGTGAAAATAAAAATTACCAATTGAAAAAATAAAGCTGGAAATTATATTTTTCCTCAGTTCACATAAGAGACAATTATTACTTGAAAAACTACCTGGTTTAGCAAATTAAAACTACTGAGAATATACATTAATATTTCATTTCTTTTAATAAATACTGTTATGTGATTTATAGCAAATATATCAGTAATATTACTTTTTAAATTATATTGGAAAAAAAAACTTTAACAATGGACCGAATCATTATGTTCATATTATAGTCTAATCTAACTACAGCCCTCTGAAACATATCAATAACAGTGAAGTAGAAATATATAGTAACTCCTTAACATACAAAAATTGCTATTTTAGTTTGAAAAATTACATGACAATCAGCAACTGTTTAGATAATTGTTTTTTATTTGATAAGAATTTTGCATTTTATAGCATAAATAACAGCAATTATAAATAAAATTTTGATGATGAGTTAATTAACTCTTTTTCCCCCAAATTTTTTTTTTAATTAAATCCCTTTTTAAGTGATTGCTTTTGTTTGCTATATCTTTTATGTTTGCTATATTTAGTCGTTAGTCCATCTTCAAACATCTTGTGACAAATCCTATTTTTTCTTCTTTGCAAGCACAGAATGTAAGTTTTGAATATATTCCCTTCCAGTTTCTCTGATGTTGTAACACTTACATATACTAATAATCGTCGTTAGAAAAACAGTCACCTTTATAGTAACTAATTTAAAAAAAAATTTACTTCTTACAAGAATCGCGATAGTTGATCTTAAAATTGCGTGAATATGAATAACAATTATGGATTTTGAAATCACATGAATATGAAACTAGATATACGATTTTGAAAATGAGAAAATACAAACTGGGATATAGAATTTTTAAAACGCGTAAATACAAATCACGATTCATAATTTTTAGATCGCGTAAATACGAATCATGATGCGGAATTTTTAGATTGCATAAATAAGAATTATGAATTTTTAGAGTGCGTGAATGCGAATCCCAATGCCTTATTTTAAAATAACGTATAAATACGAAAATCAATGTTTGATATTATAAACCGCATGAGCAAATCAAGACATTGAATTTTAAACTTGCGTGAATATGAATCGCTACATAGGTTTTTAAAAAGGCGTAAATACGAATCACAATATCGGATTTTTAAATCTCGTAAATAAGAATCGCAACATACAATACTCAAATCACGTGAATCAGAATCGCAACACGCAAATATGATAAGCTATGTTTGATATTAAAATCGTGTGAATGAGATCGAGATATTAGCAGATTCCAGGCTTGGGACCTCTAAAAGGCTTGTCAGAAGCAGCGTCGTTTGAACTACAAAAATCGGATCTATCTGGAGGGCGGGTAAAAAATTCCGAAAATCTTATTTGCTGTGAGTAAACAGAGAGAAAACAGCTAAAATAAGTAAAAATGAGAAAGGTTTGGTAGCTATGCAGTTTGAATTTTCTGTTTCTCTTTGAAAATCGGTAAATTTTCTGAAAAAGCGGAATACTTATAAAAAAAAATTAAATTTTTAGAAAAATCTGAATTTTTGACAAAAAAGCTGAAATTCAAGCGATGAAAGTGAAAAAAGCGGAAATCCGCTAAAAAGCGGAAAAATCTCATCCCTGAAATAAAAGCTAAACTTTATGCGATAACAAAACTTCAGAAACAGGTTTTCCAATTATGAATTTGTGGAGTAACTACCCCTACGATTTACACACAATGGGATTCTGCACACAGTCAGTCGACTGCTAATAGCGTAGCAGGAGAGACCACACACACACAAACGCGAACCTCTCAGGGCAAATGCTCAACACTCGGTGAACTTAATTCTGCGCTCACCACAAGCGCTCAAAATCTTAATACAGCTCTCCTGGTCTTTCGCATATATGGCTGCTAGTGGTATCCATTCATCGAAGTCTATCTCAGATAAAATTCTGGCGGGAGAGTATTGTGGTGTAACTACAACTACGATTATTAAACATCAATTCACTAGTATAGAAGACGTGTTAACGATTCCATCTTGGGTGACCTTTTGATAGATGATAACTCCTTTCCCCACAAATTTATAATAAAAATTACAATTTAAAGGAAAAAGGAATTATATTAAATTGAGTATTAATTAAATAAAAAATAACTTTTTTCCATAAATATTTTGAGTTAATTCACTCCAAATTATAAGATTTTTCAGTTTGTTTCAAAATGCTTTTACTTATTAAAATCTCAATTGGAATAATTTCTTTTGAAGTTAAGAGCTGATCTGAAGATTTACTATTCTCCTAAAAATTAGAATTTGGTTCAATATTTTTAATTAAAATATTTCACTAGTTTTGAATGCAACTAAACATAATTTTGTAAAAAAAAAAAAAAAAAAAAAAAAAAATCTATTTGTGAACGATCTCCAAGTTTGCCATTTTTTTGTTCAATTTCTATGTATATTAGATTCTCTGATTCAGTTTTTTGTGCCTATTAGATTAATATCATTTTTAAGAAATAGAATAAAGGTAATTTAATTTTTTGAAACAAATCATCTCCATACAAGGTTTAATCTCAACTTCAAAAAAATAGTAAATTAGTATTTAACCCCAATTCTTCCTTATAAATTTTCGAGAAAAGAAAATTTGTTTTTCTTTATTTTTATCTAACAACAATACAAGACTTACAAAAATTTAATTTCAGAAATAACATATTGGATAGAATAAGTAAGATACTTCAATTACATTTGTACATTTATTGGATGGTGCCCCAGTTCAAGATATTTAATTTTGAAATGTCAGGAATATTAAAATTATGATGAAAATGGGGTGGAGGGACGGAATTCTGTAGTCTAACAGAAGAATGGCATGTCCATATCTGAGAACTACCCCCTAAGCTACAATTTTATAGAAAAATTGCAGATTAAATTACATTAATTCATAATTGTCATAATTCATATGCATTTAACTCATGCATAATTGTATCATTCTAATTTTGTTAATTTAAATAATACCACACACTCTGTTTGGATGGTGGCTTATAATTTATTAATTTTGAAAAGTTATACCAAAATCGATTAAATGGTAGATGTTAGTTTACTTATAAAAGAATAAATAATAATAATTGTAAACAGAAAGCCCTCCCGTCGATGGTAAAGAAGAAGAAAAAAATATTTGTCTAATCACCTTGTTGAGACACTGTATTACATGTGCTGAATCAACCCATGGTCTTCCATCTTCAGTCACTTGGTGAAACAGATAATCTCGAAAAAGTTTGAGCAGGTAGCGATCACCTGTTTCTGCCCAGGAATGGTCCATATTAAGTCTAAAATTAATGATGAAATGCTCATTTAAAAACGTAATTCTACTTGAAAAAAAATCTAACATAATATTTTTTTATTAATAATCTGTAAGATAGGCAAAACTGTACCTATTATAGTAATAAAATATTAAATGCTATTGATGTACGATTTTCTTTCAAACTTCAAACAAGATTTGTATAGATTTAATTCGTATTACAACAAAGAACATCAGACAAATAACTACAAAACTTAGTATTATATTTATATTGTAAAACTGCTTAAAAAGTGTACCCCGTTGAAAGAAAGATTAAGTAAAAGTTAGGTAAAAAGTGATTTTAAAGAATGTAGACAGAGAAATTTTAAATTGTGATTTAACCCTTTTTTCGCACTCAATTCACATATTAAATTGATTTGTCCAAGTGCAACATATCAGTTACTCCCAATTCTTCTACCAACCACACTGTGGTGTAATTAATTTTTATTTTTTAATGCTCCTTTGTAATATGCTAGTATTTAAAACTATGCAACCATAACTATGACCAGTGTTCCCCCTAAGAATTTTTAGAAGGGCAGCCTGTCCTCTTTGCCTTTTTATGCGTCCTATTTGACCTTTTCATCAAAATTAGCCACCATCCCTTAAAAACACTACCTTTTTATTCATATTCCATTAAAAAAATAATTAACTGTACAAATGATTATTACACACTGGTTAAATTATCTGAGTTTACAGGTTTAATTCTGATTGCTATTATAAATATTTCTTTTTTTAATTATTCACAACCACTTAAATTTTTATAAGTTTCTCTTTTTTGGGTGGATTTCTCTCTTTTTTTACATTGATAAATTTTTTAAGTGATTTTAAATCTTAAAATTACTGTTTAAATAAATACTTTTTTATTAAAAAAAATGCATCGTTAAATGTTTATTTCTTTATAATTTTCAGTTTAAATTATGAAGAAAGCTTTTAAGTTATTGATCAATTGATCACTTTTTCCCTAAATTTATTTTTTCTGAAAAAAAAAAAATTAGGCACAGCGATAGTTTTTTAATGTGCCTTAAATTTTTTTTATAAACTACAAATTATTCTCTTATTTTAATAAGGATTGAGAATTACTTTTTGAAATACAAACATAAAATAATACAAGAGGGTAATTTAAAACTGTTGAGGATCAAATTCAGTTATTACATAATATTAGAAATTTTGATAAATTTTAACGGTGGTAAGTGAGTGTCCTTTCAAAACTCTAAGTGCCCTCTTCTGTAAGGAAGTATGCTGCCCTTTTTCATTCCTATGGAAAACTCTGACCACTGCTTATTATAAAAATAAATAGAATATGTTTTTCACATCAATAGTATTTTGGGCCAACATAACCAAAGTCAGAATCAAGCATATCAAAATGGCTCAAGGAAATCAAAGAATAAGTAAAAAATTTGTACAAAAAAAGTAGGGTCTTGGTAAGCAAATTACTTTTTCTTAAATAAATGAAAACTTACTCTGCTCTTTCTGTGATGGTTCCCAATTTTACAAGTATGCGAAACAATCTTCCATTTTGAACTTCCTAATAAACATAAATATTTATTACTAATAAAACAATTTGCTTAAAAAAACCTCCACTTTGATTAACGATTTAGTTAAACGTTTAATGCTCTTTTGTTTTCCCTAAGAAATAAAGTACATCAAAAACTTCAGAGAAAATAGATACTCTTTAATTTAAAAAAACATCAATATTTCATGAATAACCATTAGTATTTGAAGATGTGGTCAAAATAAATTAGATTTTCTTGCTAAACTAACATTAAAAGTAGTTGCCAGAAATTGCTATTAACAATTGTGTTTTTTTAATTTTATACATATATACGCACACACACATATATATATATACTACTTCACTACTTTTCTTTTAAAAAAAAGTTGCACACTACACTACAAATTACTAAAATAAGCAACAATTACTTCCCATTGCTAGCATTACCCATTGTTTTAAATTAAACTTTTATTGGTTCTATTTCATTTCTCAAATTTTTAAAAGATTACATCAATGATGACTGCTACCTTAAAACTCTCATTAAAAAATGAAGTTTATTGAATGTTTTCAATTATTGAATTATTTTTTACCTGTTATATCAGATAAACTCGATAATCAATGCAAACATGGTAGCACAGATAGACCATGTGATATTACGAAATAAGTATTCTCTAAAGTTATATTAACCAGATGTTGATTTTGTTTATAGTTATGCTTTAAAAATGTGTTTTTATGAAACTAAATAATTTGAAATTAAAGGTTTTTGAAATAAAAAAGAAATATTAATGGAAAGCAAAATAAATGGAGAAATAGTACTAATTCGTTTAAATCGCGAAAACTTGTTATATTGTCGTGAAGACAAATTATGCTCGATTAATTTTAGTAATAGGCATTACTTGAAGTAAAAAAAATTATAAATTTTGTTAAAAAGAGCAAAACTAATGAAGTAATGGTATCACGTTATTTTGAAAAGCACAAAAAATTTTATAATAGTTATTAATTGAAGTAAAGAATAAGCTATGTAGTAATAAGAAAAATTAATGGAGAAATTGTACTAATTCGTATAAAGAAGGAGTAAAAATAAAATATTATTTACACCACTGAAGCTTAATTAATTTTCATAATAGGTACTAATTGAAATTAAAGAAATAAGCTATGTTCTATAAAGTAAAATTAGTGGTGAAATTGCACTAATTTGTTCAGGAAAAAAATATAAATGCGCCATACTATTTTGAGGTCAATGATGCTTAGTTAATATTGGTACTAATAGGCATTATTTATATTATAGTACTTGGTGCAATTTTCGCAGGCATCAATTATACTAATATAGGTACAATGTATTATTTCAATACCTTTGGCACCTATTAAAACTGAATCAATATTGCGCAGTTTTAATACAGATATTGTGGTAGGTAGGTGATACTTTACTTATGTCGCACTAGAGCTCCACAATGGGCTATTAGCGACAGTCTGGGAAAAATCCCTGAGGATGATCTGAAAACATACCATCGTAATTTTGATCCTTTGCAGAGAGGATGGCTTCCCTGTTTCGGTAGCCCAACGACCCGTGCGTGAAGTCGAGCACTTTAAGGTAGGACAGATTACAGGGGACAAATAACATGCACCCTCTGTCCCTACACAGGCTGATGAAAGTGGTCCCTCACCCGCTTACTGACAGATATTGTGAAAAGGGTTCTTTAACATTCCTCAAAAGGGATAAGTAGCGGAAAAAATTGCTTGAATGTAGTAAATTTTTACTACTGTGAGATGGTCTAGAGCAATAGCATTAAGCCAGATGATATTGAATATAATAAAAAAAAATTTTAATAATTTGTTATGAAATACTGAAAACATATTCTGCTTAATTTAATAATGTAAAGCCACTGAAGGGACAAAATATTATTGAAATCATTTTAGCATAACTGTGTTGGTTGATGTCATTTTGTAACTGAGGGTATACATTTAATTATTAATCCTTCAATTTTGACTTATTAATGAAGAAAAATTATATATTATAAAAACACTTTTACTTGTTATTGAAAATGAAAATAAACGACTTTTTTTAAAAAAGAAGTACTGAAAGTATATGCAAAGCAAACACATTACATGAAAAAATTTAAACAAATATCAGTAAAGTGATACAATAGACAACACACACATACTGCATTTTGTTGTTATTTATGACAGATCAAAGATAACTTTTAGTTACTACGCAAAACATTTCTTGTTTGTAAGTATAAACGTTCATAGTGAAAATCTTAACAATGAAAACAAATGGCTTTGACCACTGTAATATTCAACCTTTTAAGAAAGATTAATTTTCAAATGCCTACAATTTTCATGCAGTTTAAAATATATATTTGCATAAATAGAGCAAAAACAACTTAACCTTAACTTATCCTAAAAAACCAGTAAATATTTATTTAAATAAATTAAACCAAAATTTAGCATTAGACTATATTTTTAAGAATTTTCATTACTTTGTTTTTTGGAAAAAACATATTTGACCTTTAACTATAAATTATGTATTTTCCTTTAGTTGTTTTAATTAAATTTCCCCTTCATTTTCCAATTTTTCCAAATTTTTAAGATTCTTTGACCAGAGGCAACCCTTTAAAATATCTTTTTTCTTTTTAAATAATACAACTGAAATTATTAAATAAAAAAATAAAATAAAAGATGATTAACAGCTTACTTTAGATAGTTCATTTTCTATAACATCACTACGCATCTGAGCTGCATCTAATTGAGTGTAAAATCTAGCACCAATCATTGGCATAATATCATTTATGCTTCGAGGACGTGCTTGATTATGAAGAAGGTACCTAAAAAATACAGTTAAAAGTCCATTAAAACATAATAGCAGATGAAAGTGTTATAAAAAATTACCCTTAGTTAATCTTAAAATAACAATAAAGACTAAAAAGAAAAGAAAAATAAACATATCTCTTTTCACATTTACTATTTATTTACATATTTACTATTCATAAAACTAAACTCAGTTTTTCTTTTATTTTGAACCATTTTGATTTAAAACACACGGCTAGAGTAGAATGCTTTTGTCTACACATAGTAGACTGAATTGTGCACTTTGTTCTAACATTCCTGTTGGGGTCATTACTGTTCACTGAATTGTGAACAGTAATGACCCCAACAGGAATGTTAGAACAAGTTTTTGCAAGAATAAATTGCAATATCCTTTAACATCACTAATAACAATGAATGTTAACTTTAAAGCTGTCAAGAAAGAAAATAAAACAATGTGTTGTGAACAAAATGTGGATTCCTTCAAAAAATGCAGCAGGGTTTATTTTATATAAAAATAATGTAAGAACATTTTTTATGTTAAAATAGAAGGTAGCTAGTGGCCACACATTGCTTTATAAAAATGAGTTAACAAGAAGGAGATGATATTCGTTATTCTGCATTGTTACCAGAAATAAATTTAAATGTCTTCCATTTCAATCTTTCACATAACACTGCTCACCTAAGTGGCAGATATATGTATTTCCTTAAAAAAAAATTTTAATCGAGAAAAATAACGATAAAAACAAAAAACATGGGCTAATAAAATCTCATTTAAGCAAAATAAGAATAAAAATAAATAAATAAAACTTTGACTGCAAATAAATACAAAATTCAATTTTACCAAAGTGCAGTTTTTCTTTCTTTCTGTATGTTGCTCTGTAATTTATCAAAGATTGTATTTAACTTCCTCTTATTTAAAAAGGTTAACATATATTATTTATTAAGCCACAAACTCTGTTTTATTCAAAATATATTCACCCTGATACTAATGTTTCCCTCTTTGCAACATCTATTATTACTGCAATGCAATGCGTGCTGATTAGAATAAAAAGAAAAATAATTCTTAGTTTTAACTTGTTTCAAATTTTGAGAAGTATAAAATTTTGCATATCTAAATGAACAAAACAGAAAAAAGAATTTTTATTTACAAAACTGGTTGTCAGGAACTATTAGTTATTTACAAATAAAAACTACTCAAACATATACAACTAAATACATGTTTTACTTACAGTCAAACTCCCAAAACAAGAACCACGGGAGCACAATATTTGATTGCTTATAACCCAGTTCAAAAAAAGGAGAGAGGGGAAAAAAAACGAGATTTCAAAAAATTATAAAAGTTTATACATACATATACATTACACATACATTATAAATAAAGTACTTGCTTAATATATTGTTTTACTACTATACAGTACAAAAGAAGTTAGTTAATTTGGTTATAACTATCTCACTGACTCTTTGTTGTGTTATTGTTCTGCAAATAAAACTCATGGCTCAAAAAATATCGTCTTTTGTTCTCTGGCTTTAAAAAAAAATTGAAGTTTCTCTACACAATCAAAAGCTATTGAGCACTATAAAGCAGTTCAGCTTGAAATTTTTTACATTTGCCATTACTATAATTACCTTTATTATATTCTATTCATCTGCTGAACTAGTCCAATAAACAAAGCTAAACTAGTGGCAAAATGAATGTTTATTCTACTTCAGCTAATTTGGAGGGGAAAAAAAGACGGCCAAAAACTTATTTATTAGATGCAAAAACATTGATATGCAGTAGCTATATGTCAAAGCTAAAGGCTATGCTACAAAATAACTTTTCTTTTCCATTTATAAATGAATTTCAGTGTTTATAATGAAATATTCTATAACATATTTAAACCACATAAAATTTTATTTTAATATGTCTTTTTTTTTTCAAAAATAAATTGTGTAATTAATTTATGCTTTATTTTGATTTTATTAATGTTTAAAACAAATATTTAGGTTTGACTCGCTAAATTTGTAATTTAATTTAAGTAAGTAAAAAAAATGAATAAAGTAAGACTTTTCAATGCTAAATTTTTCAATTATTCTAATATTTCGAAGGAGAGCTGTACACCGCATTGAAATAACTTATGTACAACATATTCAGAGTAGTATGGATCTAGAACAACTGATTATTATTATTTAACTATTCAATAAATCCAGATTTAGAAAGAAATTATTTTATTATCAAAGTATATATAGAAGAAATTTTATTAGGAAATGCACAAAAATAAAAAGATGGTAATAATAATTACAGAATTAAATTTCATAGATCAGCTGAATAATTCTTGAGCACCAATTCAAGAGAGCTGGATAGAGTGTTTTTTTTTTTTTTTTTTTTTTTTTTTTTTTTTTTTTNTTTTTTTTTTTTTTTTTTTTTTTTTTTTTTTTTTTTTTAAAGACATTCAAAGTATTAGCAATTATTACAATGAAACCTCATGTTACGGACACTCCTACAAAGACACCCTTTTCATTACGAGCATTTTTTTAAAAAATTCCTCGTGAATCTTCTGTGAAAAAAAAATTATGTGCCTTCTACACACAGCAGATACTCCTGTTACCAGACGCCGACAGTCACTTATGCCCTGAAACATTATTTTCAATCAGGACATCACTTATCCTAAATTTTTTTTTAAAAATTATTTCAATTTACAGTTTAAAAAATAATGTATGTATCTACCATTTTTTAAAGCATGTAAAGTTTACCTTATCCATAATTTAAAATAAAGTTAAGTTATTTCAGTACTAAAAGATCTCCTTAAGGTAAGGAGTCTCCTTAGGAAAGGAGTACTAAAGGATTCTCATTTCACTTTTACTTACTGATTGAACCAACTTACTGATTGGAACCAAGTGGGAAAGTGAAGTAAGAATACAAGTATCTATTTGGTATCGTATGACTTATTTGAATAACTGTGCATTTAGGAAAAACATTTTCATTTCTCTGCAGCAACGTCTGAAATTATTTTAAAGGAGTATCTGAGATAAAACTTTTAACAGATCCTTATTATTGAGCAAATCTCTTTTTGTTCAATAATGCCTCGCCACGCTTTAACTTTGAAAGAAAAATTTGAAGTCATCAAAAATGCGGTGTCCGAAAATTGGCCAAACACTTTAAAATTTTAAGACTCAGGCTGCACACGTAATTAAAAAAATAATAAAGATGTGGTGCAAAGATTAAAAAGAGAAACAAATTGGAATGCCTTCAGAAAACGGAATCTGAATTTAAAATTGACAGATGTGTTTTTTAATCGTTTACTCAAGTTAGAAGCAACAAGTATCCAGTATCAGGACCAATGCTTCAGGAAAAATCTTAAGAGACAACTGGGAAATTGGGACTATAGGAGTTTAAAACTTCTAATGAATGGTTAAAAAAGTTCCAAAAGAGGCATGATTTTTTATAAGTCACTAAGCAGAGAGTGTGCTTCTGTGGATGCTGACATGGTTAAAAAATGATTGAAGAAACTACCTTCCTTATTTAAGGACTACGCATCTGGAGACATATGAAATGCTAATGAGATTTGTCTTTTTTAGCAGAGTGTGACAGACGAACAGGAGTCTTCATGAGTTATAGAAAAAGCAAAGCCCAGGTGTTTCAAAGGAACAAATTTATTAAGTCTTGGAATACAATGAAAAGCAAATTCACAAGCATGGATGACCTAGGACTTAATGACAGTGGTTGCTTGAACAAAATGGGTCGAAAAAATGGAAAGTTCATTTTCTTGTGCAACGTCTCAACATCACATTAATCTAAAGAATGTAAAAATTGCAATATTTCCTCCAAATGGTGGAATATACTTCTACCGTTGGTCTATTAATCGCTTGATCCAGGCATATCGTAAGCATTGACAAGAATATTGAATGTCAAAAGAATGATTTATATAAGGACGAAATTATTGAAATGGTCGCAAATAATGAGGTCGATAATCAAAATGAAGAAACTGATACTCAATTTATGCTTTCTAAAATGAACCAAAACTAAATAAATGATGCTCAAACTTTTATAGATGAACTAAGACATTTTTATCTAAAAAAAATTATGAAATTGATGAAAAATTTTAAATAAATATCAGTATCATATTTGTAATCGTGTATAAAATCTTCCGGTTTTCCTGTAAGATTTTATTTTTATACTAATGTGGTGGCAAAATTTATAATATCACATTTCATTCTTCATTAAATAAATACAATTTAAAATGATTTTGCCTACTATTACATTCGAATAATTCAAACATATATATATGAAAGGAACTGTGTTTTTTACTCTTTGCTAAAACTTTTACTAAACACAAACATACAATCTCAATTTTATTGATTTGATCCCACCACTAGAAAAACACTTAGTCGAAAAGCGTAAAAGTTTCTCAGGAATGCAATATAAATAGCTATAATATATAGTTTAATTATTTCTATATCATTACAATTATTCGATAAACAATTTATGGTGGAGTTTGTATTATTAGTGTACCCTTCTCCTAAACAGACAAATTCTTCGCCCCCAAGAGTGTCCGCTTAATCTAGGTTTCACTGTATAATTTTTTTTAAAAAAAGAAAATAAATAAAGTAGTAACAATAATTACAGTATTAAGTTTCTCAGATCCGCTGAATAATTCCTAGACACCAACTCAAGAGAACTGGTTAGAGTATTTCTTTTGAAGGCATTCAAAGTGTTACAAGCAAGAGCTAAAACTATTTTGCCAAATGCCATTAAGTCTTCTTGCTAGAAACAAAACAAAACAAAAAATAAAGAAACACTCTACTATGCAAAATACATTTTCAGAGCATTTAAAAAGAACACTGCACACCTGAAAATTTGACACAACTTGCTTAAGATTGTGCTGTTGATTGGAGTCATACGTTAAAACATCAAAAATACCACAGCAATTGAGTCTCAATCTGAAAAATGAATTTACATTACAAGATTTGATATTTCAAAATAGTCCTCTTTGAATCTCGAATGTGGCCCCTCATCAATTTATTATTTATACTCTTAAACAGTCAGAAATGAAATCTAATTTATAAGCAAAATGTTTAGAAAGTAAAATAAAATATTTAAGAAAATTAGGAGCAAGGGGAAATCTCTTAACAAAACTTATAATAATTTTAAAAATGAGTATTAAGTACTATGTACACAAACACCTCAATAACTTTTGATGTAATGGTTGAATTTTCACATATCATGACTTAATCTTTATAGTTGGAGGACGTAATCATGGATATGCAGATGAATTTTTAAGTGACTAACTCAATATAATGTTACATTAAAATAGATTTTACATATGATTTACCCAAAATGCCGGTACTTTTTATAGTAATTTGATGCGAAATTTTTTACAGTGTATGCTTTTAAATAGATGTATAGCAATGAATAAATTAAAAAAACGGACCTTTTTCAAATAAATATAAATTTTTTCTTACAAGTTTGGATTTCTGATCTTCAGCATCTGGGGGGTAGCATACCTTTTTTCCCGCTGGTTTCAGATTTCTGACTCCCAAAATATAGGGGGTAGTCACAATCTGGGAAATACGATCTCAATAATTTAATCAGGAGAGTGGTCAAATGTTTGGACCTTTTAAAGATCATTTCACTTTTTGCGTATTTTTTGCACCCCAAAGAAGTCAGATTTTTAAACATTTATTTCTAAGAGACTATTAAACTGATTTCGATCAATTGCCAATCAGATTGGTGCCAATTTGAAGAATAACATCAGTGGATTTGATCTCCCTAGAATCGTTACCCACAGGTAAAAGAAGTAACCCAACCTCGACATATCAGTTCTAATGTTAAGAAAATGTCTAAGTTCACTCTCACATTATAAATACTAACACCAGGGGTTAAAACTAAGTAAATTTAGTTCAAAGGACATTACTAGTCCATATACACTGTCACTGGTTTGCTAATGTGCCTCTATTAGAATTTTCCTTAAAAAGTTAATAAATCGGATTTGAATAAAAAGATTAAAATGCAGAGAATATGTGATGTCATAAATAAGATGAAATATGCTATTTTGTGAAGAAAATACAAGTCAAAATCAGAGAATTTAAAATATTAATTTCATATTCTTTTAATAAATAATAATTTAAAAAAGCAAATAAAACGTATACTTTAAGTTTTATAATAAATGTAGTCATTTTTTTATTTTATATATTCTTTACAGATTTCATTTCCTTCACAAATATATTTCTTTTACAATTATATTTGCTTTAAAATATTTTTTCATTTATTAAAATAAAATTCCAAAAATAAACAAATATTAAACAGTATACTACCCTTTTATAGTAATTACTGGTCCAGAAAACCACTGATAATTTATTTTATGGTGGTCCGAATCAAATTTGGAAGACCATTTTTAATTTTAAGCCATGACTGACATGCATTACATGCATATGCAATTGAAAACTATCAACACAATCAACATGGTAAAAGCTCTGCAACACAACAAAACTAAGAACATATTGATTTTAAAAAAATTAATGAATAAAAGGAGGATTACCGAGATTTTCCAGTGACAAGGATTTTAGAAGGATCAAACGCCCTACACGCTAATCCAGCAGCATGTATACTTCTTAAGACTGAACTCAGTTGAACAATGTATCCCCAAATTAAACTCTCAGGAAGCAAACCTGCATGCTGTCTCAGGTTGTTCAAAACTGTAGAAGGAAACAAAAATGCAATATAAAATTTGTGATAAAAATAATTGAGCCATTGATACATTCACTTACATTTTTCTTCTTATAGAATTGATTAGAATACAATTGTAGTGTTTTTTCAGAAATATTTAAGATTTTTGTTTTTAAGCCTATGTTATGATTAAATTGCTTTTTGTTAGTGAGAATGAAAGAAAAGATTCACACCTAACATAAAAGTGAAAGGCTCAATAACTATTTATCACATGTTTTGTTGCATGGCAACAATATATATGTTACTGTGAATGACAGAAATTGGTTGTTGAGTTCCACCGGCAAACGGTGAAAATCGACGCAGCTTTGGAAATGCTGATATTAAAAACTGAATAATCTAGAAGTATTTTGAACTGCTGAAAGTCATTATGTGGTGCATAAGATACTATTGGGGCAATTATTCAGGCCTTAATGTATAATTGCTGTGCCAAGATATTGAAATGTCCTCATTCAGACTAAAATTTTGAACACGAAATCTGTTTCTGAAGTACTTTTTCTCTTAGAACTACAGTTTTCATTTGTATCATCATCAGCTGATGTTAAGGCAGTCAAATCTTTCAACAAAAAATAAGTACCTTTTAAGCACTCAAAAAATATTTTTAAGCCTCATATACATTAACAAAATGTAAAATAATGTTCACAAACTTTACATGATCATGATAAAACAACTAGTTTTTGACAAGGAACTATTTTCTTGATTATATTAGCCATTAAAAAATAATCAAGAGATTTTTCAGTTCGATTTCAGAGGGTGGAAAATGAAGCTTGAAATTGAGAATATCTTGCAAAATTCAGTAAAGTTGTACATGAGAGTGTAATAATCTCATCGAATCCAGCTCACTATACGCACATGCGGGGTTCGCAAGTATTTCATCAAACCTGTAAAATGATTGGCGCTTTCATACGCTACGGAACAACGGTACAGTGAAACAGATTGTGGTTTAATGAATTGTGGAAACGTTGAATAGAACAATATAAAAAGCACACTTTTGATGTATTTAAATAAATTTTACAAGTCACTGAGTTAAAAAATTAAAACAAAGTTGCTGCTTGTGGAGAGATGTAAACACACTAGATATAATCTTTCAAATAATTCTGTCCATATTTTTCATCAGAAATTGAAATTTATTTTTTATATGCCAAATTTCAAGAGTTTAAAATGGAAAATTCAATTCTATACATTCATTATCAATCCCCACAATAATTTTATAATTTTAGATTGCCTGATTTATCATAAGACCTGCGATGCTAAATCCTAGGGCCCCCTTATTTCTGGTAGTACCCGAAATGTTACAATAATTTCGTTTTGTGTTTATCAATAAGAATTATCAATTAGAATTATGAGCTAACAAAAATAGAAAAAGATATAAGCTCAATATTTACTAATGCATCATAATTTACTTATGTTATAAATAATTTAAAAGCACTTCATTATTAAACAAAAGGTAATATCGTTTAAAGTAACGACCAGGGGCCCCCGTCATTCTTCATCAGGTCCTGCATATAACCCCAAAAATAAAAAATATGTCATAAAACAAGCATACATTGAAGAATAGAAAATGATTATTTTTGTGAGAAACATATTAATTTAAAGGCAAATCATTACCAGGTTTTGAAGATCCTTCTACTTCAGCAGGGCAGAAATTAGGCAAATAACCATTCAACACTTGAGATGATGGTTGGTTAAAATAAAGATTCATCAAGGTATCAGCACCTGGATGGTAGTCATGGACAAAGATCATAGCTGCGGGAATAAAAACATCTATAAGCTTTTATGGTTTTTTATATATAAATGCAGGAGTTTAAAAACTCTAAATTTTTCATCCACTACTAAAAGTAAGCTGAAGCAATTTCTATCAAAATGAGTCATAAAAGAACCTTTTAGATTTAGTATTCTACACACTTGTTAATTGCAAGCACATTTTTCAATTATTGGGTTGATCAAAAAGTATTTTTTTTATGAAAATGAAAGAAGATTTTCATGAAGTGAAAAAATTTTTTATTGAATAACCTTCTGTCATCTTTCTGGCAGTAGCATCATTCCATGCTCATAAAACTTTTGTTCTTTGCTGGTGAAAAACTGGTCCAGGTCATTTTTGACCTTCTATTTTCTTCTCATTTGACAATCTCTAACTCAAGAGTTCATGGAGCAAAAAAGATGAACTAACTCAAAGCAATTTGAGTCTGTTCTTTTCTTTTTTTGCTCCATGAACTCTTGCGTTGAAATTGAAGTGGGCAGCACATTTCTCATCCCAGGATGCACATCAAAAGTAAATAATGTTTTTGTTTTTTTTTTTTACCTTTGAAAAACATATCACAGACGTCAACACAAATTTCCTTCCATAAGAACAGTGAGGAGCCCATATGATGAGCTTTAAGATTAAATCTTAGATGTTTTAAATTATGAACAGTCTAATTCATTATTTTTAATCTCTAAGTAATCTCATGAGCTGTTATTCACCAGTTTGCATCATTTTATGCCTTTATAAGGACTTCATCAGCTGCAACTGGTGATCCAGAATGTGGTGTATCTTCATTAAATTTGTCAGATTGAAATTTTGCAAAAGTTTTGCTTTCAACACATCTTTTCCATACACATTGGATAATTTTTTTTCCTGAACAGCTCTTTCACATTTACAAAAATAAAAAGGTAAAATATGCCAAAAATGCTACTTTTTACTTTCCATAATTGAAAAGGCACCAACCAAATGTTACTGCATATAATAAACTGAGCTTTTCCACAAGCAAGCATTGCTACATCAGCTGTCAAAATATATAATTATTATATGGCTTCAGTGTGAAGTTGGCTGTGAAAAAACATAATAAAGTAATTCATTGGGAAAAAACAAAATTACTTTCCGAACAACCCAACAAAGCTTTTGAGACTTTTTAAAAATAATAAGTTTTGTCAAGTATAGGGTGAATTTAAAGTCATGTACATCAAAATGTAAGCAAGAAAAAGTATTGTTGTAAGGATTGGAAAATACACAATTTTTAATTGACTTAGTGACTTAAGTTTACAGACATGTATCTTCATTTAAAAAATACAATCAAAAAAAATTGAGACAGGTAACTTACAATTGTCTCCAAATGCTTTGGTAGTAAAAACTTCTCTCAGATGCACTAAGTTTGAATGTTGAAGTTTTTTCCAAGTTTCGATTATGGAGATACATTTTGTATTTGAAACTCTGAAACCTGCAAAAAGCATGATCATCAATATTATTTTCTAACCTAAGGAGGAAAATCTAAAAAACTGAACTCAACTAAAGCTAGGCAGTGAAAATAGAACCTAACAACACCAAGGTGGAGCTACTATGTGCACTGCAGCAATGCGGTAGTTGGATGCAGAACACGGCACAGTGACATTTTTGGTTTATGAATTGCTGTGCAATTCTCAATCATCCTCAGGGATGTTTCTCAGACCGTCACCAATAGCCCATTGTGGAGCTCTAGTGCGATGTAAATGAACTACAACAACAATCATTAAAATATGTCCTACTTCCTATTAAAGTTTGATGTTAAGCTTTTGAGACCTCTGTGTAGTGCCAATTTTTACAATTTGGCATTTACACTTCAAGAAGATAACTCATACCCACACATGTAACAAACAGCGTCAGCTGATCGTTTATAAGCAAAATGTAGTGTAAAAGTGGAGCTAAGTTTCTCTACATAAGTTAGAATGTTAATTAGGGTAAAGTTAATTAAATACAGTGCGGTATCACACGTCGAATTTGTTGAACTATAATTCTTTCTTGTCTACATATTTTACCTAACTTAGATTTATTATTTATGTATTTTATGGATATATTTTTGTAATTTGTACCTGGCAACTTCGATTCATAATTAGTTTGTTTATGTTCTACATGGCTTCGTGCTTGTCTTTCTGTTAAGTATGAAATATATGGTGAAATAATTGAAATCTTTGTGTATGAATATAGTATGTGCCACTTAAGAGAACTGATATTTGACTGCTGAAGTTACTCAAAATAGAATGGAAAGAACAATTGCTAACGTAAACAAAGGCACGTTTCAACTACCAATCAGGATCAAGATACCCACACCAAGTCGCTTCCCCATTACATAAATTCATGTGATTGACATAAGTTATGATTAAAACAAAGCTTCTTACCTAACTAAAAAGTTTAAGTTTAGATGTTAAACTTAATAAGGTGCAGAAATCAGTAAATTTGGTGAGGTTTCAAATACTTAATGATTAGAAGAAAGTACAAAGGAGCAGCCAAACATACCATGAATTCGTCTCATACAGTAATAAACTCCAGTTTTAATATGAGCCGCCTTATACACTGATGTAACATATCCAAAAGTGGAAGATTTTATAGGGCTGTCACCAATGGGTGGTTCAAGAGGGCATAATTTGTGGTAAGCATCTACTTCAGCAGGAAGATCTAAACAAAATTAATTAAAACTTCTCTTGTAAATGTATAAAACAACAATTTTATATTATTAAAATTTTGATACATATCTTTTTACATTATCACATTTTCTTTAGAAAAATATTCTCGTCATAAAAGAAATTTTGTTTTAGGAGATAATTGGATGAAATAAAATAGTAATTTAGTTCAAATTTCAGTTTTAAAAAAAAGTTATTTATTTTAGTATCATATACATGTCAAAAACATAATAATAATTCTAAATAAAACTTATGCTGATCTAGTACCATTACATACCATTTTCCATTGATAGACGAAAGCCTATCCATATTTAAACTTTAAATTATCATGCGAGGTGGCGTATCCGCCAGTATGGCCCATACTGTGATTTCATTTTTTAACAAATCTGCAATTACTGTGGATTGATTAAAAAATAGATGTTTATTAAAGTATATTTTGAAATGTGAACCAATATAAAATTGTTAGCTCTGAAAATGGTATTTTTATCATTATTTTCAACAAAAAAATTTTTTGAATACAATATACCGTCATAAAAAAATACAATGCCATCTACGAATGCGTAACAAATGCTGATTTGTAAGTTAATAATAAATCAATATCAGAGCGAGATATAATAAAAATGATATTATAATCAATCAGTATCAGAGCAACATATAAGTTTCTCTCTTTCCCTTATCTATATTTTTTTGTAAATATTTTATTTTCAAATTGTCAGTAAATAAGATATAACTTCCTTTTATTCTGTTCCACTCATCTAAAAAAAATTTGATTTATTTGTGAAGGCTGATCACATTTCCTTCAACAGAGTATAATTTTCTAATTTTGATAAATATTTACAGCCATGTAATTAATCATTATCTTTATAAAGACAGAAGCAAGAAAAGTCTAGAAGCAGATTTCATTTCAAATTTTGCTTAAGAGGCACATCGTTGGTCCTTTGGCTAAAATATAATCACAGCTTTCGAGGTCTGAATATAAAAAAATATATGTATAGCAATGCTACAGGACCTTAAACAAATGAATATTGGAAAAAGAAATCATGAGAGCATACCACTGCCTATTATTTTCTTTTATTTTGTGCTTAAGTCTTCTTTTTTTCAACAGAAATCATTTAAAAGAGAAAATTTGATATTTTAATGTTTTGTCAGTGACTAATAATTGATGATCTCTCTCCAAAAATGAAACAAAAACAATGCAAATAAAAAATGTAAAGAATCATTCTCCATTTTTTCGTCTTGAGTTAAGATATTTCACTTTTTTTCTTTGTTCAGTTGATCCCAGAAACCATAATATTTAGAAAAGGGAAAAAAAATAAAACTTTACTTATCATGCAGTGTTATTTTTCTCATTTCTGATGACAATGAAAGACAGAATAAGGCAATTAACTTCCTTAACACAAAGATATTTAACTAACAGCATAGAACATGGAAAATAAGCAATGTAAATATCTTTGCTTAACCACCAGAGGTAAGCTATCACATAATTACTATAAAATTACTCTATTTATTATGCAACTTTTTATTGTACAGGGTGATTCAGCAAACTCAGTATAAAATTGAAAAGCACATCACAGAGATTGAGTATCGCATTAGCAACCAGATATAACAGTGTACATTGGCGTTTTCCTATTACGGCCCGCCTGTAGTTGAATCGATACCACTAGTAAAATATTTCATGTTTTATAATAATAATTATCAAAAAGTTTCTTTCAAACAATGAGATCTGTATGTTATTCACTCAATCTGTAACTATGATACATTAGTTCACTTATTTCAATAAACCTTTGACAATCATTAATAGAAAACAAAAAATTAAAATAAAATTAAGAGAATTTAGAAAAATAAAAGTGTGGGTTTGAATGCAACCAATCAGCATAGGGAAGTAAGCCTAGGGGTGTATGTCCCTACTTCCCCTCCTATTTTTCCTCTTCTATCTTCCCATCCCCATAGATCAGGGGTGGCGAACCTTTATGCACCAACGTGCCATTTTTTCTAAAAAAAAATTTAATTTGGTCATAGACGTGCCGTCAAACAATTCTGACTTCGTGATTATTGGGAAAATAATAACACTAAATACTATCAACTCAAAACTCTTTATTTACTATGAAAAAGAATACATTTCGCAATGTCTAAGTTACGCGTAATTCAACTTAAAGTAACATCAGTGTTACTTCTGTTGTCGCAGATTAGATGACAAATAACTTATATTAGGTTGTAAGATGTTATTTTAAGCTGGTCTTCTAATTTTTTTTTTTTTTTTGCTAGTTATTTATTGTTAGCTTGTTTTTTATGGTAAGTAATTGTTTTTTGGCAATAATTGTAATTTTTTGTTAATAATTGTTTATTTTTTATGCTTGTTTTCGTGAATTTTAATTTAATTGGTAAATTGCTTCACAGTGAACTTCGTGATCGGTGGCGTGCCCAAAATATTATGTGGCGTGCCATTGGTTCGCCATCCCTGCCATAGATATTTTATATCTATGCTGAATAACTCAGTACTTAAAACATAATTAATGTGCTTAATTAAAAGACTCTGTTACTGTGAATGACAGAAATGGGTGGTTGTTAACTTCCACTGGTGAATGTTGACAATCACAGAGTCACTTTGGTAAATGTCAGAAATATATACTAGGTCTTTAGTTAAGTTTCATTGCCCGGTACATCAATATGCCTACATCAATGTTTTTTTAAGGTCAAGTTCCACTGCCCAGTATGCATTTAACCAGTACTCTGAAGACTGATGTTTCTCCTAATCTATCCTCAGCAGATATTAAAAAATAATAATATCAACGAATAAATCAATATCAAATCGGATATAACAAATATTCTGGACATTCACCAAAGCGGCTGATTGTTGAAATTCGCCGGCGAAAGTCGACATTCTCTTGATTTCGGTCATTTATGTTAACAACTGTAACAATAAACTTAAATACAAACAAATAAAGAACAAAAGAAGAAATATAAATTTTTTTTTAAAAAAAACCTGTATGTTGCTCAGGGTTGGCTTCAGCAAGAGTAAGCTGATGACGATGCAAAATATCCTAAAAAATAAACAAAAGTTACATATTCAGATAACAATCTGCATAGAACAAGGAAAAATTTATTTTTACAGGCACAAATTGCTCTGACTTTTTTTATGCCAACAACATAAAGTTTCTAGGGGGATCAAATTGTTGATGCCACTTTTAAAATTTTCAATATTTTCTGCAAAAAGATACAAAATACTTCAGAAGGTGTGTGAAAAATTTAATTTTTTCTTTTTATTCTACACCTGCCCAACCTTTTGCAAACTATTTTTTTTTTTTTTTATTTCATAACAGTTGTTGAACAGCCAACCTAATTTTGGGTGTATGACTACTGATGTTCAACTCTGTAGTCTTGTAATTTTGAGCCCAAGACAAGGGAACTCGTGGATCAAGTATTGGGAGAAATTTGCCTTCGTGAAGGACTTATTAATGGAACTAAGCTGCATACATGGAAAGGAAAACCACAAAAACCTCCCACGGTTAGCCTGACGGTAAGGCCTCTAACCCATGATCCGTTTACCACTGAGTATATATTTTACGTCAGCACTGTGGTCGGTGCATGACGGGTGCAGAATTCGAACCTGGTTCACCTCATTGGAAAGCGAACGCTCTATTCCCTGGGCACTGTGGCTCTTTGCAGACTATTTGGAAATAGTCTATGAGGAGCACTTAGTGCTCTGGTTTGATAAACTCCAATTTAGAGTAACCACTTAATATTGTTGCTTGGAAACAGCACATTTTATCGATGGCAACTTTAAGACAGACTTATTAGAATAAATGTGTAAGACTAAATGTGTTACATACAATATAATGTGTATTAGGCTGAATGCGTCACATATAATACATTTAGTCATTACATACATCAGTCTACATTCAGTCTAATACATATATGATAAAATGTAGATGTATTTAAAAATATTAATTGACAGTTCAAAATAATAAAATACAAGAAAGAAATTACCATTCGTAGTTCATCAGGCAGGAAGAATGAGGGAGCGTTTGCTTTTAATCGCATGTGCTCTATGTGGGATGGATTTCCAGGATAAAGATGCATATCAGGTAAAATAAGTGGCGATATATCTGAAGTCTCTTCTTGAGAGTAAAAATAAGTCGTGCCTCCTACAGACTCCTATCAAAATATTTTAAGAACCTACATTGTTAATAACTAGAATAATTTAAATATATACTTGACACAATAATTTTTACTCTCTCCCAAAGTGGTCAGTTTTTGACCATGGATAAAAACCAGCAAATGATGTCACGCTTGGAGGAAAAGAAGCATTTCATGAAACTGTGACAGTATATGACAAGGGATTGACAAGAAGTGTAATAATACAAGTTTTGGTCAAAATATTTAAAAACCACAGATTAATTAATTTTACATTGTTTTTCATTGTATTATTGGGATGTTTGTCTTATTATTTCTTCGTAATAAAAATATACTCAATGATATAAATGCATTCAATGAAATCGAAAATGCTGCGCTTTTTATGTTGCATTTTAATGTAATAATTCAATATAAAATGCAAAACATTTTCAGTTTCACTGAATATCTTAAAGCTATCTTAATAAAAAAAAAATTTTAAAAAATTTTAAAAATAAAAAATTTAAAAAAAATTTTAAAAACAATAACAGAAAAGTAAACATTATTTTAACTGAAAATTCTTTGTTATTGTTGAAAACTGCCTGATATATAAATATACACAAAGTTATTCATAAACATTTTTGTCAGAAAACATTGCCTTTTTGTACATATTCCTTCATAAAAAATTAATTCATTAATTAAATAATGACTAAACACTGATAAAATTATTTGTGATTACTGATTTAATTCTGATTACTATTACAAATATTTATTTTGTCAGTATTTTTCTTCACTGGTTAAATTTTTCTTTTCTCTTTTTGCAGGGGGTGAGGGATTAATGAATTTTTAAAGTGATGTTAAATTTTAAATTGGTTTATTTTTTAAATAAATACCCTTTTTAAAGAAAATGCAGCTTTAAATGTTCATTGTCTCATAATTTTTAGTTTAAATTATAGGAAAAAAAACTTGCAAGTTGTTTATCAATTAATCATTTTTTAGCTTACTTCTTGAAAAAATTTGTGTACCGTGATTGTCTTTTAGAATGTCTTTAATTATCTTTTATAAACTACAAATTTTTCTCTTATTTCAACAATGAGTGAGTATTACTTTTTGAAATACAGACACAAAATCATATGAGAGGGTAATTTAAAAATTGTTGAGGATCAAATTCAATTATTACATAATATTACACAATTTGATACATTTTTATGGCGTTAAGTAAATCCCCTTTTCTGTGAGAAATCACCCTGACTATTTTCGTTCCGGAGGAGAGAACTCTGTATTTAATTCATACATTAGATTAGTATACACTAAGGCAATANTAAATATATATATATATATATATAAAACTTCAAGTGCATTAGGATTTTGTGTCTATCATCCAAAAGTTGTGACAGCTTTTGATGGTTTTGGCAATTTTAATTAGGCAAGGGTCATTCTACCTAGTTTCATATACTGGTCACGACAAAAATACGTTTTTGACACATAACACATCCACTCATGCTTCCCCCAGTGTAAAAATTAAAAAAAGAGGCTATGCCTATACTAAAATAGAGTCAACAAGTTCCAGCAAGCAGCAAGTTCCAACATACTTTATTTTTCAGTAATAGCAAAAAAATGTTTTTGATATCAATACATATTTCGCGTCTCACCATCATATGACTTTACTGAGAGAATAGCCTGGTTTATATTTGTGCTTATTATAGCGCAAAGACAACGTCTTTGTGATAATACTGGTAAAAATTTTTAAAATTAATATTTTATAAAAATGTCCTTAAAAATTTAGATTTTAATATAAAAACTGTATTTTAAATTTCAATTTATTTATTCTCTCATTTTTTTACATATAAATATATAAGCTTAAGACTTCCTTTAATTCTCTTCAGTTTAAGTCCTAATACAAAAAAATAATAGAAAGTGCAGAAAATTGCAATTTCTTTTTACAAAATATATATATATATATATACAGTGGAGCATCGTTTATACGACGCCGAAGGGACCACCGTAAAACGTCGTATAAACGATAACGTCGTATAATCGATTTTTACTTCTAAAACTGAAACTAACTCTGTTTTCAGTTCATTTTAATGTTTAACGTGTTGATTTACATAAATTTCTAAATTAGACAAAGCAAAACAAACAAATAACCAAAGAAGAAAAATTGCAGTGAGCAATTTGAATGTATGTTACCTTTAATTATATTTTCTTGCTATTAGTCTCTACAATGCTTTGAATAGCGAGTTGATCTTACTGCTTTCTATGATGCAATTTTAAATTTCTAATCACGGCCAAATCTAATGGCTGAAGCGCACTTGTGCAATTCGAGGGAAAAAGAGAACTTTTACATTTTCCAAAATAATTAGTATCGTTGGGTGCGCTGGACATTGGTCGATGAATAGCAAAATTTTTCGTTTTTGCTCTTCATAACATTGTCTAGTTTTTTCAGTCATCTAGTAAAAATTACGGTCGTCATCCAAGCATTCTTGTTGACACCCTTTTCTGTATCATTCATGTTGGCAAATGCCGCCCTTTTTTAAAATACACAAGAAAAAATAAAAAATTAAATAAACGTAAACAAAATCTAAAAACCGACGTATAACTGATTCTGCGCGTCGTATGAACGATATATTTTTACATTAAAATGAATAGGAATGATTTGGTACCACACTAAAACGTCGTATAAGTGATCGTCGTATAAACGATGCTCCACTGTATATATAAAACTGAATTGTAAATAAAATTACATGTAATTAAAAATAATATACATGCATATATATTGCATGTTTTAATTTTTCAGAGCATAATTATAAAACTAACAAAAAAATAACGTTTAATTATTATTTATTATTTTAAAATGACAATTCATTATTAATATTTTTTGTAATTATTAAAATTAAATTAAGTACAAAAAAAATTGGGCATAAAGATGCAAAACTTCACATCTAAATAATTTTATAATCTGAAATCAATAAATTAAAAAGTATCTGACAAAGTAAAAACTTTTAAAATTAGTAATCTATATTTTTTAATACAAAAGTGCATAGTTATACATCATTTGTCCCCCATGTAACAAAGATGAATGAGATTGGAACATAAAAATAAGTATGAAATTGAAATTACAAAAAAGAAAACAATAGTAACAACTCATAATAAAGGCTACATAATCAGAAAATGGATATCAATGTACATAAAAGAAATTTAGTCAATGAATATCCACGACAGCAACTCTAACTTTCCGATATTTACCCCATGAATTCCCATCATTCAACCAACTTATTATTAATTTAAAGACTACCAATTTTTATACTGTAATTTATTCAACAGATTTATTACATTCTGTGGGTTTCAATATATAAAAAAAAGCATAATTGTTCAAAAATGTTTTCATCTGTAACAATAAATTATATAAACAGGGTTAAAAATTAACGTCAGTTAAACAACATTCAATTCTGATTCAGATTACCATAAAATAAACCATCAGTGGTCCGTTGGACAAATAATCAATGTTAACGAATGGTATGGGAATGTTGTTTCGGTTTTGTATTAGAGTCAGTGTTTTTGTCGCAAAATAGTAAATTTCATCATAATTGAGAACATAACACATTTTCCGGATTGTAAATTTTTATTTAAATTCATCTAAACTTTAAAAAATATAGAGAGTAACAGAGAAATATCAGCGAACCAATGAAAATGTGTACCGACTAGTAATATTTAGTTACTGGTCTTTTGGGCAAGTGACAACATTTTTTTTAACTTCTACTCTTAATAAATATCAATCAATGAAAATTTTCATGGAATTAACTTTGAGCAAAGAAATATTTAATTTAGGCAAATAGTTCCAGACATATGGCAGATAAAAATATCAAATCTTTTTATTACTTTGATGGATATTATATTATTAAGAATAACTACGAATAACTACCACATTACTTTAAGAATAAAAAACTAAATCTGTCTAAGATAAGATTTTTCAAGAAATGTTTGTGTTTGATTTGACATTGCAGTATAACCTTGAAAAGTCCTGATCCTGATTTCCGAAATTACGGTACTTTAGATATTTGATATAAACAAACAGAGATGTCAAAGTTACGGCCCAAAATGTGGGGGAAAAGCCTTTTGGTTCTATCATAAATAAACATGGTTTTTACTGTTGTTTTTTTTAGCACTTATTCTATGGATTTTCACATTATTTTTAGAATTTACCATAATATATCCCTTAAAATCTTGATTTTAATATAACACGAATTTAAATGTCACAATTGAGTACATTTTTTATGTGCATGAATCATTAAATTAGTCTATGATTTATCAGTAAATTAGTCTTGTCAATCACCTTTTGAACAGTTTGTTAATTAGATTTTATGGTCTTTAAAGCCTCAATATTTTTAACAGACTATTGTTAATTCACAAGGACTTGTAGATCATTTTTTCAGCAGTACCTGATTAATTGCTATGGACTTTTTAAAATCTTGGTTTCTTTTTAAGCATGTGGCAGTTTTTGCAATGAATAAAATTTTTTGTTTTAAAAAAATTATTTCAAAATGGCATTATAACCAAACGCAATTCACCACATCTTGTCTCTAGTTCAAAATTTAGTTTGGATTTTTCTCATTACAAGTAGAAAAGAATTGTCCATTTTAAAGAGCAGATTTTCAAGGTCATACTGAATCATAACCCCCAATTAAAACGCTTAAAAACCAAATGAGAAGATATTTACTTGAATCAAGTTGGAGCTTGTTGGAGTCATGTATTGCTCATGGGAAGGGCTGGCAACAGAAGATGGACCTGGAGAGCAAGTTCTTTTACTGAGAAGTGGGGATTGCTGCGGAGAGCATCTGGACAAGCGACTATTCATGTCAGCTGCTGAAAACATCATCAGCAAAGCATCACAAACAAAGCAAAGAATAAGAATAAAACTTAAACATTGCAAGCTCAGTGAGCTACTAATTGGGATTCAAAGGTTTTAGATGAAAAAAATTTTTTCTTAACTCTTAGAATCATGGCTTAAACAAGGTTCTCACACATCTTATCACACTAAAAAAAAAATAAGTATTTTCTCTAACTTTATATGAATTAATGACAAAATATTATAAAAGTCAAAGTTAATGCATGACTTAAAACCAAGTGTTATAGTCCTACAGTTTACTGGTTTTGTGTCAATTCATCGTGCACAATTTATCTTGGAACAGTACGTTGTGAGCAAAATGTGCTGTCCTCCCAATGGATTCAAAACTCTTCCCCTTTTTATCTTTTGTCGCAAACTATTTCTTTATTTCAGGATCAATAATTATCTAAAGAATTAACAATGCACGTGAAAAACAGTTGGTAAGAATGTAACAGTAGTGCAAAGGATGTTCTTCTCCTCAACCGAAGAAGCCATTGATGAACAGCCCTTCAGAATTTATCTTGGGATATCGTGCAAACTTTAGCTGGGGAGAATATGCTGTGAGTACAATTCGTTATGCTCATAACGGAATCAAAACCCTTCCTCTTATCTTTTGCAGCAAACTATTTCTTTATTTCAGGATCAATAATTATCTAAAGAATTAACAATGCAGGTGAAAGAAGGCTGGTAAGAATGTAACAGTAGTGCAAAGGATGTTCTTCTCCTCAAGCCGTTGATGAATGCCCCTCCTGGAGTCACCACAAGAATAACTATCTCTTTTACAAGGACAGATGGAATTGCAATTTCATTTCTCATGCTGCAGGTATTGCAGTGATAGAGAAATATGAAGTTTCGTTTAATTTCTTTTCTTTAATTCCCTGTCACTCATAAATTGTTACCCATATGCTACAACTCTCTCATTATACAAGATACAGGACCTCTATACCAATGTACTATATTAGGAGTGCAATAAAAAAATGCAAACATACCTATGCCAAAATGTCCAAAAGGTGTACTAACTAACTGAGGAGACTGCATAGAGAACTGGGAAAACGAAGGAGAGCTCAGGCTGTGCGGCATGCGATTAAGTAGGCCATTTCCAAACTCCTGAAAATAAAGCAACAACTTTCTATATTTTTAGTACAAATATCATGCATTTTCTTATTGAATTAAGATCTAAATAAACTTGACATTTCACCCAGAAGAAATTTATTGCTGGACACTGGAAGAAACTGGAAAAAAACAGGAAATAACTAGGTGAAATGAAAGTAATTACAAAAGACCAATAAAATTGTTAAATACTAATGATATTCTAAGAATAGCTTAAATTTAATACAGTGCTAGAAGTTTAAAATTTTTTAATCTAATTAAAAAAATCAAGTTTTATTTAGTTAAAAAAAATCAAGTTTTATTATTATTCTAGAATTTTAAAAATGTATCCATGTTACTTGATAGCTGGTTTGAGCATTCATACTTAACAGTATTTGATTATGAAAATTAGCACACTATTTGTAATTGGGAAATCAATACATGATTTCTAGTCATATAATGCAGCACTTGTGTTTGCATTATATGACTAGACTTGTTACACAGTGCTAACAATGTTATGAAGTTTTTGCACTGTTATGTGATTTCATAATATTGTAGTATTAAAAAAATTGATTACAACATTTTAAGAATTATGTAACTAGGTTTTACTGTACTCATGTACATTGAAAAACTGTAGTTATTTTAATTTCTCAAAAAATTTATTAATTTTTTTTCTAAATGTTGCTTTTGTTATTATTTTCTAGTTTAAAAAAAGGAGATGAAGTAGCTTTAATGTTAATATTATTATTCAAATTAAATTGCATAGATAAACTGCTAGTAAACTATTCAAATTCTTCATATTTCTTTTTGGCCGTTTTCTCGATGGTTTTTTTTACGTTTCACAAAATTCTTAATGCCAAAACAGTGTTTTGAACTAAGTAAGAGTCTATTGCTTAAAGATGAAAAAACTAAACTGTGTTTAAGTATTAAGTTAAGTAAGCTATTGGGAGTGCAAGCACATGTATTGCAACTATTCGGAGGGGTTAACAATTGTCAGCAAGGAGTGTGCAGCAGATTATGGAAATTAAATCACCACAATGCAAAAAAGTGGAGAAATCATACACAGGATCATCACATACTAAACTAGGCAGAGGCTACAATTTCAAGGGGCAGTTTAAATTTGCTTTTATTATTTATAAGATCCTTTTGTTGCAATAAAATTCTGCTACCTCTTTTACTCTAAAATAAATTAAAATCATGGATATTGCCTATTAAAATATAGCTTATTAAGGCTTGAAATATATACATAATAAAGATTTCAAATTAACAGTAAGAAATCAGGTATATCAGAATTCATACAGGATGTTTAGAATTTCCTCATTCTGTTGTTTTAAATTTCTACTCTACCATGTCGCTTGTGATTAATCAAATTTACACATGCACACAAATTAAGGTGTGCAATGTAGATAAAAAATGATGAATAGAATAAAGATGAGAGATTTGTTGACGAATAACAATGTATCACTTGTACAACACCAAAATCTAAAAAAAGATTATATATAACAAAATATGCAAATGACACAACAAATAGAAATTTTCACCTTTCCACTTAAATCAATAGCTTCATTTCCACCAGCAGCATCTGGATAATAGGACGCTCCATCTTCTACTGGCATAGACTGAAATTCAAAAAGAAATTGAATTAGACATTTAGAAATTTAATTGATAACAAATTGTTTTTTTTTCCTTCTAATTACGAACAGCTTTAGTTTTATATCATAACCCAATGATCACAAAATGTATACCCCCGAACACCATGGCACCTGACAATTCTTCTCACTTTTCTTCTGTATGTTATTTACATGCAGCCACAGTAAGAAGTGTTCAGAATTCAATAATCCTACACAAATGTAAAATGAGGTAAAAGGAGAGCTTCACAGATTGTGTAAAACTGATTAACCAGTTCATATAAGAGCATTTAAAGAGAATGTAAAGTAGTACTAAGAAAAATATAACACAGCATTGTAATGTGATCTGTAATGGGGAAAAAAATGAGTATGGAACATTCATAGTCATATTTGCTGTCAATGGTCAACACTGCAGAGTTCTCCTTAGAAATAAAAAGGGGCGCTTCCTCTCTAAGAAGGGCACTCACTTAACACTTTAAAAATTTATAAAAATGTGTAATATTATATAACTGAATTTTACCCTCAATAATTTTTAAATTACTCTCTAATAATATTTTACGTGCATTTTTAAAAAGTAATTCTATCTCATTATCATATTAAGGTAAAAATTTGTAGATTATAAAAGACAATAACTGTGCACAAATTTTTTTCAAAAAAAGTTAACAAAAAATGACAAAAAATAACTGTAATTCTATCTCATTATCATATTAAGGTAAAAATTTGTAGATTATAAAAGACAATAACTGTGCACAAATTTTTTTCAAAAAAAGTTAACAAAAATGACAAAAAATAACTTAAAAGCTTTTTTTCGATAATTTAAACTGAAAATTAAGAGGAAATGAACACTTAAAGGTGCATTCTTTTATTTCTTTTAAAAGAAAAATGTAGTTGTTAAAAAAATAGTTTTAAAATTTATCAATATCTCGACGTAAAAAGATACTCATAAAAATGTAACCAGTTCAGAATTATCCTAACAAAGTAAATACTTGCAATAGAAATCAGAATTAAACCTATAAACACAGATAATTTTACCAGATTGTAATTATAATTTAAACAGCGAATTAATGTTTTTTAAAATGGAACATGAATAAAAAGGAAGGGATGGCAGCTTATTTTTACAAAAAGGGCAAAGAGGGTGCATTTATTGGGTCCAAAGGGCAGGTAGGCAGGGTGGGCCGCCCTTAAACAGACACTTAAGGAGAATACTGACACTGTATAGAAAAAGTAGCTGTCAACGAGTAGTGTCAACATTTTCCTGAAGAGCACACATCAAATCAAGTTTACAGACAACTATGCCACACTTTGCAGGGCTGCAAACTACTATGCTTTTTGGAAAATATTTTATGGAGTGGTAGACAATCAAGAACAAAAGCTTTCAGTATGTTGGTTAAATTGGTCCACCTTTTAAAACTTCACCAAGAGATAACTGGAGAAAAGTGGCACCTCGTGTGTGACTCACAAATATGATTGCACAGAAGATTGTGGGGAAAACAAGAAACTTTCTTTACAGATTCAAACATTCATCTAGATAGCAGATAGATAGTAAACTTGGCATCATCTGACAGTTGTTAGGTCCCTACTTACAAACATGTATAAATGTTCGATTGATAGAGTTCTTTGCATAATGTGGTATCACCAAGCCAGATAAGTATAATGCACACGAACGCATGGAAAATTGAGCATCATCATGGAAAATATTTTAGTATTACTTAAAAGAAAGAAAAAAACAGTTGAAATTCCCTTATCCTAACACCCTGGTCAATCTGGCAGAGATTGAAAGAATTTTTTTCTCTGCATCAAGTAGGTGAATTATTTTTTGTGATTATATCATTGCATTTAACTTTCAGGGATGTTGATATCAGGGGTTAGTTTTTTTTTCTTTTTTCAATATAGTAAAAAAAATCCACCTTTTCAAAATAAGGTCGTCTTTTCTGAATTTCTAAGAAAAAATATTTATTTTCATGTTTTTTCCTACCTATGTAAACACAATTTCAAATAACATTCAAGATTTAAAATCACACATAGCGATTAGTAATTACATGATTTAAGATCGTACATCGTGTTTCGAATTTTAGCCATTTCAAGATTTGTAATCAAACAATTCGAAAATCAAACATCGAGATTCGTATTCAAGCTATTTTAAAATCAAACATGGAGATATATCAGTGCGATTTTAAAATCAAACATCGAGATAAGTATTCACGCGATTTAAAATCACACAATTTTAATAAACAAAATCTTGTATCGATATTTTATTTAAAGCATTGATAACATTCTATAGATAAATACAAAATTCAGGTATTTTTTCAGTTATTTAAAAACTGTTTTTGCACATAACTTTTTGAATTTCTATTTTCAGGTTTTTTGGTTTTTTACAAATTTCTTCAACAACAAAAAAACGGTAAAAACAAAAAAGAAAGTAAAAACGAAGATTTATCTAACAAAACCCTCATTCCCCGAGGGCACAAGCATACACTCACAAAATAAAACAGTAGTATGTAAGTACATCAACTAAATATACAAAGCTCACAATTCAGAGAAAAGGGTAAGCTGCAAAAATTACTTGAGTTCATGACCTCAGATTTAAAATAACCCTAGGAAAAGAAAACATGATTTTTCATCTTCCACAGCTTCCATTTGTTCGAAAAGTTAGCTACAGGAGTTTCCAAATGCAGAGCTCAGATAATTAAAAAAACTCTCCCATGATCTACCCTACAACCCCACACTTTATTTCAAACCATGGATACACCGATATTCTAGACTGTACAAGTCAATTAAGAACACACCCCAGGAAAGAAATTGAAAAGATTATAAATTTTGACTCCCCCCCCCCCATTAGAATGATTTTTCCGGGCGTGCCATTGCTGTTTAAGTTAACGCACCATATATTGCTCTGCAGATTGTGAACAGGTAATTTTGTGAGGAGGAGGGCTGATCAATTTCTGGCAGTCTTATGAAATTCAAAAAATTTGTGAAAGCAGCTTTGCTTTAGCTCCGCAGATGCAAAGAAATTATGTGTCCTGTTTAATCACTTAAAATTAATTTATTAAACTATTATATTTAAAGTGATCCTTTACAACCATTATGATTGCACGCTGGTATAAGACAATTCGATCATTAAATTGAAAATTAAAGAAGAATAAAATAGTTGCAAGTAGATAAAAAAAAAAGAAAATTCATACACTTAAGTAAGTTTGGAGTTTAGATTCCGGTGGAACAGTGGAAGTAGAAGTAAATGCTTGAAACATATGCTCCATGTCTGCATCTATTTAAGAATAAAAAAGATATTAATATTTTGATATAAATAAGCACTTCTGGTGACCAAATGATCGGCATTTTAAACATAAAACTTCAAATTTTTAGAGATTTAAAAATATTCTTTGCCCAAAAATAAATTAATTTATAAGAATTAACTCAGATTGTATCAAAGACAGTGATTTTCAATCCATCTCTTAAACATTGACACTTCTAAGTCTTGCACATCAACAGGATATTCTTGTCTGAACTTTGTCTCAACTATAAAGCTTTTCCACTAGTCATTATCTAGGGTTTGGGTACAATAGATCTTTGGTCAATGTGCCTTGCTCCTCGGAGCTGCCCAACCTCTAAGTCTAACTCTTGCACATCCCTAAGAATTTCCAAACTATCAGATAGATATACTTCCAATAAAAATAAAAAATTGGAAAAATATCTGCATTAGTATCTGTATTAAAATGATTGCCAATTTTGCAAACTTATAGTCTACAAGAAACTAAAAAGGAACGTTAAAGAATTAAACTTATTCAAAAGGTATAACTTGTAGCCACCAAAGGGCAAACAACTAAATAAATTTCTTTTTCTGCAATTTTTGCAAGTTAAGTAATGTTTTAGCTCTTGGTAAAGACAGTAGGCGCAAACAGATACAGAAACATCCCCAAAATGTTTTGTAGCTCAATACCACCTCTTGTAACATGTTGAATAACATTAGGGCACAACACTCACAGGGATAAAGAGAATAGAAGGGCTAGTTCATTCTGCTCCTAGAGCTGAAATACGATTTCCCTTGTCATGACGTCACGCTGCACACAGATCTCGGAGATAGCAAGCAAAGATATTATGAAAACTTTGTATCATTCTCTCTGTAAAAATAAGTTCGACTTTTTCTTGATATTAGCTTTCAAACTTTATGCAATTAACACAGAGCTCATTCTAGGCAGGGTAAACAGGGCGCAGCACCCTGCTGCCTTTTTAGTCAAAAGAATCCACCCTGTTGCCCCTTATGTAATAGAGTCCATACCCTTTCTTTCCTCAACCCTTCTTTATTTTTCCACCAAACTCTACAATGGATTTCTTAAACTTTTCAACGCTTTTTATTTAGTTTGTCGTTGCTGTCAATACATAAGATTTATATGGGAAAGGAAAAATAGCCATCACACCCCCTTATTGCACTTATCTTCTAAAGTTTGCAGTTACTTCCACTATCATTAAATCATAATTATTAAATCATAACTACAGACACTTAAAAACATACATTTATTATTTTATTAATATATCATGCATTTTAAATAAATTACTAAGATAATTAGCCCATTAACTTGATATGTATGTTAATTTATTAATAAAAATTAGTAATTAATATGATTGCTTTGCTACTTTTAGTAAAATTAAAAAAAATTATTTTACTAATTGACAATGTTTTTTAAGAGAACGTGCAAGGCCCATAGAAAGAAATTATGGCCTTTTTGGAATAATAATGCCCCTTTTTTAAACTTTTGCACCCTGCCCATTTTTCTGCCTAGAATGAGCTCTGATTAACATATTATTTCCTTTCAAAAACATAGTTTTAAAAAAATTTCTTGGCCAACATATTAAACTAAATAACATTTTAAACTAATAAAAATATTTTAGTAGTTGTCGTAAATGATGCTAATGATTTTAAAATTTTCAGTTTTAACTTTTATTATTAAAAAAAAATTCAATGCATATATTGACACTTTTTTAACTACATATTGTTCGATAACAATAATTTGTAAAGTTAGGTTAAATTTGATTTTAAATTATGCTGCTAATGGTAATTTGTTTATACTTAATCATTAGGAAACAACCTTAAACACTAATTATTCGAACAAAATAATAATTTAGGTTCATAAAAATATTAGAAATTTTACAATTGTTTATAGATATTTAAATTTAAAAGAATATAATTATATTAAAAAAATAATATTATAATTTTAAAAAAAATAAATATCTAAAATAACTACTTTAAAAACTATGTTATGAAACTAGGAGAATTTTAACTATTAATTATCTATACTTTTCATTTAAGTTTTTATTTTCTTTGACTTATTTATTTTTTGATTTTTTCGTCTGCCTTTTTTTTTGTTGAAATAGCTGGATGGTTTCAATTTAGATGGCAAATTCTTATAAAAGTTCTGAAATGCAAAATAAGCATATTGCTGTTTTATTGACTGCGGGATATCGTCCCTCGAATTCACTTATAAATTCTTTGATGACACTTTTTGATTTTCTGTCCCATGCAGACTTTTGAAAAATGTTCTCTAATTCCTGACACACTTCCATCCATGCTGCTGATGGAACAATTAGTCCTCCCTTAGATAAGAGAGCACTTGGTAGAATTAGAGCAATTTTAAAATCATTCTAATCGGAAATCCCGGCAAACGATTTCTCACAACATCTTCATAATCTTGTTTTTAAGAAATGCTTATTGCATATTCGTTCATATTTAATATTAACTGGGTCATTTAGTTTGCAATGTTGAAGCCATTCTTTACATAGTTGTTCATTTACTTTAGGGAACACATGGAAAATTATATTTTTTCCTTTTGTGTTTCTATCAGAATTTTTGTAAGTTGCAATCGCACAAACTGGCATTTAATAAATAATTCTAAATTTTTGTAATTCACTTCACAAAACTGAGAAAAATCATTATAGGAAATAAAGAATGTCTTGGAATATGTCACAAAAATGAATGATCCAATATTAGGTAAAGCTAGTTAGACCGAACAATTCGCTTTAAAAGTAAAAGCTCAAGCTTAGCGCCATCGTGACGTCACAGGTGAAAATCAGAGGTTTGGCGCGGCGAGAGTTTCATTAAAGGAGTGAACTAGTCGTTCTATTCTCTTTAGCCCTGCAACACTCATAATCTCAAATTTTGATGGAAACTTGGTAAATTTATTCCTTTTATGCAAATTGATTATTTTTCTCCAATGATATAATTTTTTTTTATCTCAAAATGTTTTATTTTTATGGGCTGTTAAAGTTTTTGAAATTTCAAAATTTCTGTTGATTGCATCATTGAAGCGAAATCTGTCTTTTTATAGAAAATAAATTAAAAAATTTTTGCTTAGCAGCAAATTTTGATAACTTTTTTTAATGTACTATAATGTGTAAACAATCTAGTAAAAATATAATTAAAATGGTAAGTATTTATGTATTCAAGTAAATTTTGTGAAATGTTATTTACTAATTGTTATATATTTCGTAAATGTTATTATATGTCAATATTTCATTGAATTTTACTTAAAAAATTTAGTTCAATTTGAAATTCATAATAGTATTTACATTTAATAGTTTTAAGAGAAGGTGTGTTTATTTTTAATTTTATTTAAAACTTAATTTTACATTTCTCTGTGTATTACATAAAATAAAATGACAAGAAACCAAAAAGATTATTAATTTTTAATCTTCCGAAAATATTTGTGTGAGACTTTATACTTCATTTAAAAAAGTTACTAAGAAATTTTTATCAAGCCATGCATACATACTTACTACTTTAATTACATTTTTCCTACATTATTTTTTAATTTGTTTTTTTTTAATTTTATACCTTTTCAACTTAATTAAACCTAATTTACATAATTTTACTTTATTTTAAACTTCAAAAAAACTTTTTTTTTAAAAAAATGTGCTTGTAAGAAAATTTTACTCATGAAGTAAAGAAAAATAATGAAAAGGAACAAAAGTCATAAATTTTATTTTTTTAAATTTTAGAACTAAGTTTCTAGCTCACAAATAAAAAAAAATTTACAATTATCTTCTTCCTTTTTGAAGTTATTACACATAGCATGAAAAATGAAGTTCCTAGATAACATTTCAGAAACATCTTTTTAATAATGGATATAATTAACAGATAATCCATTATGGATTACCTGTTAATTATATAATTATATCTTACCAGTTTAATTTTATTTTTTTAAGGTTGTTTACATATTAAAGGATATTTAAAAAAATTACAAAAAATTATTGATGAACAAAAAATAACTATTAATTTTCCACAAAAAGAAAAAATTGTGTTTTTTTGGCATGATCAACAATTGTAGTTCATTTACGTCGCACTAGAGCTGCACAATGGGCTATTGGCGACGGTCTGGGAAACATCCCTGCGGACGATCTGAAGACATGCCATCACAATTTTGATCCTCTGCAAAGGGGATGGCACCCTACACGCGAATGGCATGATCAACAGAAACTCCAAAAACTTTACCGGCTTGTAAAGTAAAAACTATTCGAAATAAGTATAAAAACTTTTGTACGTGTGTTTTGTTGCATAAATAATAATAATTATAAAGTTTCATCAAATTCTAAGATTATGTATGTCAAATCCTTAATTTTCTGGTTGATTAAACATGGAAGGACCCACGGGCAAGATCTAATGAATAAATACCGAGCAAAAAGGGAAGTTTTACATATAGTGATCTGTGACAGAATAATTGCGAAGTCTTTGATACCTTCGAACAGCAGCCGGAGAGAAACTGAAAAAGAAACATAGAAAGGGGCCAATTCATAGAGTATTACTCATAACCTCCCCTCCCTGGGTAAATCTCTGCATGTCTTTTTTTTCCCCCTAATTTACTTGTTTATAATCTATTTGGCCCCATGGCGATTGTAGTTGAGGCAATAAATTATAATACTAAAGTATTCACAAGCTATAACTAGAAATGTTATACCTTTAGCAAATTGTTCACTCTCCCTTTTTATGATATCCTTTAAAAGTTCATGCTATTTCCTTATGACAATACTTGTAAGCTGCATGAGTGCACAAGTCTAAGAGGTATGGTTGCATTAAAATACTGTAATATATAAATACCAAGTCCAACCAAAAATAATAAAAAGGACTTTATTACTACGACTTATTATTCCAAATGTTAAGAAACAACAAGCATACAGCAATGCATACAATTCACGAAATTCAACAATAAATTTGAAACATATTAATGAAGCAATATCAAATAATTTTATTCATAAGTTTGAAAAATATTCATGTTGTAATGAAACGTTTTTTTTTTTCTTTTGCTTCGCAGCAATCGTTTACAAGAAAAAAACTTCGAATATAATTTAAAAACTATTTCCAAAACCGATACATACTTTACTTTTCCGTAAATCTGAACATCATCTTGGTTAATACTTAGACGCAACTGGAAAATAATTTGTAACACAGTAATTACTATAAAACATAACCACAGCTGTAAACATTTATGATTCCTATAATTGAACTATTAAAAAGCATTTGAGAAATTTTCATTTGTATAGAAAGACAATTAATAATTTGAGTTTGTTTTCTAATTCAGCAAATCAAAACAAGTGTTCCAGTCAGAGTCGGAGCCAAATTGAAAATATAAAAGTTTTAGCATTCATTGTTGCCAGCTGGCATCGAGTACCCCGCGACTTGTGCTTCCCATTAGTTTGTATTTTGTACAGTAGATGACGCTGCCTTCACTTTAACCGGATATGACCTAAAAATCAGGCAGCTTGAGATTACAGTTAGCTTAAGATTAGAAGAAACGGAGATTCTGATTTCCTAATGGCAACCAAATGCTGTCCTTGCCTTTAAATAAATAATTTTATTTTTTCTTATTACAAAGATGTAATTGCATTTAAGTAACTGTCCCGCAATGGACTGATCGCTAAGACACGGTTCCCAACAGATCACCGAAGTCAAGCATCACTGACTGCGGTCAGTGTGCTGGTGGGTGACCACTTGGATCAGTCTGCGTAGGGACCGAGGGTGTGCGGTATTGGTCCTCGTTAAACTGCTCTACCGTAAAGTGCTCGACTTCGCGTGCAGGTCATTGGGCTACTGAAGAAGGGGTGCCATCCCCTCTGTAGAGGATCAAAATTGTGATGGCTTGTCTTCGGATCATCCTCAGGGATGTTTCCCAGACCGTCACCAATAGCCCATTGTGCAGCTCTAGTGCGACGTAAATTAACTACTACAACTAAATAATAAAAGAACAATACAATAAAGTTCATAATTTGCTTTTTTGTGTTTCATATTCGCATATACGCATTTTTTTTTATATTCCGTGTTAGGCTTNTTTTAAATGTCGTGAAAAATTTCGAGACCCTTAGTACGCTATTTAATCTGTGTAACTGTTCGGCGGTTTTTAACATTACAGGTATACGGCTTTAGGACCACCAAACAAAAATAAAATGTTAATTTAAAATTAATAATTTTCGGTAATATATGTATACTTTAACGAAATAATTCTATGAAGACTGCTTTTATGTAAACTTATACTTTTATGTAACTGTAATGATTGCTTTTATGTAAAAACTAAATTTGTTGCAATTTTAACTCAACGATTTCAATGTTCAGTTTTCAATATTGCCAAATTAAATATCGGTAGTTTTTAATATTGTCGCTAAAAGTTATTTAGCTTAATTTATATGCAGTATAGTTTTTTAAAATCTAACCATTTTTTAAAGCAATGATTTCCTAATTACAGTGGTTTTTTATCATGTTAAATATTATGTATTTTTGATTCCAATCTCGTAGTTTAATTAACAGATAGCACTGATTAACAAGAATATTTGAAGTCACCCTCAAGATTTCTACTTAAAGTTCGTGAAAATCTGATTATTCGAATGAATGGAAAGTTCTTTACAGGGTCAATCAGCCATTGTTGACCAGGCAAAAAGTGTTTCATAACGATTTTTTTTAAATGACGATTCTTACGTTATGAAATGACAGGGCATCAAATAACGATTCTTTTTTCAAACACAAATAATAAATCAGGAAACAAACACGTATGCAAGAAAATAGAAATACTACTCAAGAGATTCACAAAACACAAAGGTCCCGCAGCGGACTGATCTTTAATACGCAGTTCCCGGCAGATGACCGAAGTCAAAAGCGAGGGGTGTTGCTTTGTAGCAACGGAGTTCCTGTGCTACTAAGGCACGCACCTCCGATCGAGATAAAATAAGGGAATTACAATAGCTGGGAATGTTTATCGAAAATAATGATAATGAGAAAAACAGAAAGATTTGTGGAATAGTCTAACTGGTGTCACCCTAGTCAAGTATCACTGGCTGCGCTCAGTATGCGGGTGGGTGACCACTTGGATCAGTCTACGTAAAGAACCGAAGGTGTGCGGTATTGGTCCTCGTTAATCTGTTCTACCGTAAAGTGCTCGACTTCGCGTGCAGGTCGTTGGGCTGCCGAAGAAGGGGTTGCCAGCTCTTCTGCAGAGGATCAAAATTGTGATGGCATGCCTTCAGATCCAGCTCTAGTGCAACGTAATGAACTACAACAGCAATATCAAAACACAATCGCGACATCAAAACACAAAGTTTATAGCGCACCCTAGTGTTGAAAACATCATTCATAAATGACGCAAGCCTTGTCAGCTTCTCAATCTCACTAGTTTCGTCTTATCTCTAATTCTAGTAGTACTACAACTACAGGTTTCATGTTTACAAATGTGCTACAGAATCGCCACGAAGGAAAAAATTGGAATTTATTGATCATCAACATTGAATAAACACTTTTAACTGTTCTTTTAGCTATTTTAAATGATGCAGTTTCTTATTGGTTTCCCTGATTACATTATACATTTTTTGAGTTTAATAAATGATATTAACTTATCAGCTTTGTGTACATTCCTGTAAGGGTTGCGATGTGTCAAAAATTATGACTCATTTTTGTTCTTGGCTGCTTATGCATTTGACGGATATACGCTTTCATGATTTGTTTTTTTCCAACTGTGGTCCTGATATCTATAACTAAATTTTCTCTGCTTTGTGCATGCAACAGAAGTTTTACTTACTAAATTTGATATGGAAGCGATTGCTAAGCATGATTTTGATGCAACTGCAGAGGATGAAATGAGTTTTAGAAAGGGACAAATTTTAAAGGTAAATATTTCTGATTATAAGATAAGATTATTTCAACTGAATCAGAAAATACTTAGTGTTTTGCCATGGCAATTTATAATTATTAATAGCAAAGAAATTAGTGGAATAGAATAAAGTGTTGTAATAATTGATGTCAATATAGAATATCTTATGAATACATTCTTGGGTTATCGACAATTACGTCTGAGGTTAAATGTATGCAGTATCCCCGTTCTTATCTCAAGTAACAATAACATCGAAACTTCTTCCAAGCAAATATTAATTTCAATACTTTTTTCGGTTTGTTATATAGCGTCAAAAGTCAGATGTTTTGAAATATATATATGGGTCGTGACGTATGGTTCGATGGCTATTGTCAATAATATTCTTAAAATATGTGAAAAATTTCAAAGACAATGTTCCCCCAAAATCTTTTTAGAGTAAAATCAGACTTTTTTTAAAGAACATAAGATATAGGATGGATATCTTCCAATGATATTCTATCAATGTTTGATGTATACCATATTTTACAAATATTTATTTAATGTATGTCAAATATTTTATCCTTACTTCTGATGAATGTACAGATATTTTATAAATATTTATACATTTTCTATTCTTCACACTTCAGGTGCTAACGAAAATAAAAATGACTGATGACAAAATTATTACAGTATAAAGCATTTACAAAAAAATAGATCTTTGTCTTTTGAAGTAATCTAGTGTATGAAAAAATTTATTTTGGAGAAATAATAAAAAAATTTTTTTTTGCAAAAGTGTAACATTCAGTGCCAGGCATGAGAGACCTCACTTAGGGTTTCCATATTTCTGCCCCCCCCCCTTAATTCTTATAAAAAATTTTAGTTTTTCCTTAAACTATTGTGATTTTTTTTAAAAAAATAATAAAAATAAGCTCAAATTTACTAATATACTCTAATTTATCTATATTATAAGTAACTTAAAAGTACCTGGTAACTAAACAGCTAGTAAAATTGGTTTTAAGTTACTCTCAGGAGGGCCATAACAATTCAGTGGTTAAAATCCCTGGATTACTCGATGAGACCTTAATGAAACAAAGAGTAACGTCATCGGTCATTAATTTTCAATAGCACCTCCTGGTATATCTGATAAACATTCCATATAAATCAGATAAATATTAGTAAAATATTTATGTAATAGTAAGCATGTCTGTAAAATATTCATTACATATTAGATAAATATTTGTAAAGTACTTAAAATAAATCATTATATTAGTATCAAATAAATGTCAGACATATACATAGAAATTAATAATATACATCATTTGAGTATCTGTAATAAGTATATCTGATATGATAAATATCTCTGGAAATGTTCAGAAATATGACAATCAATTTTTTTTTCTTGCCTTATTACTTATAAGTAACTACTAAATTCTTAATCTTTTAAATAATCAATATCAACTGATGTAATAATATGATGCATACAAATAATTTATGTATAAAACTGATTTTTAAGCAAATTATTATCTTTAAAAAAATACCATTAATTTTATTATCAATGTCATTTGCTTTGATAAATTAGCAACAATATTTTTAATGAGAGGGTCCAATTACCTTTATCACATTTACCTATTCCATTTTAAAATAAAGTCATAAAAAACTATTATAAATGTTTAGATGTAAAAACAAATTAATTCAATTCAAATGAATTATATTAATTCAAATGAAGGACATCAATGCTTATTAATCGTATTTTCTCATCATCATCTTTCTGTTATTTTTAAATTGTTCTCTTTTTGTGGTACGTTGGTATTCTGTAACTTAACCATTAGAAATAAAATTAATAATATTTATAAAATGTGATTTTCTGATTAACAATCTATTATAACTTTTGAAAAAAAATTTTAATAGCTTCTTTAATATTTTTATCCATTTGCATTCTACTTATTTTAATTTTTAAAATGTTTTTAATTATTTGTTTTTTTAATTATAGAACTGTAAATTATGGATTTAGATTTTAATGAAATTGTTAGACCTTCTTAAAAAAAATCATAAACCAATTGAAAATACCAAAAAATTATTCCATTTCAAATTTCAGTGATAGAGTAGAACCTCAATCGATGGTCTTTCATGGCAATAGTTTTGCTTGCAATGAATAATCTTATTCATTATGACTAATAGATGCAAGAAATATCAAATCTAGGTGACCATTAAATATCAAATAATGATTAGAAAATGTACACAAAGTAATAAATAATGAACTTGAAAATTAATAATTAAAAATTGTTGATAATAAATTAAAATTAAAAATTTTAATTGATAAATTATGTAGCACTCATTAAAAAAATATTTAAAACGTAAAAGGAAGACTAATGTGAAAAAAATGACTACACATTTCATTGTCATTGTTTAAAGTTTTGACTTGAAACTCTTCTCAGCACAAATAATAAATTTTTGATATTTGTAACAGATTGTTGTTCATTTTCTGTAAGTTTCAAATGAATGCAGAAAGTTCGGATTTAATTCAAAGCTTTCGGCAGATGTTGGTACTCATTGTTCTTCTATTTCACTGCTTTCATCAGTGGCACAATAACTTTATCTTCTGCAACCATTTTCTGTACTGACTAGTCACATCACAGGTTTCAACCTTTTCAGCAACTGATGCATAAAAAATAAAATAAAAAATCGTCGTAATGTCTGAGGTATTTTCCTTAAATTGTAACTAATCCTCATTTTCTTCTTCAATATTTGCATCAGCAGTTACACTTTCTTTTCTCAAAATAAAGTAACCATTTTTTTAAAAGTGTCAGTAGAATTTCTGAGGGATAAAGTTTCTGAAGTTTTAAAACGATCGAATGAGTGTTATTTGCAATATAATAATAAAATTTTTTGATGGGCGCATTTAATTAAAACGCTATTTACGTGAAAATGAAAAATGCATTCATAAAAAAAGAGAGATTTAATCTAGTTGTTAATATGATTCTTTAAAAAAGATGAAAGTTCTGTCATCATAAAGTACAAAAAGCAACAGAAACTAAGTTACAAATATTATCTGAAAATATTTTTCTTCTGTTCAATATGATTGTATGTAAGGTGATTTTTCACTATTATTATTACTGTATTTATGTCTGTACTGATACTTATTTTCCATTTTCTTAATAAATAAATTTGAAAGTTTAACTTCAAATTTTCTTTTGTATATTCAAATATAATGATATATATAATTTTTTTTAAATAAAAACCACAGATATTAAATATTGAAGACTCAGACTGGTTTAGAGCTGAACTTGATGGCAAAGAAGGTTTCATACCTAGTAACTACATAGAAATGAAAAATCATGAGTAAGTAACTTTTTTGGTTATTCAAGTATGGTTATCATAGAGTGTAATTATCAAATTCAGGGTGGCCATGAATTCACTGAGGACCATTAAAAAAAATTGGAAATTACATCATTAAAAATTGGAATTAACATCATTAAAAATTGGAATTAACATCATTAAAAATTGGAAATTCTAAAAAAATATGTATATATCATGTAACTAAATGATAAAAGTTGTTTCTAATTATTTAAAGGTCAAATATACTAGAGGGGACCCAAAAACGAAATTCATAATGCCATTTGTAGATGAAGTTAGTGGAGACCTACTGTGCTGGTCAGTTTGTAGATTTATGTTTGAGCGTAGGGTCATGTTTCTCTTACTGTTATTTTGTTTCGCATGGCAAATATAAAAACGAAGAATGTGTTTGAAATTTTGTTTCCTACTTGAAAAATTTTCTACAGATGCTTATTTCAACAGGCTTTAAATAGGTATGCTATGTACTATAAATAAGTTTTTGGGTGTTTCAAGCGTGGTTAGATGAGTGTTGAAGACTATGCTCGTTCTGAGTGTTCTTCAACATCTTGAAATGACAAAAACTATAAAAAATTTCACCGAAAAATCAATTAGAATCGTTATTTTACACCCAACCAAATTTCAGAAGAGACAGATGTGAGTACAGAGCCATTTTAAAGGATGGGCCCGAGTTGAGATGATGAGGTGCTTTTCAAATTGCTACACGTGGTTCACAAGATACAACTCACGAGTTTTTCATTGATTCATTATGAAGTGAGGACTCAACTATATTGTTTGTTTGTTATTAATCTGATGTTGCTATTTAAAGCCCATCACTGTACCTATGATTCCTTTTTTTTTTCTTTTTTTTTTGTCAATTAACTTTAATCTACTTGAGTTTTGCTTTTTAGCAGATCTAGAAACCTATATAATTGTACTAAAGATAATTTTAGTCTAGTTATAGGTTAAATAAAGGTGTGATATTAAAACTTTTATTTAACTGAAAATTGGCTATTTACCAAACAAAAAAAAGAGAGGGAGAGAAAAACAGAATATCTTCACTCCATTGTATAAGATTAAAACTGTTTCAACTGTTTAAATAAGCCAACTGTTGTCACCACTTTAAAGATTCAGAGCATGCCCTAGTTGCTGTTTGCTATAGAACTGACCCAATAGTTTTATTGTGTGAAGCCTCAATTTCAAATTTATTAGAATAAAGAGAGTGGTGGAGCCCAAGATTTCATCCTATTTTCTGAACACTCATTGAAAACTGGATACATCTTGAGTATTTACGGGATGATAATTGAAATGAGCTCTTTTTTTTTTATTTCTTGCAGCTGGTACCATGGTCGTATCTCGAGGGCTGATGCTGAAAAACTTTTATTGACGAAACACGAGGGAGCATTTTTGATCCGTGTCAGTGAAAGCTCTCCTGGGGACTTCTCTCTTTCTGTAAAGTAAGTTACTTTGAAATTATTAATTTTAAATAATGATTTTTTAAATAATGATGTCATGAGTAGTGAATCTTCTGAATGATTATCATTTATAATTAGTTTTAAAATCTTTTAGATGTGGAGAAGGAGTGCAACATTTCAAAGTGTTGAGAGACACTCAAGGAAAATTCTTTCTTTGGGTGAAGAAATTCAATTCTCTGAATGAGTTGATTGATTATCATCGAACTGCCACTGTTAGTCGATCTCATGATGTGAAACTTAGGGATATTCAGAAAGAAGAGGTATATTTCCTTTTTCTTCTTTTTTTTTAAAAAAAAAATTTCATTTTTATAAAGCATTTTGCAATTGCTTGAAGATGCATAAATAAATCTAGCATCTTTCCCAATCCAGCATCATTGCACAGTATTTTCTCTTGTACAGGTTGATTGAGTGTATAAAGTCTTCTATTTTTAAATTCGAAATGTTGAATTTTGGGTAAATTCAGTGTATGAATTGGACACTGATTCTCACTTGTTAAAATCGAATTTGTGGAAAAAATAATATGTAAATTGAGTAAAAAAATCTTTTTCATAATGATTTAAAAAATAACCTCAGATTTTTTTTACTGTATGTTAAGATGTAAGTGCATAAGGCTTTCACTGTATGCAGAATAGCCTGCAATTCTCCTTGTACAAGCTCCATCCATTTAGTAAAGTGGAGTAGACGTAATGTGACAAGTGAAGCTATAACCTGAGTTAGATAAAATTAAAAAATTTTATATGTAATTTGTATATTCATAAAATATATTAAAATATTATAAATTTTTTATTCACTGCTATGACCAGAAACTCACAGATTAATAATATTTAATATTTTTTTGTTAAGTGCAGAAAGTTATCATAAGCTAAATAATCATAAACCAAATAATATTTATTTTTACTGTGTATAAAAGGATGGGGAAAATTAAAAAGTAAATTACAGCTCTGGAGGGATATACATACTGATCAAAACACCACTATAACTTGTGGCGCTTAAATTGAAAAACTAATGCGTAAATCTGACAAAATCAGTCATTTCAGTAAACACAAAGCTTTCTTTGTGCTCTTTTTTTTTAGTATTCTCTTTAAACTACGTGTAAATTTTGCAAAGAAAATGTGTTATTGTAGAAATATTATCAAACAACATGTAAATTGTCACTCATTGTTAATATACCCCCACAGTACCTTGTTCAAGCTCTGTATGACTTCAGACCGCAAGAGAGTGGTGAGTTGGAATTAAGAAGAGGTGATGTCATAACCGTGCTTAACCGCTCGGATAAGAATTGGTGGAAAGGAAAGATTGGGACTAAGAAAGGCATCTTCCCTGCTACATACGTCACTCCATACAACAACAGATGAGACATTGGGTGTAAATGAATGCAAACTTTCAATCTTTCCTATAGTGGTTGTGAACTGAGTTACAATTGTTATTTTATTTTATTTTGCCTGAGAATAAGCACACCAATGTATGATTATCATGTATTTATATTTGTCATTATTTTATTTATATGTAGTGGTGATCAAATTCATTTTAAATTAAATTTATAAAAACAAGAATTCAAAAGAAAAAACCATGCATTTTGCTGCCATTTAAAATATAAATTTTACAGAATATTCGTAGAAGTTGAAAGTTATGTGATTATGAATTATAAGAGTTAATGGTCACGTACAATTTCAGGGTTTATATAAAGTGCTCTTTTTTTTTAAGGAATAAAAGTGTTTTTAGAAAAATAATTAAGTTTAAAATCTCAGTAGGTTAAATGTAATTGGGCAATTCCTAAAAAAAAAAAAATAGCCAAAATTTGAAACTTTAACAAACTTATCATATTTTTATAAGCATTTAATTAATATTTCCGTTTTCAACTCATAACTCATGTTTAATTTTTTCTCTGGGACTAAGTGAAATAAAGACCTTATTTAAATACTCCATTTTAATATTTAATGAAATAATATCTGCATTTAATCCAATTTTATTATTTTTGGTAACATTATACTATAATTATGTATGTACGGAAAAAAGTAATTTTGGTTATTTTAGAGTTTGAATTGGTAAATTTTACGTCTGTAACAAAAATTAAGCATAATTTAATTTTTTTGTCAAAATGGAGCAACATTTTTTAAAAGCTTTTCTAATTCTTTTATTACTCTTAGTTACAAGTTAAATGCTATGAACAATATTTTTCCAAACATGCAATTTTTAAAAAAATTGGTGTTACAGATGTAATATATCTCTGCATTGTTTCATCCATAACAAATCAAGAATTTAAATTTTTTTAAAAAATGAATACTGTAAATGACACACTCATTAGATATAAATATATTTGAGAAAGACCAAACAATTATATTTATAAATTTTTGTTCTATTTGGTTATCCCAAAATTCAGTTCTGTATCATTTAGAATGTATTATAAAGGTAAATATTTTCAGATGAAATATTTTACTGTGAAGTTTATGATACTTTGAAAGGAGATTGTATTTAAAATATTGATAACCTTATTCAATGTCAGCTCGAAATTAACTGTGGTCCATTGAAAGAAATTAGCAATAGTCCTCCAGACCAGCAATCAATGTAAAAAGATGGCATGTTGTTTAGGAATTTTGATTTTCAGTTTTATGTTTTGGTCAGTGTTTTTGTCACAAAAGAGCATATTTCATCATAATTGTGACATGACACAAACCCATTATTATAATTTTTCATATAAATTCACTTTTTTAACTTAAAAAGACAGGTATATGGACAAATGAAAATGTGTACAGACTATTAGTGTCTTTTGGTTACTGGTCCTTCAAATCAGTGACTTAATTTTCTGAGTTTTTAGACTTGATGTTATTTGAACATTTCAATCTAACAGCAGAAAAGTATTAAAAAATGTTTTTTATTTAGAACTTTGAATATTGTTTCAAGTATTAAATATTGTTTTGTATTTTGAGATTTGGCTGCGTAAATCATCTTATAACAATAGTGTTTTAGGGTACCCCCTGTAAAATGAAATAGTAGTCATTAGTTTTAATCAACCCATTTTAAAAAGCAATTAGACACAAATGAAATCATTAAGAAATTCAGGAACACGAAATTATTCATTAACAAACCAATAGATGGTGTTTTTAATACAATCACAAATACAGACAAACCGCAAAGCGTTATTAGGCGATTCAATATTTTCAAATTTATGGTTTTGTTTTCAGCAGAAGAAATGAATTATGTAAAGTATGAGCTCAAATCTTCTGAATTTCATTACATATTAGTTAATTCTGGAGTATTTAAAATGAAAAGTTTGTTTCTGTTATTTTTAAATACATTATTAATAAAAGTAACAGGGTCGTGTGTAGTTGAGAATAAATCGCTCATTTCGCAATCCTGATTTAGGTTTATTGCATATGGTACGTCTTTAATTTTGTTACTTTATTCTCGTTTGGGTTGCGATTATAAGTTTCTTTTGCTAATTTCTTATATTTAATTTTTGAAGACAGTTTACTCAAGACAGGGTAATAATTGTTCTATGATTCTTCTTCTAGCATTTATTTTATATTTTTATTACCGCTTAATTCCATGTTTATTCCCTTTTTTGAAAAGTTCTTTGTAGTAATTTTAAATACTAAATCTAAGTTTAATTTGATTGTGTTTATTTTCACTCATTTTTCCCCTCATTCTTACTGTTCACAGTTTGTGAGCCTGTCAGTGCTTTTGTCACATTATGCCAAATGGTGCCAAATAAATTGAATAAACATAAATCCAGAAACGTCTGTGATGGGAAAAACGCAACGCTTCCTAGTGTAGGGAATACCACCCATAGTGGATAATTAAGAAAAAGATTAGGCCTTTTGGAAGTACCATTGATGTGTAGTAAAGGTGCTTTTATATACCTGTGGCTTACCTGTATTCAATGCTTCGATTGTTGCTTTGGTGCTTGCTGATTAGTCTTTTTTCCTCCTTATATGTTTTTTATAGGTCAATCTAAAATTATTATTTTAAGCAATTAAGATTTTTATTTGAGCGGTGTTTAATTTGGAAGTAAAGAAAGATGTAAAATGATACTTGTAAAAAAAAAAAAACATTCCTTTCTTTTCAGAAATCTGTGATATGATCATTGTTGTCCTGAGGAGATATTGTTTATGTTCCATTTTGGTTCTGAAAAATAAAAAATAATTTTGTATGTGCTGTTTGAGTTCATTTCCTACTGTGTTTTCCAGTTAAACTATTTCTAAGACGTATTTTGTTTAGTACAAAGTATTGTTTAGAAGTTTGTTTTTTTTAATAAAAAATATCAGTGAAATTAGGCAGGGTTGGCTACTCTGAATTTTTTATTTGACCGAAATTTTTCAGGATATATTCCTTATGAAAATTATTAAGACACATGCTTTTCTCTCACTGCCCGAAATTTTTTTCCCTATGAGTAACTACATAATAAGACATACAGTTATGTAGTTTACCCGACAATTTACCCATGGTTTTTCAGATTTCTATATATTTTATATGATACTGTTAAGCAACGTGATTTTTGGACATAAGTTATTACTTGTGACTCGTCCGATTAAGGACAACTCCATTATAATTCCACATTATTATCAAACCTTTTTCTCAAGGTTTATCAAATTCCTATTATACTTAATACGATTTACGCATATAAGTTGTCACTTTTTGACGCGATGATTCCTTCGTAAGTCTACGTCTCTCTCCGATAGTTTTTTCTGCCATTTCCATGTTTTTCAAATTCCAATGTTTTTTTACAATAGTATTTCAACGCGCAAAGTTTTATTTGAGTTATCACTTTTTGGCTTTTCCAAATCGTGACGGTATCATCTTTAATCCCAGCCATTTTTCGATTGTTTTTAATTCATTTCCCAGCATTTTCTTTTTCAAATTCTGAATTTTATTTTTTTTTTATGATATTGTTGCACACGAATTTTGAACTTTAGTAATCACGTTTGTGATGCCTCTTGTTTGGCTATCAAAATGAGCTACAGGTGGCGCAGAGCAGAACTCTCTGTCAATGGCAAAACTTCGCATTCTTTCCCTATCAGCGTGTGAATAGTCGTAGGAGAATGAAGTACGTTAGTTTCTGTTTTGATTTTCAAATATATTATAAACTTTTCGGTTAGGATACTGTATGGAACTGGAAACTACGTTGAACATTGTTCTAAAAGAAAGCGTGGAAATTTAAAAAAAAAAATTATGATTTAATACACAAAAAATATTAAGAAAGGGAAGATATCGCCATATACTCTTATGAACATAGAAGAACTGGTCTTGTCAGATGGCGTACTCAAGCGATGTGATAGCGAATAGTGCAGCAAGCTGTAGGCTTACATTCGTTGTTTTCAACCAACAGGCAGATCCAATAAAACCTGGGTTCAAATGGTTTTTTATGTAAACATAATCAAAAACTGCCGTCCTATCAATAGTTTTTTTTTTTATTTGTCTTATAAATATTAATACATAATGCACATATATACGTAATCCTACTTTCAAAACTTAGTGTACTTTAATAAATATGTATGTAACTTTGAATTAATATAATAATTTTTCTTGATTCAACATTAACAAAAAAAATCACTTTTTAAAAAATAATAATTTGAGCTTTCTTCATGTACATGAAGATAGCTCAAATTATTGTTTTAAAAAAAAGTGGTTTTTTAAATAACGTTATTTATTTGAAACTGAACAGGTACAGAGTTATCTCCTTAATGAATAAATTTTCAAATATTAATAAAATAAGTACTATAGCAAAATATTTAAAATAAAACTTCTTAATTCCTTTTAAAAGAATATTTTTGTTTTATAAAATCTGCTAATGAGTGGACACACAAGCATGAATTTTACAAAACGTGTAACGTGATCAAGATAAAAGAACTTCTGATTAGTTTGGAGAGTTATATGTGTGTTGAGAATAATTTTTGGTTGTATTTAAGGTTTATATAAACCTGTTACGATTATTTCAATTCATTTTCGCTTTGATGATGGTTGTTGTGTCGAATATGTTTTTATATGTTAAAAAAAAAAAGACTTTCTTCAATAAAGCTATATTCGTTACGATAGTTATTATTTTAATGCTGCAGAATAACTATTTAAGTATTAAATTTTTAAACCATGATAAAATACTATATATTATAAAAATAACGTTAACTTATTTTGCATTAGAGTTTTTGCTTAAATGATTGAATATTTATTGTATTCACATTATTAATTATTGAATTCACCTCAAAACGAATTCTAAATACATAGTTTTAGAAGAATTCCAAAACTGTAAAAGACCTTATTTATTATTTTAAAAATTTTACTATAACTTAAGTATTTAAAATTAAGCAAATAAAACAGCATATTCCTCTAGCCCCAATATTGAGCTTTATTTCTATTCAAAGAAGGAATTAATGCAAAAGTATTAATTTGGGATTGCAACGCTCGAATACGCCATCTGATGAAAACGGTTCCATGTCTNCGCGGGCCGTAGTTTGCCCATCCCTGCTCTAGAGAGATATAAAAATTTTCCTATTTTTCGTGCAACTGTGAATAGATCGTGATTTACAAAAGTGAAATGAATTCACTAAAAAGCATTTAACAGTACGATATTTTTTGGAAACTCATTGTCATTCACAACAACTATTTTCATTCATCAGGTAAAATGACTTTGGATTTAATTTTTCTGAGTTTCAAAGCGAGTAACGTGATTTTTTTTCTCCAGAAGATAAACGATTAATAATAGTTGGAGTTAAAAAACATTTTCCCCATCATACTCTCCGTGCATTTTTTCATATATATCTTTGCGATTTCCCGAGTCTACGATTTGAAACATAAACACGGAAAGATTATAGACTCCATCAGTAAAACATATCAAGAATCCAAAACTGAAGCGAGAACATTTTCAACAACAACAACAAAAATGTCCTTTTTAAAAATGGTAAAGAAGCTGCAAACTTTCAGAATCATTTTATAATGGGAAGGGAAAAAATTAAAAAATATATTTTTATTTCAGTAAGGAAAAAAAATAGCGCATATTTAAGATTTGTAGCGTTCGAAAAATAATAAGTAGCCCAAAAAGTAGCAAGTAGCGAAAATTCAATTTTCAGTAGCGGGGACTTTTAAAAGTAGCCCAATCCGCTACTTGTAGCCCAATCTGGCAACACTGTGTCAACGTTCACCGTGACGTCCGTTTGGTCGAGTGATTGATTGAGTGACATGTCTTCGGTATATCCTCAGGGATGTTTCCTCGACCATCGCCAAAGTCCCAATGCGCAGTTCTAGTGCGACGTAAAAAATCAACAGCAATATAATACATATGTATTAGATCAGATGTTTGCAACGTTTCTCTGGACAGAATTGATTCTAAAAAATCATGTCGCCTAAAGTTGTCATCCCCTATTTATCTATGAAAGCTACAAGCGCATTACTAAAACAGAGATCGAAAACATATCTCCAGATTACAGCTACTTACTACAACTACTACTTACGACGCCGCTGCAAACGTAAACAAATTGCCGTAAAGTAAATTTTGCCCTGCCGATCTGTTTGCGTTTTATTTTGTAATTTTAGTAAAATTATTTTACTAATGTTTGCTGAACTATTTCTTAACTATGCATATCAAGCAAGTAAGGGTTATATTTTTATTAACTCTAAATTATATTTTAAACTTATTTCCATCTAAACATTTTTGACTTTGGTGTAATATTTTCATCTCCCGTTTTCATTTTCTTTCATTTGTTATGTTTCGCATTTGTTTAAGTGGTCACATTTGTTAAGTGAAGAATTATGTTGCTTAATGAGCACTTTTGTGAATTAATACAGAAGTAAATTTGTTAATTTTTTACTGAGTTTATGATTTGAAAATAAAGCGCATATACGTATTGGTATAAGTGATATTTTAAATAGTACATTGCAGTTTTGGGCTTTATTTTGTGTTGGGATCTGCCATGTCAACTATAATTGCCTAGGTGCTGAATTGATTTCAATTGGGAAAAATTAAACATGCAGAGGGTGGCTTTTAGTTATACCTTATGAGTTTGTCCCTTTCTGTGATGTTTCTTTAGTTTCTTTCGGGCTGCTGTCCTGAAGTAGCCAAGACTTAAAGTAAAAATCTGCCAAAACTTAAAGCAAATGTAAAGAATCAAAAAAGGAATTTCAAACAGTGTGAAATTTTTTTTTTATCGTGATCTGAGACAAGGAAAAACTGATACACCCTAACAATTAAAAAGGGAAACAGCTAGAAGGGTATGGGATACCTCCTAGCCACCCCTGCAAACCTCTGCAATATTTTTTTCCCTTCAAATTTGCTAGTTTAAAATCCATTTAGCGCATTGGTGTTGTAGTTGACAAATCTCGATTTGGAAATATTTCCAGCATTTTAATAATTATAAACTTATGCTTTTGGTCTATTAACAGAGCTTAATACAGATGAATTTTACCGTCTTTTATTGGTAATTTCGCAAAAATTAACCTGGCGAAAATGGTATATTCACAAAAATTGTAATAATAAAATTGCTGTTGCTTATCTTAATCTTCATCATCCTAGCAAAATAACATTTTTCCTGAAAAAAAAAAAAACTGGTTCTAAAATTTTTATTAAACGTGTGACCCTTTTGCAGAATTTTTTTTTTGCACATATATATCTTGTAAGAATCATGACCATGTGCACATTTAATGGCACACAATATAAAAATTGAATTTCATATTCATTTGTTTTAAAATTCATGTGTTGTGATTCTTTTTCTTGCAATAAAAAACACATTCATCGCAGTTCATATATTCACCAGGTTTACAAATAACGAATGCGATAATAGATAAGTATTAATGCGATTTTGAAATTACTCAACCCGGAATGTATACACATGATTTAAAAGTCACAAATCATTATTCGTGTTCATGTGTTTTAAAAATTTACGTTATGATTCTTCTTGCAATTTAAAAGTCACACGTCGCAATTTGCATTAATTGTTTGTTTCTTTAACTGGTATTCATTAATTTCTTTGTTGATAATCCGATCATGTTCTAAGCTTTTTCGGCCAGATTCTACTCTCACATATTTATATATTCTTACAGGTTTATCGATACCTTGCAATACATATCGATAATATCAATCTGTGATGTGTGCACAAATTATTTCATCACAGTAAAAAAAATAATTTAAAATCATGAAATCCATAGTAATATTTGTCGAAAAAAAGATTGACAACGAAATCATGCTAATCGGACTCCTAAAATGCATGTTTCGTTTCAAGATTAGGTTGTTGTAATAAATAATATTGTATAAAAAACATCGAATTTAAAAACTAGGGAGAAATCAATAGCAGTAACTGCATAAAATTCATTAAAATCATTGCCTTAAAAAAGTATGTACTCAAACGCATGATTCGAATTTTCCATATTGTTTGAAATATATTGGGATATTTAAAATCCACATGAAAATCAATATCAATAACTGCCGAAAATACAATCAGAATATTACATTGATTCACGATACTAATGGTGTAAATTCAGCATGTCAAAAAGTGATAACTGAAAGGCATCATTCAAATACTACGTGTAAACTTCTGAAGAAAATAATTATTTTCACTTTTCAAAAGAAAACTCATTATGCAAGAACTCTGTAACGTTCTGTGACAATGGTGCTTGTCATTGCGATTCTGCCGTGGGGGATCAGATTATTACAACAAAACCAAAAAGTACTCAATGGTAAAAATCCTGAATAATTTATTGTATTAACGTAGATTTAGTTTTCTATTCTAATCATTACTACCTAATCATTTTCCACAATTATCATAGCAACTTCACTTACAAATTTGCATTTTAAATTCCTGTGATTTTTGGTTTGCATAAAAACTCAAGAAATGTTTTTTTGTCAAAAAGATTGTTTAGTCATAATACTTTAAGTTAATCCCTAATGGTGTTTTACAATTTTGAGTTCATTATTTTAATTGCATATGTTGAGTGGATACAGTTTTATACAGAGCTTTGTAAAAAAGTAATCATAAAACAGTTTTATAACATATACCTCTTTACAAAAATACTTTTATTAAAATATACCTCTTAGTTTTCATCTTTTAATTTAGAGTAATAATCAGGATCAAAGATAGCAAACAAGTAAGCAATAGCAAACAAGGAATGATATATAAAAGTTACTGTTAAATACGTTTTAAGAGAAATAGAAATATTTTAGATGTAAATATAACTTTTATTAATTTTAAGCTGGAAATAATTGAAGAAATCTTTATCATACCATGTGATACCTAATGACTGCTGTTGGGTTTATATGTAAAATTTTTATACACTGCTACTCTGGAATTTGCTATTGTGGAAAACTGTTTTTGTTTAATTTCTATTTTAAAAACTGTGACATTTAAGTCTCAAATCTTATTGTAGTATTGGGTTTTCATATTAATCTTATATGTTTATTATGGCAGATATATTTACTTATTTGCACATCAGCTTTTATTGCATAGGGTAATAAAATTATTCACATGATGCAAATGTAATGAAAAACATATTTATTTCAGATCATCATACAAGGTTTTCGAAGTTACCGGGAGCAAACTGTAGTCGAGCCTTTCAGTTCTCGTCATAATGTAATTGGTAGGTAAAAAAATATTTATCATTCGAACATTATATATTTATTTATATATATTTATTGTTGTCAGCAAGAATCTCTATATATATTCTTGCTGACAACAATTTATCCTCTGTATTTGAAGTTTGAAAATTTTAAAATAAATTAAGAACAATTATTATTTTGGTCCTAGTTTTTTTTTTCTTTTCAAAAAAACTTTTGTTTTTATAGGTGTTTTTATTATGTTTCAATTGCCATGACAGGGTATCTATTAGATTTTTTTTTTTACTTTTTCTTGAAAATATGGTAGTTAGAAAACCTAAAGTTTTAATAGAAATTTCTTAAATTTTCTTTAAAGTTTTCTTTCGAGGTTCAAGATCAGTTTTTATTTCTCAATTTGTCTTTTATATATTTTTTCTTCTATTGGGTATTTTCATGACAGCACGGCATTTTTAAAAGCCTTTCTGATAATTTTTTTTTTATAATTTCATGAAATTTTTTTTCTGGAAACTATTATTTTTAGCATGGAAGTTTTGTTTTAAGATTAAAGAGGATTTTTTTTTTCTCTTTCTCTTTATCCTTTTTTTCCCCAACATTGCAGCTTTATATTTCTTATGGATTACAGTGTTATTCCCTTACCCCCTATCAATAATATAGCTAAGTTTTCAGTATTTTTTAATGATTACTGAGCATATTGATGCAAAAAAATAGTATGTAATTAATATTGAACTATTAATGAGAATTAATAATGACTTATTGAATCATAAATAAGGACTTGTGATTCAGGCCCAACCATTCTGTATTTGGTCAATTTTTTGGCCAACTATTAAGTATTTGGCTATTCTGCCAAATCACCATTTATTACATGTCTATTTCAATGCACTTTTTTTTCTTCAAATATGTTTGACATGCCTTTACTGTGAAAAATTAAATTGTTTAACTTAATTTTCATGACCTTATAGCTTTATAAACTGTTTACTTTAATTTTTATTTTAATTTTTTTAATTTTTCTAGTGGGAAGAAATGGTTCAGGAAAGAGCAATTTCTTTTATGGTGAGTTTCTGTTTTATTCAGTTTTCTACTACACTAAGTCACAAACGTCTAGAAGTTAGTTATGACTTTTAATTAAAAATAATGCACAGTCGAAGAACTTTATAATGTAAACCTTAAAAGAGGAGGCTTATGTTTTATCAATCATTTCACATATTGAAAATTTAGATTCATAAACAAAAAAACTACAAAAAAAAACTATTTTTACAACACATCATGTGCAAGAATAAACGTTTTTCTCTTTAGAGGTGTTTAGTTTTGCTTGCAGATAGTATTAAACTGATTTACTAATAGTATTAAAGATATTAATAGCAATAAATAGAGTACTTATAGTAATAAAAATAGTACTAATAATAGTACTATACCTAAGAAAAAGATTGAACTAAAATTAGGGACTCTGGGGAGAAAAATGTATGCATTGTCTCCTTTATTTGGTGCATGAACTTATTAAATTAATTACCTGTTTTTCTATTATAAATTGATGAAAACTACTTATCAAAGTTATGTATATATGTATATACATATATATAATAAATTCGACTCAGTGGCACGACAGTCCATGAAGAGTAAAGGCCTACAGTGCTCATCTCAAATTTCTTGCTCTGGAGTGCAGGAGCAGATGTTCTTGTTCGATTGTGTGTCGAACAAGGAATCTACGCTGTTTAGTCCCCAAGCATGCTTGATACTCATTTTATCAACGCACAGAAGGAATGAAAGGTTGAGTCAACTTCGTCTGGCCCGATGATAGGACTTGTGGCTTGGAAACGTGAGGCGTTATCACTCAGCCATTGGATGTCATATATAGACAGTTAATGTTAATTGGTGATTTTATTTTACTAAATATAATTGCACAGTCATTGTGATGGATTATCAGGGGTCAGTTTAGGTTTTTCTGAGAGGTACCTATTTTATGAAAATTTAGATATAATTTGTGAACAATTAAAAATTTTATTAAAAAATCAACACAAAAGTATGGATTTATTGTTTCGTAAGGGATACGAAAATAAAATTTTAAGAAAAAGTATTTTGTGAAACTAGGGTTTTTCCTTAAGTTGAATTTGTGAAGGTACTGCTAAATGGTAGTAAATTCGGCCTGGACAGACACCTGATTATACTCCATTGCAAGTTAAGAAAAGACCATTGAGGTATAGGATTTAAGTAATCATTCGGGACTGCATATAGTTCTGTTTTATTTCATAATCAAATTATATAAATATGCTTTCAAAAACAATATTAAAGCTTTTAAAAGTCAAACACATCAGACAGAAATTTAATTTGTGCTATCTTTTGTGATATATATCATAGAATTATTAAAAAAAGGTTATAGTTTCGTAGTTTTATTGGAATCTTAGACTTGGGGACGTATTTCGATAAACGAGGAGAACATTTGTTCTGGAAAATGTTACTACTATATGATGTTGCTATGATCATTGGATTGATTAGAATAAATCCAATGATCATATGACTATGATCATTGGATTTGATTAGACCACTAAAAATGCCACATGTTATGCTGACATGCTCTTAACAAATCAAATGTGAGATAAGAAATTTTTACTTTTGTTTCACTGTTGAGGAAAATTGTCTGCAAAAAATATTTATTATTCTTTCATCAGTTTCTTTAAATGTGAATAGAAGGACGTATATATATTTTTATTCATTCATCATTTCATTATATTTAGTTTTTATTACTTCTTATTGCGAATTAATTGATTGTTTAATAAGTTTTGTTTTCCTTATTTCGCATGATTTAAGAAAAGCAAAAGGAAGGCTGTACATCCTCTTTCATGAATTGGCGATGTTGATATACGTTTGCGCTAGGAACTTGGCATTTGGCTTACATTTAGATGCAAACAGGCTCTCTCCATAGGGATAATAAATTTTTCTTAACTTGCAACAGAGTATGGTTGTTAATAAATTTGATTTAGAACTACTGTAAATGTTTTAAAAATTCTTAAGTTTCCCAAGTGTGGAGTGGAGTGGTTTTTCTTGAATTCATTATTTTGTGATAATTTAAACAATGAAGTGATTGCTTTTGCTTATTTTTTTTAGCTATTCAGTTCGTCCTGAGTGATGAATTCTCCCATTTACGACCTGAACAACGTCAAGGACTACTTCATGAAGGTACAGGGCCTAGGGTGCTCAATGCTTATGTGGAAATCATTTTTGACAATTCTGATGGTCGTCTGCCTGTAAGTGCTAATTGTATTTATTAACCTTCTAAATTGAAAAGCATAAATATATGAATTCTTTAGGATTACCATCCTCCATTGGAACAGCTTCTAAAGTATGTCACACTGTTTTTGGCTTCACTGTTAATAGAACGTGCTGTGAAAGTTCAATTGCTGTAGCAACTGGCTGTTTTTTAAAAAATTATATGTATTAAATTAACAATCTGAATGAAAGTGAACTTTAAAACATGGCTCTAGAATCAATTGAAAAAAATGCCCAACTCGGATTCTGACTCCTGGAGTTTTAAACTTAAAGACTCCCTCATATATAAACATAAACACATGTATTGCAGCTTATTTTTTTAGATATAAAAGAAGTTATAGATGCTACAGAAAAATTAATGGCATAGCAGATTATTTATATTAATTAGCATTTATAATGGCATTACTAATTAAGAAACAGAATATAGCTTTGGCAATATTTTCTTTTATAGAGTTCCCTTGATCCAATTTGATAAACTTCACAGCTATAAGGAGTTTTTTCATTCTAATTTAAGTAGGAGGAAGAGCTGTAGCTGTGAGGGCTACTTTTTTAGCTTTTTCATGATTGATTTGAGGTGTCTCACAAGAGTGATCGTATTCTCTTTTCGTTCAAGGGCTATGTATAAATCTTGTTTGTACTTTTTCATTTTCATATCTAAAGGCTCTTGATTCTTTATTTTCATTCGCATTGCCTTAGCCTTTTTCAATATTATCTGAATATTCAATATTATCTGAATTTGTAATGTCTGCAGTTTGACTGTCCTGATTTGAATACTCCAATTGTTCTGAGAATAATTTCATTCTTAGTGAAAGTTCATAGTTTGCTTTGTTTGATTTTTTAATTTGTTCATAATCCAAAAAAATAGGTATTTTGGATTTACATATATTAAGTCCAGCAATATCTCATTGTCTTACAAAGTAGTTTCTCTTTCCTTCATTGAGGAAATGATTCCTTCTGCAATAAGCCCTTCCATTTTAGGAAAAACAAACTTTATGTTCTTTCTTTCTTGCAGAAACGAGCCTCTTGTTGATTCTTTAAATTATAGCTTTTTTTTTGCTATTAAAGCCAATTTGTACAGCCACATTTATAAAAGCTGTATTAAAGTAACCCACAAATGAGGTTTTCAAACAGTAAATTATCACCACTTTGATTTAGGCAGTGCTTATTTACATGAAAAAATACTAGAGATGCAAAAACTTACTTATGCGTTTTAAATTTAGTGACACAACATGCATTTTGCAATCATGGGTTCCTTTTTCTTGTTACGAATTATGTTAGAATAAATAATGCCATCTATGAGCTGACAAAATAACTAAATGAATCAGTTTAATGAATAATGGCCAATATCACATTCATCTCCCCCCCCTTATATTTATTACAATGTCAATAAAATAGAAAATAACTAAATATTTATTAATGTATAACATCCATAAATAAAAATAATAACAGATAACTCAGTTTGCCATTTTATTTATTTTTTCTATTCACTTTTATGTTATTTGAAATTTAAACTGTCCAACAAAAACTGCCTAACTCGGATTCTGATGTTTATTTTAAACCTTATTCTCTGAATATCTATATTGTTGTAAGACATGTATTTTGTGTGACTATACAGGTTCTTGCACATACATATCTACGAAATTTCATTTTGTTAATATTTTATTGAATTAAACATTGCGTTCAAAAGTTATGTGCACAAACACGCATTCTTGCTATTTTGTTAATTTTAAAATTTATTTTTCATATTAGGTTTGATTCAATTAAACTTAGTATTATGCAAATTCCTAGTAGTATTATTAGAAAATCACAGTAGTACTAAAAGACATTCTAACAATTATCCTTTGGGTGATAAATGCAAAGCATTTACTTATTTATTTATACACTTTTTAATTAAAAAAATTTTATTTTCTCTTCTCTTCGTTTCCAAATACGACATAATAAATAATCTTTATTGATCGTTTGATGGCACTTGTGAATTGTCTAATTAAAAGCTGGCCAACAAAAATAATTTTTCTTTGAATCCAACAGATGTTTTTGGCACAAAAAAAAATTTTATTTAAAGAAAATTAGAAGAAATTAACTGTAGTAGAATATTATATTATTTGGCATTTTGAAAAATAAAATTAATCATAAATATTAGACTTTATTTTAGTTACCAATTTAACACTTTTTGTCTCAATTGGAAATGATCAAGATAATTACCTTTTTTCAATGCTTTATATATATTTTATTTATTAACTGTTTATTTTATATTTTTAGTTGGACACTAATGAAGTATCACTCCGACGAGTAATTGGATCTAAAAAAGACCAGTATTTTCTTAATAAGAAAAGCGTCAAGTAAGGAATATTTCTTTTAAAAATTAGTAGACTTTATAATCATAATTGAAATTGTTAAATAATTCATGTACCACGTGCAAAATGAAAGATGAAACACTTTAATAGCTTTTGAGCTAATAGTTAGATTTTCATGTATTAAGATGCAATCTTAATTTGAAAGTCTTATCTTAAGCAAGACTATTAGTTTGTTGATGATATTTTGAAGTTACAAAAATAGGTACAGAAACGTACTTACTCTAAACAAACATACCTTTTATTTATGATGGATTTTGTTTCTGATCACTCATATTGTTGGTAGCCTTAATATGAGAAACGTTCTCAGAATAATTTATTTAGTCAAGTATTCAAACCTAATTGGTTTCTATATAATATTTTGATGCTATTATACTGATTCCTTTAAAAATGTTTGACTTTTTTATTTAAAGTTACACAGTTTAAAGTGGTGTAAAAAATTGGGAAATTCGAAATCTGTTGAACCTGTGATAAATTAAGTAAGGAAACACAATTATTAATTAGAAAAATATTTAAAGCTAACAGATACTTTCTCCTCTGTGATTAGTAAGCAGCATTATTGTTTGAGAATTTTTTTTTTGTATCTTTGTAAGTTTCCTTTTAAGTTTCAATTCAGCATAAATACTCTACGTTTTCCAATGCCATGTGTCTGGCTCTCACATATAACTGCATAGGAGATTGTTGGAAAAAAGATACAGCTGTAGGTTACTACATACAAATAGTTAAATGCGTGTAAAGGATAAAGTTCTTTACGTAATATGGTATCTCCACACTTAGCAGCTTCATGCGACAGCACTCATTGTCACCAAAAGCATATCAGCTGGCATGACATAATACTAGCCCAGATTCATCATCAAATCAGATTACTGTCGAACTATATCTCAAAATGAAAGCATCGTGGAAGGGAATGAGAAAGCATGCAAGCAAGTAATTGATAGAAAAGTGAATGAGTCAACATCACCCATTTATATTTATCCTGTGATCTAATTTACGTAATATTGATGCCAACAACTAAATATTAACGATTGAAATCACTGAACTAAACTCAATGGTGCAACAGTCTATATAGGGCCAGTGTCTACTGTGCCCATCTCAGTTTTCTGGACCTTGGGCTGTGGGGTCGGTTGGGTGGTCAAAACCCCAGTATTTATTCTTTAAGCATGCTTGGCACTCATTTTATCAACTCACTGAAGGGATGAAAGGCTGAGTCAACCTTCCCATGCCCGAGGATCGAACCAAGTACCTGTGGCGTGAGAATACAGAGTGCTACCACTCAGCTTCCAGCATCACTAAGAAAGATAAATATATACACTGCTCAAAAAAATTAGGGGAGCCATGCACTCCCCTAATTTTTTTGAGCAGTGTACAATTAACCTACTCTCGACTAATATTGCTGAAAGCTATGCTACTGATAACACACATTGCGACTGCTGTGCATCCTGACCAGCCATGGCACAACTACTGGATCAAGTATAAACAAGGCCCCTAATATGTACAAAATCAGGTTAAGTATTTGATAAGTAATGCCGATTGATTGAAGCTTTTGGATTCGCTGATTGTTGGAACATTACACTTTTTACTATATTTTATCTATCAATCAAAATTTTGTTCACTTTTCATTGAAGTAGAATACTCAAATTTTAATTAGAGCTTTGTATTGATTTACATAGCAAATTCTAATCATTTTCTGGTTGCAACAGACTGAAATTAGCTCAATGTTATTAAATAAATGAGTGAGTAACTATCAATTAAAATTTAGACAGTTGTTCAATTAGCCAGCTCTCAGAGTGTTTAAATTTTAATTAAGGTGCTATGGGGGATGATTACACCATAAGTTCCCAATCTTATGCTAGGCTGTAAAAGTTTTTTTTGTTTTTGTTTTGCCAAATAGAACTTATTGTCAATCCAAATTTTGACCATTTTCTAACTAGCTGGTATGCTCAAATTTCAGTTGGTGGTTTGATGCAAATACAAGTTACAGATGTTTCTTAAATATTTCAAATTAAAATTTGTAGTCATTTTTTAAAATAAATAATTCTATATTTACAATTCTATATTTACAATTCTATATAAACAAACACAGAACTTAAAGAAAAATGTAAAAATTTTTAAGATGAAAAAAGGAAAAATTAATTCTATTTCTGTCTGGCCTAAAATGAAAAACGTAAGATTAATAACTTGTATAATCAATTTCTAATGTTATAAAAAATTCTCTCCATGTTGGAGGCTCCATTCATTTTAGTTGTGACAAGTGTAGAGTTATTTTTTGCTTAGTTGCAAAACTTAGTTTAAAAATGTTTTTATTATTTTATTTATTTATTTTTTATTCTGATTCACATTTACCCAAATCCTACTTGTTATGAACTATACAATATTTTTTTTTATACAGCCGGACTGATGTGATGAATTTATTGGAGAGTGCTGGGTTTTCAAGAAGCAATCCCTATTATATTGTAAAGCAGGGAAAAGTAAGTAATAAATTGTATAAAAAATGTTAATGTAAAGTAAGTAAAAATTATGACTTATACATAGTAACTAATTTCTTCACTACAGTTCAGACAGTAACAATAAAAAAATTGAAACTTTCATTTTCACCAAAAATTTACTTTTATTATTATTCAGAAAACAAGTTTTGCTGCTAAAACAGTATCAGATTAATACTATGGTTGTAATTAAATTTTTGAATGTTTAAAATGAAATTGAATGTTGATTTTTGAATGTAATTAAATTTTTGAATCAGACTCTTTCTGGTTCTTGCAATTGAAGTTAATAATATTCACAAAGTTGCATTTTTTTGGGATGCATTTTATTAAAATGTAGGGTATATTTAGATTCTCAGTGTTCTCCTTATACAATTTTAGAAGGGTGGCTCGCCCTTTGATTCCAATAAATGCGCCCTCTTGGCCCTTTAAGTAAAAATAAGCCACCATCTCTTAAAAACACTGCCTTTTTATTCATGTTTCATTTTGAAAAAGGTTAGTTCACCGTTTAAATAATAATTGAACCCAGGTAAGATGATCTGTGTATAAATTTAATTCTGATTACTATCGCAAATATTTACTTTGTTAGGATTATTCTCAACTGGTTAAATATTTTCAAGTATCTCTTTTTTTGAGGGGGAGGATATTAATACATTTTTTAAGTAATTTTAAATTTCAAATTATTTTTAAAACAAAAATCTTTTTTTCTTTTAATTTTTTAAATGCACCTTTAAATGTTAATTTTCACATAATTTATTTTCAGTTTAAATTATAGTTAAAAGCTCAAGTTGTTTATCAATTAATCTTTTTTTTTTTAGTTAAGTTTTTTGAAAAAAATTATGCACAGATATTCTTTTAGTATGCCTTCAATTATTTTTATGTACTTCAAAATTTTCTCTTACTTTGATGAAGAAAAATAATTACTTTTAAACATATACATAAAATAATATTAGAAGGTAATTTAAAAATTGCTGAGAATAAAATTCAGTTAATATATAATATTAAATTTTTTGATAATTTTTTACGGTGTTGAGTTAGTGCCGTTTCAAAACTTAAAGTGCCCTTTTCTGAGAGGAAGTGCTCTGCCCTTTTTTATTCCTAGGTAGGACTCTGGATTCTGTTTATTAATAAAAAGCATAGCTCAGGCATTTTAGAGCAGAACTGGCAAATTTCTTTACTGGCCAGTGACTGGTTGTACCATTTTTAACAGTTACGAAAAATGATTTCTTTTACTATATTACTTTTGCAAAAAATATAAATTTTAAACAATTATAAGAAATTATCTTGAATGTCATTTATTTTAAAACGTTTCTTTAAAAGATAAATCACATTTCAAGATTCATCTAAATTGAAGAAAAATTTTAAGAAAGAAGCTTGCAGTTAAGTAATTTTCAGAATATTTGAAATATTTATAATATTTCCATATTAGGAAAGTAATAATAAAATGTTGTTACATTTAGTTGTGGCCAGCGACAACCAATGATTTTGCACTATATCAAACATGTGTAACTTTGCTATCTTTAGATTAAAAAATAGTACATTTCCAAGGATGAAATAATAAAGTTGACCTTCTTCTAAAAGTGAGAATATGCTTGACTTTCAAGACAAATTGTTTAAGCACTCATCCCTTTTAGGGAATTCTTGCACTTTTTTTCACTGTTTCTTTTCTTTACACCTGCAGCAGAATTAAGGAGAATCTTTCTTCTATTGTTCCTGGCTGTTACTCCTAGGGTAATATTTAAGGAAGGGCATTCTTTAACAGCTTTCCTGATAGAGAGGGAGAGCATCTGTTGCACCATGCTGCTTTTACATTCTTGACTCTTTCTGCACATTCATTATTAATTCCTTAGAGCAGTGTTTCCTAAAGTGTGGTACGCATACCCTCAGGGGTACGGGAACAGTTTAGCGGGGGTACCCGTTCTTATGCGAAATATCTTGCAACAAACGAAAATTTCAAAAATTTTTATTTAAAAACAAAGCTAGCCATGAAAATTTACGATTACGTATTTTTGCTATTTTTGGCAGAGTTAACAGTTAATAATTAGTGGTGTCAACAGCCAGTTGTGATTTTTAACTTTTGTAAAATTTTTTATAGTAAAAAATACATTCATTTTTCTTCTAGTGGTACACAGCGTTGCGAAAAATTTAGAAAGGGTACACAAAAGTCATTAGTTTGGGAAACACTGCCTTAGAGAATCAGTGATCCTGAAATATAAAAATATATTGTCATAAATGATTAAAAAAAAGAAATTTTCAACTTAAGGGAGAATGAAAAGGGGAAAAATGTCAGATTAACCATTTTATTAGATGCACTGCCCGTATACCAAAATGTAAGGTTTAAAATCATAAAAGTCGCCGTGTATCCGGGCAAAATTAAAGTATTTGTAGTTTTTTAGTGTAATAATACAAATAAGTGTTTTTTTTAAAGGTTTTTATGTTTTTAAAATTTATAGATTAATCAAATGGCAACTGCACCAGATTCTCAGCGCTTAAAACTACTTAGGGAAGTTGCAGGTACCAGAGTTTATGATGAGAGAAGAGAAGAAAGTCAAACCATCTTGAATGACACAATTGGAAAAACAAAAAAAATTGAAGATCTATTAAAATATATTGAAGAACGGCTAAAAACTCTGGAAGAGGAAAAGGAAGAACTTAAAGAGTATCAAAAGTGGGATAAAATGCAGAGGTATTATGCTCATTTTGTTTACAAGTTAACAAGTTGTTTACAGTACATTTAGTTTGTAAAAACATAAAAGTTCAACCTTCAGTTTTGAGCAATTTTTGAAATTCTCGTATCCTATTAAAAATATTTTTGTATTCTATTGAAATGNAAAAAAAAAAAAAATAAAAAAAAAAAAAAAAAAAAACATGTAGAAATGGCTAAAAAAAATGATATATTATGCGGGAAAAGCGATCAGCAAATGTCTTAGATTTACCATGGAGTTCTCGTGAATCGAGCATGTTAGAAAAAGAGAACTTAAATTCAAAATTTGCATGTCGTAATAACGTTGACATTTAAAACACTGTGTGAAAAACAATTGAAAAATTATGTGTATTTAGGATGGAATTGTTGCAAACAGAATCCGAAGTGTTAAATTTGAAATTTGTGAGCCATAATGACAATGTCGTAATAAAAACTTCAGAGTTTGAAAAATCAATAGATAGTTGCTGAAAAAATTATTGGAAGTCGTGCAAATTCATTATCGAATCAACACAAATCAAGCACACAAAAAATTGACTTCATAGACTCTTGTATTGTCATAACATCATATTAAAAATATCGGAATTTGTTATTAAAAAAAACGCAGACGGATAGGGTTATGAAAACTGTCAGAAAATAACGTGGACTTATAGTGAAATTGTTCCAAAATGAGTGCATCAAAAAGTGATAACTTGAATTCAAAATTCTTGAGTCAGTATACCATTAAAAACATCAAAATTTATTTTAGGGAGTAGTGTAAGTGGCTATAAAAAAGCGATTGATAGCAGCAAAAGAAAAAAAAAGACAGAATGTACAATGGAATTGTTACGAATAAAACGTGTTAGAAAGCAATTACTCAAATTTGTGTATCATAATAACGTATTAAAAATATTGAAATTAGAAGAAAAAAGAAGAGGAAAAAAACAAAACAAGAACGCAACTGCTACAAATCAGAAACAATAGACTCATCCCGAATTGAGCCCATCAAAAGCTATAACTTAAATTCGTATGTCTTATAAAACCTTATTAAAAATATCAGAATTTGAAAAAAGACTTAGAAAAATAGACCTTTATAATTCATTAATTTTTTTTTAATGTATCAGGCATTTAATAACAATAGAAAGGCTTATTTGAAGTGATTGTTTCCTGAAAAAAACAAGTATTTTTCAAGCTAATTTTAAAGACAGAGTAGAAGTATAGTTTAAATAAAGCTTAATGTTGTTACATTGGAAATCCAAAATAACTTAGTCTGAAAATGTCTAAAAGAAAAGAACTTTTTGAAGAAGTAGAAAGTGATTGATGAATAAACTAAGTTGGAAAAAAGCAATAGCAGTGTAAATACTAATTTATATGAAACTGAATGTTCTCTGTGTGTTTCTCCTAATTCTTAATAAAAAATGATAGATTCTTAATAAAAACAAAATGATTCTTAATAAAAACGTTCTCAATAAAAACATTCTTAATAAAAACAAAATTAACCTTGTGGGTGTAAACAATGAAAATTTCAGTTAAATGTTTGTAACTCAATAAGAAATATTAACTTTTTACATTATTTTTTTAAAATTATTATCTAAGAGGTTACAAAAATTGCTATTTTTTCTGTTAATAATGAATACTTAAGTGCAAATTTGTGTTTTCAAGGATTTTAATTTAAAAATTAAGATTGATGTATTTCAGACTAATATTGCCATATTTAGTAGGTAAGTTTAAAGGCTTGTGAAAAGATCTATATGACACAATTATAAATGCAATGCCACATGCTTTAAAGTTTTCATTATAGTATAAACTCTTCTACTATATTAATTGAAGCTTTTAGGAATGAAAAAAATATTGAGTTATATTTTGAATTTACTCTATTTCTCAAATAAAAGCTGTTTAACAAATTAAAAAAAAAGGAAGAACAAATTGGGTGATATGTTAATTGGATGACACGGGACTTTGCATTTATGCAAATTTATACAGAAATTTTTTCTCAATACATAACTTCCTTTTTGTAAATTCACTGTAATTAAATATCTTTGGACACTCTGAAGTCTCATAATATATGTGCCAAGATGGATTCAAATGATTATTGATGTTAAAGGGAAATCAATTAACTATTGATTTATCTGCATAATGCTGTATAAAGATAAAACATCTTGAAATGTATTCTGATTTCTATTTGCATAAAGCATTTTTCGAATGTCTCATATTTTTTGCTTTGTGCTCTTGACATGGATAAATCTTCAGAATTTTAATATGTAAAGGGATTAAAATATATTAGAATAAATGATGTTTTAAAATTGTTTTATTCAAGCTTTTATGAATAAGAGAAAGAAGATTATATTAGACCTAAATAAGAGTATGTATAATTTTTTATCTTTTGTGTGCTGCTGAATTTACCCCTTTTTTTATTGATTGAAACTTAATTATTCTTAAGATGGGAATTTTATATCTGTAAAATTCCTATTGAAAGGGAACCAATCTTAAATTAAAGAGAGTTTCAAAAACGTAGAATGCGGTCAAATTATTTTCCCTCAAAGATAGAGTTTATTTAATATTAAATTAAAAAAATTTTAATAATGGAAATGCATTCATGGCTGAACAGTTAAGACTCTGGTTCTATACCACCTGATAACAGGTTCTTAATACTGATTTTTGTAAATTTTTTTATATTTGAAGTCTGTATATTAAAAAAACTCAATCATGGTAAAATTTTATAACTATTAAAAAATTTATTTATTGATTATAAATTATGTTTTCTAGGAGTTTTAAAAGTTATAATATTTAAGAAGTTAAATTGTTTACAAAGTCAAAATATTTACTTAGTAATGCATAATTACCATGTGTAATTTTTAAAATTTTTTTTTATTTTGCTTTTTAAGAAAATATTTTTATGTTTTCTGCAAGTATTGCTCAAACCTCATCTACCCCCTTGGCGAAAAAATATGCAAACCACTAATTCCCTTGCTGCCACTTAAATAATATTTCAATGATCTCTTAAGATTAAAAATTATCAGCATTTTCTACTACTTGAAACCTATTGGGCCACATCCCTTGCATTAAAAATTATTTAAAGTTAGCAAAACTTGAGTCACTTGATCTTAAGATTGAAATTTAAGATCTAAAATTTACGATAAAAAGGGTTAGCCCCTCTGCAGTATTGGAAAAATCTTTTTAAAATTTTTTCTTTGTTTGAAATGTGTCTTAATATCTTGAGAAAAATTATCTGCCAATGGTTTATAAACAATAAAAATAGCTAAGTAATCAAATTTTGGATTTTTGCACTCTGTGAATAGAAAACGTCAAAAGTGTATTTCTCTGACCTGCATTTTTCAAGTTGGCCAAATTCGTGACTAAGACAACTCTTCACTAATTTATTACACATCTTAACTGTAAATTTAAAATTAAATTTTCTACAAAATTATTTCACATGGTTTTTTATGTTATAAATAAGTATTAGGTAATATTGTTTCATAAATTTGAATTTTTGTTTTTATACAAAAGGACAATTTGTGCTATTTTTGGCAGCATCTAATGCTTTGGAAATGCAACATTTCTTAAAAGGTTTTTATCATTATGCTTGCATCAAAATTTTTTACGCATTTAGAATGATTTGGTGCAAAACGTTGTTTGAAAACAGGGATAAATTCTTTGAACTGGCTAACTATCACGAATCCTTCAGAAAAAGAATATCAGAAAACTGACCATCATCATTTCTTAAAAACAAAAATTGACACTCATTATGAAATGTTTAATTAAAATCTTTGAATACTTTATATTGTTAAAAATTATTTTTTGTTCATCTTTGAAAAGTCTAGTAATTAGTATGAAATTTGTGCTTTAATAGGCTTATTTATTTACTTTTCTTTAAAAAATTTAAACAGGTCTTTAGAATATACAATATATGATCATGAGTTGAAAGATGCCAGAAAGAAATTAGAAGAGGTGAGAGATATATTCATTTATTTTTTTACTCATGTTTAATTTTTTTTCTTTTTAGAAATGAGGGCAGCTATTACGATTAGACTTCTAATTTGCTGATTACTGTTATTTTAAGTAATAATAATAGAATATTCTCTCTAAATTATTGATTCAATACTTGTAGCTATGTTAATGGATTTTTATGTTATGTAATATCGAAGAAATTTTAATATGGAAATAAAGGTTTGATTTTGTAAATTTCTAACCACCTTTTTTGTTGACAACTTATTAAATCTGAATAGATAACTTTTGTATTTTTCAAGCAAACGGCGCTACCAATTTAACATAAGATCTTTAAATAAATGTTTGTGTAGATTTCTTTCTTGATACAGCAAATTGAATCGTGTTATTTATTTTGCTCCCTGCCCTAACCTTTTTTGGTCTTTCAGTGGAAAATTACATTTGTAATATTCCTGTGGTATATGGGTATATCTATATCTTTCAGTCAAAAATTCTTATATGTTCAAATCCCACACAACATTGAAATTATTGTTTTTTATTTTTGTATTCTTCAGTTATTTGATGAATCAAAATGTTTCCAAACTCTTTTACAATTTTTCTCTTTTTTTATGAAACAATATTTTAAAATATGTGCTGTAGTAAATGGTTTGCCAAATTTGCTCATCATAGAAAATTACCATACATTTATCATCTTCGTCTTAAGATCACCATTGAAGATGCTCTAGTGCTTCCAATTACTGCCGTTTAAACAAATTAAACTATCTCAACTCTTTACTAACTATTGTTTACTAGTAATAAAAGTTTTTTATTTATTTATTTTTTTCAAGTATATGTTTGAAATTTTTTTAAAGCTAGTTTTACAATTGTCAATTTTACTTTCAAAATGTTTTTTTTAAAAAAAAAAACATTTCACAGTATTTTTTTTTTTTTAGCACTAGAGCTGACTCATACGCTGTTTATTTTAAATCTGCTTCAATCTTTACTGTTATTTATTATCTTCAAATGCTGCTAATTATTTTTTGCTATTTCATGCCTTTGTTTTAAAATAAGTTATTAGTTCCAAGAAATCATTAATTTTTGCTTTGCTCACGAATTCTGTCTAAGCAGATGTGTTTCTGTATCTGAAATCCAGATCCCTCTCCAACTAATTGGTTATTTTCAGTTCAATTCAACTTCATTTTATTCTGCAGATTAATTATTTCATTTCTGATTACATGGTTTAATTTAGAATTTAGTATTGAGTCAAAAGTACTTACAACTGAAAATGCATGTTTGACTTTATATACTTAAATCTACTTTTATCTGTATGTTAATTGATTAATTTTAAGTGAAACTGATCACTTTTCTATTATTTCATGTCACAGTTTTAAAACTAGTTATTAGTTTCAATGACTTATAAATTTTTATATTTGTGTTCTGGTAAGTAAATATGCATGGCATTTTCAATTCAAATCCTATCTGTTCAAGTAACTGATCGTTTTGAATGCAATTTTTTTTTCAATCCTAACCTAACCTCATGGTTACTTATTATTCTCAAATGTAACTTGCAATTTTTTAAATTTTTCCCCTTTCATATTCTAATTAAGTATTAGTTAAAATTATTCATTTTTTTAAAAGAAAAAGTTCTAAAATGAGTAGAACTCATCTACTCATTTAACTGTCTTATTAGTTTATTTACCCATTCATTTATTTCTATATATATTCCCCAGTTAGATATAAATTTAATTTTCTTGCTGAAGGTATTATTTACCTAGCTTAATTCTTAAAAATAGCAATGAATTTGTATAGTCAAAAATATTATTAAAAAGAATGTACAAAGGAATATTTAATAGTGTTTACAGTTTTAGCATTTTTTACATCTATTTAAGACAATACTTTGAAACTTTATTGGATGTGATAATAAAGAAGAGATGCAATGTTTTTGTTTAAGAAAAAATGGGATACAGCAATGATAACAGAGACAAACAATTATTTTATACTTCTGGGGGTTTCTATATCTTTTGCTTTTTATTATCTAATCTTATTAATACCAAATCTAATTGAACTGTTTAATTTTATATATATTTAGCTAGGTTAAATAGTATTTAATCAGGAAGCAAAATTAGGTTAAAATTACTATTGTCAATAAAAAATAAAACTTAAAATATCAGTTTGTTACTAGGGCGAACATTAGTATCATTTTATGCTGTTTATTGTTATAAATTTACAAATTAGAAATAACATCTATTTTATTAAATGTTTTTATATTTTATATATATGTTTTTACTTTACTTTAATGTAGTACAATAATATTTACTCATAAAGAATAACTTTTGTTATTTTGCTTTAACACAAAATATTAAATCTATTTTAACCTATCTAAAACTATTTAAAATTAAACTGCTGAAAGTAAGGGAACAGGAAGCAAAATTTGGTACAAATTATTATTGTCAATAAAAAATGTTAAAACTTTAAATATTTCCTAGTTTGTTATTATGGCAAACACTAATATGATTTTATGATAATTTCCGTGTGATTTCACTTTAATAATTCCTAATTTTTCTTTTTTACTATAGCTTGATACTAGGAGAGAAACTAGCAGTTCAGTGACTGAAAAATTACGTGAAGGAGCACAACAAGCAGCAGATCAAATAAAAGTATTATAAATTATTTTTCTTTTAACTTATCTTTTTTCTGGTGAATGCATATTTCATATGGAATAGTAATACCTCTTAAGTGATCATTCCTCTTTTATATTTGTTTGCTTGTGTGGTCATTTTTTGCCCCATGCTTGCTAACTTTAGAATTTTAATGCAGAATGTTAGATTTTGCTAGTTCTCTTGATTTAATTCGAAACTCTCCTTGTTTTTGTATTTACTTAAAAAAATTCCCCTAAAGTTAGAAAACTCTTAAAAAAGTCCTTGTTGAGTTTAAAATTTTACAATTCATTTATTAAGAGCTTTCACTTTAGAAATCAATGAAAAAAATATTTATTTTGTGTTACAAATGAAATTTTTGATCTATTTTTCATTTACAAATTAATTGCATCAAAAATTTTTATTTCTATTATTATTCGTATTGTGGAATATAAGAAAAAAATATATTGAAAAAGAAAAAAAACTTCACACAATTTGTAATTGTATTGAAAAAATATCATGAACATGTAATATGAAGCTACAACTCTAGTTTATAGTTACTAGCAAATTGAGTGTTTTTTATAACTAAATAAATTGATTTTTCAGAAACTTAGTAAAGATTTAAGAGATGTGAAAAGCAAGCTGCAGTCATACCGGGAAGAAAAAGAAGCTCTCTCGCAGGAACAGTCTTCTTTATTCAAGGAAAAGACTCGATTGGAGCTGACCATTAAAGACCTGAGAGATGAAGTGGAAGGGGATGACAGTTCCCGTAAGAGAGCAGAGAAAGAGTTGGAAAGGCTCAAGGAGACAATATCTGTGAAATTAACCAATCTTGAAGAAATTCGCCCTCGCTATGAGGCCCAAAAGAAAAGGGAAGAAGAATGTACTCGAATGTCAGTATTTATTCCATCTATTCTTTTTGTGTACTAAAAAGTGCAAAAAGTGTTCAAGAAAACACTAGGGTTCTGTTAAAGGGGTTCAGGAAGTTGGGACTTTTTTTTTAAATACCAGTTATGAAATTTGAAATCTTTAATTATGTTATTTATCTAGTCAACAGTTCATAATTTTAAGTAATATTTTTTTGTTATTTTACTAAATTAAGTATCCCAGTGAAAAAAGAAATAGAAATTAAAAAATAAGTTTAATATATTGAATAAATTATGAAAAGGATATTTTCTTATTTTGTGCTATAATGGTTTTTTTTTTTGGTTTTTGTTTAAACCTCAAAAATTTTCTTTATTTAAAGTATTTAGTTAAAATTTGTATTACTTATTGAAATGGATGTTTTTTTTTTTAACGCATTTGTTGTATGAGCATTACAGTTTTTTTTCATTGTTGTTGTTAGAATTATATTTTTCACCCACTATTTATATAAATATATATCAAATAAATCAATTATTAATAAAAAGTAAAAAAAAAATAGCTGTTTTTTTATTTTTTTATGAATTTTAATAATTAAAATTATTTAATTTTCTGCAAATATATTGCTAATTTTTTTTGATGAAGAAAGTTTAGTGTTTAGAACATTAACCGTCATATAAAACAGTCATATTTGCCGCTAACATGACTAACCATGTGTCAACCTGCTGTGTAAGTGGCTTTTCACACAATTTAGTATTTAGGGGTGGTGCATCTCTAAAAACTGATTTAATTTTTTTATATGGTAAAGAAGAGTTATAAGAATTACCCAAATTCAGATAAAATTGACAGCTCAGTGGATGACCCCGGTGGTTGGAGCTAAAATGAACCTCACTTATATCATGACAACAGAAAACTATTTCGAAATTTTTTCTTGTAACTGAAAGATACTGGTATTATTTTTTTAAAAAATTATGCTACACCTTAAAAAGTGTTAGGAAACTGACAGAAAAAGTAATAGTAACTTCCTTTTTTTAAAATGTCAATAAAGTGCTATCTGCAATTGAATTGAATCTCTCTCTCTCTCGATATATATATATACAGTACAGAACCCGTTATCCGGAAATCAGAAAACCAAAAAACCGGAACGAAATTCGATAAATTTTCCCGCTATTTTAAATGTATGAATCTGTGAATGTAATGCTGCACTTGCTTTAGCATTCTTTGTGACACATATAAAGGCGCCTATTGGGAATAGATCATATTGTTTCTATATTCACAGTCAGATTTTTCATTTTTTTTAAAGAGGAATTAGATTAAAGATTTGAATTCTTAAGGTTTACCCTAGAACAGATTTCAAATGGGCTTAACTAAGTAGGAAGCAATCCATTTAATGTTGCATAGCCATCTTTGGGGATTGGGGAGCGTCTGCAAGCAGGGGTAATAGCCAGGGCCGGCTTATGCATGTCGCGGCCCCTAGGCAATGCTCGTCTAGGCCCCCCCCCTACCGTCTTCTAACTTCCTAATATATTTTTTCGCTAACACAACACTTTATTCATAATTAGGCTGTTTTTTACTACATAGGTATATTATCACATTATTCAATAAAAATATTGAATCAAACGAAAAGAATATAAGTAATTAATATATGCATTTAAAAAAAATCATACAATAAGCTTAAATATTAACTCTTCTAACTTTTTTTGTTACAAAATCGTTCAAGACATCCTGAAAGTTAACCTTTTCCAATACATCATTTTCAATTGCCATTATGGCCAATGAATTTAAACGGTTTTGAGACATAGTTGAACGAAGACAGTTTTTAATTAATTTCAATTTGGAAAAGTTTCGTTCACCAGTGGCGTTTGTAATCATTAGACTTCTATATATTTGCAAAGCTGTCATTACATTCGGGAAAGTTGATTGTGCCATGTTACCAATAATCAGTTTGTAAGACTCTTCGGCAGGCACAATTTTTTTTCCGGCGTCTTCTAATTGTAAGATGAAGTATTTATACTGCACCATTTCGTCTATAAACTCAGGCTCAATGTCCTCGAAATAATGTTCCTTAAACTTTGTGCAAGCCTGTCTAATTTCAGCGTCGGATTTTGTCGAGAAATCTGTTAGAAACCCAAACAGATCATTTATTTCCCGGTAAGCTTCTAGGCGCCGCGACAGTTCTGTACACAGCATGTCTAGTACTGGCAAATATGTATCAACTTTTAATTTCTCTTTTCCTCTGAGCACAACTTCTTTTGCAGGTCCGTCATCGTAATGCCTTTTCCTTTTTCGCACATGCTGATTCTCATCACTGTATTGAGTATCAGTTTTCTCATTTGCAGGTACCAGAACAGTAAGTGTGCATTCACAACATAGAATTTTGCGCGTTTTTCAAGCGTGTTGTGTTAAAAAAGCTGCTCTTGCTGTATAGTCATCTGATTAGTCGGCGTTAAAATTACCGCAATAAAATTGCTTGCTATTATATTACTACGTTATATATGAACTAACTACCATAATATTAATATCTAATTTGTAATGCGTTCAGAAATGTACTAAAATAGCGTCGATGTAATGTACAGAGCAAGGCAATCGTCATTGAAATTTCGAATTAAATTTTTACTGTTTAAGAAACATTGTCAATTTTTTTCTCTGTAGAACAGGGCCCCTAGGCAGTTGCCTACAGTGCCTAATGGATAAAACGGCCCTGGTAATAGCCCATTAGTTCATAAAAATTACATCAAAATTTTTCATTAATCCATATGTTAAAGAACTACATTTAAGCAGGAGAGACAATTTTACAAAATCCAGTTCTTTCTGAAGTAATCAGATAACATTACTTTTGCTTATAATAATTTTTGATTTTGACATTACTTTTCGATCCACTTTTCAAAATTTTTAATCTCTATTCTAAGTATATAACATATCACTGGTTACAAACGGCCATTTTTGGGAATAACATACAACGATCAGAAATGCACAAGCCTTATCGAAAATGAAATCAAGGAGCATATGAATATCACATATTTAAAGCTCAAATAAACCTTTTATATTATTTCATGAAAAGAGTGAATAAAATTTTCAAATAAGAAAAATATTTTTGATAAATTTATTGAATCCTTTAAAAAATCACAAAGTTAACATCAGTTAACAGTTATCGTCACATGCTTTATTTTAATTTAACAATTGTGCTCAGAAATGCAGTTTTTTTAAAAAAAAATAATTGTTTTTTGATTCCCATGTAAAGTTGCGTATCTAGAAGTGAATACGCATCAGTTGCGTATCTAGAAGTGAATATTATCACATTTTGTCCCAGTTTTTCCATGAAAACTCTTGACAGCTGTAACTGTAATTTGCTCATCAAAAAAAAAATTTTTTTTCTTTCCTTTTTTTCTTATCCTTCTTTCCTTAATCTGGATTCTTGCATCTTTTTTCTATGTCTGTTTCATTGTATTACTGAATTATAAATGAATAAATACATTAGTGTGCTTCATACCAATGATGTTCTTTTTTTTTATTAATTATTATGTGCGAGATGGCTATAGCTATCATTTGCCTGCATATCGCCAGAAATACAAGATTATATCTGCCATTAGCAGCAAGGTGTTTATGAATGAATGCTTAATACCTCTGATTTCAACACCAGGATGCAATTAACACTTCTGACTCTCAATTTTAAAAGTAACCAATATTTCACAATTTTTTTTGCATAAATAACACCTAGTCCCATCACTCTTTATTCATACGGAATTGAATATGCTTCATGTTTACTGAGGTGTAACATGAATAGAAAGAGTGGTTTGAATAATTTCCTACTGACCTCATACGGTTTTTGACTCATTCTCAAGGCAAAATATGTTTGTTTTGAAAATTTTAAAAAATACTTAAAACCTGTTTTTTTGGAGTGGTTTTCTTGAAATTAAAATATATTTAAATAAAAATTAGATTACTACATTGAAATTAAATGTTGAAATGGGCTTTAAAATAATATTTTGTCTTAGGAAAAGAAAGCTGGGCTTTGTGCACTGGTCACTATAATAGTTGAGTCATACTAAACAGCGTAGTCTTTATTTTACCAAAATTTTATTTTTTGGTACATATTGAGGAAATGAAAAGAGATAAAAATTAAGCTGGGATCATGTGTTGACTGTTATCATGTGTTGACTTACTCATTGAATGCGCACAAAGCAAACCATTTTTAAGTAAAAAATAAGGTATCACCTTACACTACGTGGGAATAATTATTTATTTTATGATACATAATTGCCTGAATAATTATCTTTTCAGACTCAGTTTAAAAGAACAGAAAAGGACGGAGCTGTATGCAAAGCAAGGGAGGGGAAGTCAGTTTACTTCCAAAGCTGAGCGTGACAAATGGATACAAAAAGAGTTGAAATCTCTGCAAAAGGCTATTAGGGATAAGAAAGAACAGGTGTGTTTATTTTACAGTACTATTAGGCTTTATTTAGTATGCATATTCTTTTATTATTTAAGTGCGCTCAATTATTCGAACAATTGATTGGTTTTGTTACTGTGTTTCTGCTTAAGATCGATCTCTAGTTAATAAGGGATCATGTTATGTTTCCTGGCTTGTAATCAGCGATGGTCAGTCTGCTAGAAACCACTTAAATTTCTCTTGGAGCTCCATAAAATAAATTATCAGTGTTTCACCTTAGTAACAATCAATGTAAAAGGGTGGTATGCTATTTTGGTTTTTAGACTTTTGGTTTCTTGTTTTGGTCTGTGTTTATTTCACAAAATAGCATATTTTATTATATTTGTGAATTCAACTTTTTTTCATATTATAGTTTAATATTTAAATTCACTTTATTGACTTTTAAAAAAAAAATCTAATAGATACGTAAATGGATCAGCAAAAATGTGTATGAGCTAGTAATATCTTTTAGTTATTGGTTCATTGGACCATTGGCTAACTTTTTTTAAATTTCACCCCCTGAATCTCTGGCATGTAGGTAAAGGAGCAAGGATGATTAGAACCCCACTTGTGTAGTAGACTCATTTACTTTTTGCTCACTGGAGTTGACACACCAAATGCTTTTTTTTTTCCCTTCATGGAAGTTTTACAAAAAGTGTACTACATGCCACAACCAACAGGATTCTGCCCCCTTGAGCCTGTGTTGAAAGGTCAACTTCTTTAAGTCCATACTTTTATGGATGTTTGAGCCAGATATTTTTAGTCATTTTGTTATAACTACAGAAGATACTAAGAAGTTGAATATGAAGAAAATTATAAGTCTCTGAGGGTTTTAAAATCAAAAAGAATGTTTGAAATTGACAAAATTTACTCACCAATAAGAATCAATTATCCATGTTAGCATAGTTTAAAAGACTTGTTTTTTTTATTTTTGAAAAAAACAACAACATTTATTTAAATTACCTGATTTTTTTAATTAAAATGTATTATTCCAGATTGACCGCTTGCAAGAAGACTTTGTAAAGGATACTGAAAAGCGAAAGATGCTGGAAATAAAAATTGAAGTAATTCTTGTTGACTGTCCTTAATTTTTGGCTAATTTAAAAATGTTTCTTGTTGCAACTTAATAATATTTCATCTACTAGGAACGTACAAAAGAGTTGGAAAACCACAGAGAAAGCATAGACACACAGAATAAAAATTTCTATGAGATGAAGAAAAAGAAAGACACACTTCAGAGTGAAAGGAAGTAAGTTTCTGCACCAAATATATTTATTGCTTATATATGTGGCTGGGTGGCGCAGTTGGTTTGTCGCTGGCCTTCTGAGCCCAAGTCTGCGGGTTCGATCCCCGGCCCAGACACCGGATTTTCGGGATGCAGAAAATCCTCAGCTGCCATGTCGTATGATTATGCGGCATGTAAAAGATCCCTGGAGTGCCTTATTGGCTCCTGGCATTTCCGGCAAAATTAAATTCCTAGTGCACTTTAGCATCCAAATAGAGTCTCAGTGCTGCCATCTAGTGTGGTAGAAACTAGACGTCCAAATTAACATGACCAACGGTATCTCACCCATTGTGGTGGTCCTGAAAGAGTGGATACCACCTCTGGAGAACGCACTAGGTCTGCTCATCGGCAAGACCGATTGTGCAGCTCATTGGAAATAAAAAATAAAAAAAAATATTTATTGCTCCTTTCTCTTAACAATTATCTAGGGCTGAGTTATTTTGACACTAGTTTTCTCTAGCTTTTAAGTTAGAGGGTGAAGTTTAATCCACCATTCTATTTTTCTTTGGAGATCCTCTCAGTGTTAGAAAGTATTTATAAGTGCTTATTAGCTTAATCGTTTAAGGTGGGGGGGACTGATTGCAGTTTTCCATACAATTACAGTTTAAAACTATCATAAAATTTTTACTTTTAACGTGTTTTCCTTGCTGGTTGTTGATTCGTACAAGTTAATTAAAAAAACATTAAGTTAATTGTGAAATGAATTTTCCCCAGTTTCATTAGGTAAAAGTTAATGTTTTGAAAAAAATCATTCTTTAACATTTAGTATCAAAATTTTCAAAAAAAATTTCTTCCTCTTGAGTTGGTAGAAACCTATTTCTTCTAGGGCAGATTTTTCCACAAATTTTACCATTTTGGAAAAAAACTTGTCATTCTTGTTAGAAGTTTTCTTCTGAAGATGAAATTCTTTTTATCAAAAAGTTTTTTTTTCTTCTCCTGGTTATCTGATTACTTTTATGCACCAGATCCAAAATAAATCTACTATGAGTGGAAATAAGTTTATATTCAGAAGGAGTCTGATGGAAATGCAACCCTTGTATGGGTATTAAGAAAGGACTATGAAAAAAAAAAACACATTTAAAGTGGTTTGGGATTTAAAATTATAGACTTGAATATAATTTTTTTCTTTGCATAATATTGTTTTTATATGCTTGACTAGACTGCAAAGGCACTCTATTAAAAATCGTGTCTTAAATTGAGAAATAAAATTTATGTAATATTTTATTTATGTCTTTACAAAGTCTTATAAGTAACTATTTTTAGTTTTGTAAGTAAAAGGGAAAACTTGTACAAAATAATACATTATAGCTAATAATATGCTAGTTTTATAACTGTTGTGATTTTGTAATAGTAATTCATGGCTGTTAGGTTGAGCTTTGTCTTTTCTTTTAGTTTTTCTTTCATTTTTCTTTTATGCTCAATATAAAAAGCATGCATTTTTTAAAATTATTTTTTGTATTCATTTAATATTAAGAAATATTAGTAATTTTATTTAGAAATATAGTAAAAATCTTTTGTTATAAGTCTTGAGTTTGGCAAGCAAATTATTAATGAAAGAAATGAAAGATTGGTTTAATTTTTAAAAGCTTAGAATAAATCTGTTATTACAGTAATAAATTGGATTTAATGAGAAATTTTTCCTAAATTTATTGGAAATTATTTTATTGCAGCTGTCAGAAAAACTTGTGATTGTAAAAATATCAATTCCTTCAAAAGGGCTTAAAAATGTATCTTTAGTTTAATTTGTTTATAAAAAAAAAATTATTTTAACTTAAGCAATAAAGAGAAACAATGTGAAGTTTTTTCCTATAATTTACCATGAAGCATGATGTTGTAAAGGTTACTTTGCAAATCATTGAATAAAATCTATAACTACTATTGTTCATGAGTCTGTATGCATGTTTCAGACCAAATGAAATGTTTCTTAATTTTAGGAATATTGATGAGGGTGAATTTCATTTAAGACCAAATGCATAGTTTTCCTTGAAATTGCAAGCTTTTCCAGTCATTATGAATGTTAATAATAATGTTGTACTTGTTTTGTGTCTAAAATTTGTAAATATTTAATCAAGCAATATTATTCAAATCAATGTAAATAAAAATTATATACACATCAATATAAACCACTGTAAAACTTTAATATTGCATTTCTATATATTATAAGTTTTATTTCATCCATCCCGGAGCTGTAGTAATTTGCCTCTGTCCCTATGTTATTCTTAGAAATTAGCTCAACTGTATTTGAAACATTACTTCATGACTGCATTGTTCTGGTTCATACAAATTTTCAAAATTACAGAACTATTCAGTGATCTTCATGTAAAAAAATATTTTCTCAAAATTGGCAATTATTATCATTTATTTATTTGTTAGTTTTTTTTTTAAAAAATTAACTAGTTTTGAAAATCCATGCTTTTATCCAAGTAAAAATTGAAAGCTTACTTAGTGGCTGAGATGCTTAAATTCTGGTATTGCTTAAAAAAACGTAACAAATATAAAATAAGCATCATGAATTGTTCTTCCTTTCAGTGAACTTTGGAGACAAGAGAATGCGATGCAACAAAATTTAGCCACTTTAAAAGAGGACCTTTCTAAAAAGGATCAAGGGTTGAGATCAATGACTGGAAAGGTGAGTTTCATCTAAAATATCAGATTTAATCAGGTAAAATATCAATTTGTGTAATTATCAGAGTTAGAATGTTGATGAATTGAAAACTTTTCAAAGATACCCTTGAAAGCAAAGCATTCTCACAGCAACTCATGAGGTTCAGGGTCATAAAGGTTAAGGCTCCACAATTTTATAATCAATGGTATGCAAGCCTTAAAAAATGGAGAAAAAACAAACCTCTAAAAACCCTTAAAGAAAACTACCTTAAAATAAAAAATATTTTCTTAATTTTGAAAAACTTGTTTTATACTGACTTTTTTTTAAGAAAAAAATTATAAATCATAACTTGCCTTATTAAATTTGTAAAAAATAAGGTAATAATTAAAAAATATAATTTACGAATCAAATCAAATGTAAATAAATACCCGATAAGTATAAATAGAAATTTAGTAATTAATTTCAAGAGCATCAGAAATCAGTGTATTATCTAATGCTTTTAGGTAATCTTCAAATTGAAAGATTGCCTTTTGTTCAAAAGTTAATTCTTATATCATGATAAACTCTGTTGATCAACACTTGCCATTGGTTGATTAAATGTAAAATTTCACTAATTTTAAAGAAAAAAAATGTTTTGCTAACTAAATGTTCTTAAAAGGAAAAATATTCCAAATATGCCCTATGAAAAAAGAAAAAATTCGAAAAAAGGAAAAGAAATTGCCTTTTACTATCAAAAATTTAATTATATTTTTACGCAGTTAAATTATCTAGCATGATATCAAAAATTCGAAATTACAGATTTTTATTTATTTTTTTTTGAAAATGTAATGGAACTTGTAAAATGTTTGAATGTGCTTTTGAAAAAAAAAAATTTTTTTTTCTGAAATTATGTAAAATTTCATGAACAAAAATATTGTTACAATTGTACTTACTAAAATGTCAGTACAATACTAATTAATTAATTTTTGTAAATTAATCAAGCTGAACACTTTACTTTTGAACAATATAATATATTTTCTCATACATTGAACATTGGAGGTAACTTTATATTTTTTCATCTCTCATGTTTACTCATGAAGAAACAAATAAATATTCTGATTTACTAAGAGACTAATTATTATTTTTAAGTATTCTTTGTATCCGTACATTCATCGAAACAAGTTTCATGAAGCATAATCACCAAATTTAAATTTAGGTTTTCAATATTTTCAATATTTTAGTTATTCAAAGCTAATAATAATAGTAGATTTCGCAAATATTCAACGAAGTTTAAAAAATATGTTGAATGAATCAAAAAATATCTCTAAATAGTAATTGGTCACTTAATAAAAAAAAGAGCTGGTATTCATATAATTATTTACAGATTTATATGGGAGATGGAAAATTAATCACCCATATAAAAGACTCTCAAGTAGAAGACTCCTGAAAACATTTAAGCTGATATGAACAGTGTATTAACTCTAATGGAATTATAAATCTCATTATTAACTCTAATAAATGGGAATTTATGTTATTTAGGCAACATTAAATGGAAGAGACAGTGTTAAAAAAGTTCTCCAAATATTTAGAGATAAAGGTGGAAGCTCTGAACAGATTGCCAATTCATATTATGGAATGTTAATTGAAAACTTTGATTGTGATAAAACCATCTACACTGCTGTTGAAGTGACATCTGGAAATAAGTAAGTAGTTCTTTTTTTTCTTCTTTTCAAAAATGTCAAAATTCTTGAGTTCAGGGTGGCTGCAGAACTCGAAAAATCAGGGAAATGTCTGGGAATTTCTTTAAAATGCTAAAAAAAGGTCACAGAAGATGAATTAATTTGAGGAGGTATCGTCTTTTTTTTCGAAATTATTGGTCTCATAGTAATTTTTTACTTGAAGAATATTGTTTATTTTCAACTTTAAATTACAATTTTTAAGTATTTGCAATATATTTTATGTATACAATTTAAGCATTTGAGTTTGAATAAAATTTATGCCGCTGGTTAAAAAAAATTGAAGAAATTTGATAATATTAGTCTAGAAAAGTTAGAATTTTTTTCTGAATGGTTGTTACCACCTTATAAATTATAACACAAAAATATTAAAAATTGATATTTTGATTAAATAAATATAAGTTTTCAATTCATGATAAAAAAAAACAACTTAGCATTAGATGTGTGATGTTTTTATTTGATGAGTTTTAATTGGATACCTTCAAGCAATCTTGGATATCAATCCTGATTGGTTGTGGAAGGGTTTTATTTATTGGTCCTAGCAACTGTTTTTTCCATTATAGTTCAAGTAAGCCTAGCTGATTAAATATGATTTAGCTATGCAATCTGGTAATCGATTATTGTGCCGTGTCATAGTTTTATTGCTAATAAAGTCTTTTAAATTAATGAAACATGCAATTAATATTTAGCAAAACAAAAGAAATGAGTTATGATCAAAGATCTTTTTAATACAAACCTTGAAAGCTGGGGCATTGCGTTTTATGAAATATTGTGTTGTATAGATCATTTTACTTATCTTAACACTTGTCAGCTAAATGAAGCAATACTTGTCTGGAACAGATTAATTTTAAAATGTTTTATATTAATTTTTAGATTCAAATACTGAAAAACACAAAACATACTCAGTATTTATAGTTTACAGAAAAAAAAAATTAAATTTGCGTGATTAGAACTAGCAACAAACATATTAATCAACTTCGGTTTGCTTAGCTTTTGAAGTAATAATTAAATGAAGTAGCAAATAATTAAACAAATAATGTTTATACTTCTTGCTTAGTTATAGAAATTTCATAACTGCAAATTTCATAGTTTACATCCACAAAGCTAGTGTGGCTTATGGAGAATTCTGGTTTATAGAATTGCATTATATAGATCTTCCACTGTATCAATTTTCTTTTATTAACGAAACGAAGCAGACAATAAAACAAGCCTAACAGCTGTAATGTTAACACTCTGTCTTGCTTATGAACAACCAGCTGGAGCTGAGGTTTAAGGCAGCTAGATTAAGTGTGTCAGCGGTCTTCTTCTTGAGTTGAGAATAGCCTATTGTCAATGTATATTTATGTGTCTGAATATATATATAAATATATATATTTCATGACATCAAAATTTGTGATATTTTCATATCTTAGCTTGCAATACTTCTGTCATAAGTGAATATGTTGGATCTATTAGTTACTTGCAAATTAAAATTAATTATTGTTAAAAATATGTAAAGATACTATACTGAAAATACACATACTTCTAATTTTAATAAAAAAACTTAACATGTACGAAGATCAATTTTTCCCCTCAACAATTGTTGTTAATTGTTTTTTTTTTTGTGATCTAACCCTTTGGTAAAGAGAGGACACTGTCCCATTTATATTTTTTTCTGACAGTGTAATTACAAGCAAAAATATACTTTAATATTTTTATAATTTTAAAAAACAGTCTAATAGTTACTAAAAAAATCTGTCTGATATGTTATTGATTGATATTTGTACTAAAATCTGATATCCCAGAAAAAAAAATAATTTGAATTTTTTTTTTCCATTCACATTTAAACACTAATTAATAATTGATTTTGTAAATCATAGAAATTTCAATGATGAATATAGCTCTTTCTCTCAGATCTAACTAACCTCAATTAAGTATGAATTCGAAAAATAATTGTTTGGAAGTGAGCTGCATTTGGAAGATTTTACCTTTAATGTAGAAACAAGACGTTGGTGTCTCATGCTGTATTTCATAACCTTAAATTCTTAAAATGGTAAATTTAATATTTTTCACTAATTTACACCTAAATTAATCTAAAATAATGAAAAATATGTTTAATAAAATTTCTGCATTAAAGGGTTAAAATAATTTTAAAGTTAAATAAGTAAGATAAAAAATATGATAACAGCAGTAAATTGTGTCATTTTGTGTTACAAAAAGGAAAAGCAATATCTTCTGCTTTAATTATTAAAAACTGTTAAGCATTTTATGCATAGTTTTATAACTATTATTTGGATCAATGAAATATATTTATCACATTTACATTTTTTATAATTTATTTAAATTTATATTGTATAAGTTTTTGTCAATTTTAGACGATTTTGTACAGTTTAAAACTTTTCCAATTTTTGATAGTAAATTCCATACACCTTGTTCAAAGCCAGTTACAGACATCCAAAAGTCCTGTTTTTGATATTTGAGAGATAATACAGTGTGATGCTAGATTATTCATACCCTTGCCAATTTTTTTAAAATTTAATATCTTATGACATTTTTAAATACTTTTTCTTAAAAGAAAAAGGGATGATTATTTTTAACAAAAAGGCAATTTTAAAATAAAACTAATAAAATGTAAATTGGATATTGAAATTCTCTGACACAAAATTCTACATGCCTTTCATGAAAACAATTTTAATTTAAAGTCTGCAGCTATGCTGTGAGAAATATTTGTATCGCATACTTCTGTAAGTACCTTGAATGAATATTCTAATTTCAAAATCTAAAACTTCATAAAAATAGTTGCATGTCTGCTGTGATGCCACAATTGGCAGTACATGCTTATTTCCTACCTTTTAAAATATCTTTAATTACTTAAGCTTATTTTATTAATCGAATTATATTTGAAATAAATCAAAGAGTTAATCTTTTTAAGTGAACATTAAATATTTATTCTTTTTTTTATCGATCAATGTAACGGATACTTTTCATTTCAATACTAATGCAGACTCATTAATTCACTGTCGCGCCTAATCGAAAACAAAAATCTATTTATAACTTTTCGATTCCAAATTTCTAACTGAAAATATGTTTCAGTTGCATGGCTGTAATAATTTCCCGTAAATTTGTTGGTGACTCGTGATTGCCAAGGTATTTTTGAACCCTATATTTATTATGCTGGGTTGACTTTGTTTTGGTTATGTTTAGGGCTGCAAGTTTGTCGCGGGAAAAAAAACCCCAAATTCGCCGAAAAATCGCGGGAAATTTTGAAAATTACACAAATTCTAAACATAAAAAAATTTATTATATAAATGATGCAAAAGACAGAAATTGCGCAAATAATAAAGAAAGCTTAAAAATACACAACAAAAGTGTTTCTTTGAATTTCAAGCAATATTAATATTTTTATTTAAATGAACAAAACTTTGGTTTGGTCATATTATTGTCATTTATCCTTCGTCTTTCATCACTTAATACATTTTTATACTTAGAAAATGATCTTTCAGCGTCAATGCTGTTTTTAGACTCCGACAAACTTCGAATTCCCACTTTTGCCAATTTTGGAACATTCCAGTCTTTGATTTCCAAAACTCGATCAATTTTCCTTTACCAACGCGCAATTCCTTGACCGTTACTTTGTAAGAAGTAATTGCCGTGAAAACTCAAACATTCTACATTCAAACTACTTGTCACAAGTTCCTACTAACTACTAGTCCCCCCCTTCATCTAAGAAACTGATCCATATTTAAGAAATCACAAGAAGCCGCCTAGAAAAAATTAATTGGATATGTAGAAAGGCAGTAGAAATTTCATTGCCCAGTGCAATAGTATGCACAACAATTTTTCTGTCAAAGATTTGATTTATAACGTTTTCCTTCTTTTGTGATTCCAATTTCTTTTGTACTCTTACTGACTTCAGGAAGGTAATTACCCTCCCTAAGTGCAGAAAGACCACCTTAGTTGACAAGATTGTGATTATCTCTGAACTATTTTCACATCATTTTGCTATTGATTCACTCCCCTAAATATCTAATCAATTTTACAGGTTCAATTTAAGGTTCAGGAAAATAAAAAATTCTGTTTAATAAAAATAATAAATAAAAAATGAAAAAAAAAATTTAAGCAATTTTCGCGCAAGTTAACACATATTGAGAAATTCGCGGATTTTAGGAAAAAAGATGACAATTTCGCGGAAATAATCGCGGAAATTCGCACCGCGACAAACCTTCAGCCCTAGTTATGTTATATCTTGATAAATCGCCAATTTTGGATCTCCTATCCAAGCTTCTCCTGGGTCCGTTGGGAACAAATACACGTACTTTTAATTTGACTTTTGATTAGGCAGGTCATGGAGGATTTGTCTCTCAATCAAAAAGTAAGATATTTTTTCATTGTAATTGTAAGAAGAACTAATTTTGCTAAGAATGAACTATTTTTCTTTGCAGGTTATTTTACCATATTGTGGAAAATGACAAAATTGGTACTAAAATACTGCAAGAAATGAATCGTCAGCAGTTCCCTGGTGAAGTTACATTCATGCCTTTAAACAGGTTGATGTATAAAGATATGCAATATCCAAATACAAATGTGAGTTGAATTTAACTTTTTTTTTGAAACTAACTCTTTATCATTACTCTAATAAGCCTAAAATCTCATCTCCCCCAAGTTTTTTTTTTTCTTCTTTTTTTTTGTTGAAACATTCTTTTTTTTAGAAAAAGAAAGAACGAAGGAAAACTTAGCAATATCTAACTTGCATGATTATTTGCAACAGTAATTAAAGATTTTAAAGGTGAAAGGGGTTTTAAAGAAAATTATTTTTCAAAAATTGGTGAATACTTTAGATATTTGGCTCATTTACTGGCTAATCATATAACATCCTTAATGTGGGCCCAGGTTACATATGTTTTCATTAATATGCATTCAAAAAAGAAACTTGTATGTATAAAAATTTCATTCAGGCTTCTAAAAATTTTAAAATTTTTTGATCTCCTGACTATCAATAATTGTGTCCAACAACAACTTTCATTCAATGCTCTACTAGTAACAGTCTCTGTGCATTACTGATACACTCTTGAAAAAAAGCCAAACACATCACGGCAATGTCTGTGACAGAAAAATCTGTTCTTATCTAAACTACAAAAATTATTGTTGTAATTTTTTATTACAATCAATGTCCTTCCTCTTTATTAATTCATATCTAATAATTGACAAATTATACACTTGTTGTTTATAAGTTATTACTGCCAAAATTTTCCGTGTATTCCTGTCTTTTCACTTTGGATGTTTTATTTATGCAGTCTGTTAATGATGTCATATTCTGCATTTAGGATGCTATTCCCATGATAAGCAAATTAACTTATGAGCCAAAGCATGAAAGAGCAATGAAATACATCTTTGGAAAAACTTTGATTTGCAGAAGCTTAGAAGTAGCTACTCAGATGGCAAGGACTTCCAATCTGGACTGTATTACACTAGAAGGTGATTTTTTTTAATTATAATACTTCAAGGATTTTCTCACTCCATTCACCCATGGTTGCCTCACATTCAGCTTTAATTTTTCTTCTTAAAAGTATTTTTTTATAAAAAGTCATTTTGTTTATGAAATTTATAACTATCATAGTTTTATGTAAGAACATTGTTATAGTATGTTAAGTGTAACGATATAAAAAATTACTTAGTTTTGAAAAGTAATCACCTGCACTTGGAAAGACAATTAAACTTCTGATAATAATAATAATAATAAGCAATAAATCAGAAGTATGGTGGTCATTAACTATATGCTATCTTTCAAAAGTTAATTTCCTGCTTCCATCCCCTAATCTTGATGAAACTAAAAAAAAAAAACTGACTGTGCAAAACATTACTTAAATTGGGCTCTAATAACACAACCCTCAATAGCTTTAAAATTTGAACATGTTTTAAAAAATTATAAAGTTATGTTTTTTTAATAACACGCTTTTTACAAGGAAACCACAATGAATAATTTACATAGAACAGGGCTGATTGTGCTCCGGAAAAAATCCGGATTTCCGGAATTTTTGCTAACAGTGATCTGGAAGTTTCCGGAAATTGAAGGTCCAGACGTTTCAAAAATTCATTGATCACAGAAGTTTCCGGAAATCAAATTTTCAAAGGTGGAACTTAAAAACACAGTTTATTTTATTTGTTTGTATGGGAGAGCCAGAGAGATACTTTATAAACTTATATTCATGATTAATATTAATTTTTTATCAGTAAATAGTTGTTATAATCATAAACTCAAGAAAGAAAGGCATACTTGTAAATTTTAATTACTTCTCCAGGTCATCATAGGTATGTATAAATGGTATAGGTATGTGTAAAATTTTAAAAATATATTTTAAGTAAACTAAGAAATATTGAGAAAAAAAAAGAAAAAAACCTTGTTTAAATATGTTTTTCTAATTTTTCAACTTAAAATGTTTTTTTTTTTTTTTTTTTTTTTTTTTTTTTTTTTATTAAACTCAAGAAATTTTCTGGAATTTTGACTTGGGTTCACTATCACCCTTGATAGAATCAAAACTTATAAAAAAAAAATTAACATTATTTTCTCTTAAAAGTGAGTTTACTATCAATTGAATCTTTGACTGTCTTCAGCAACAATATGTTAATTACAATGTTTATCTTTTGAGTGAATATCATTTTATTCTTTTATTAGTTTTTTTTTTCAGAATTATTCACAACTGCTACTCATGGTTAACTTCATTCAACTTTTTTAATCATGCAAGGTAATTTTTGCTGGTGAAAAATTTCTAATTAGTTTTTGTCAGTGAAATTTGTAAAAGATAATAACCCATTGTTTGTAAATGAAGAAAAATAATTTTGGAGATAAATGTCTTGTTTAATGATTTATTCTTCACTTTTGTCTGATTCCAGTGTAATTTAAACCACATTTGAATTAATTTTAGTGGAAACATTGTCACATTATTGATAAGGCTTAAATCACAGTTTAAAGAGCCAATTGTTAATTATATGGTGAGATAAATTTTTTAATCAATTAAAGCATGAATAGAAAATCCTGATCAAGTACTTCAATTTATTTCGTTGGTAGACACCAAGCTTGAATGTAAACTCCAGAAAGAAAAATTATCTTCATTTTTAAAGAATTTTTCTATTCTAAGATCGTATTTAACTTTGACAGCTCTCCATAATCATCTCAGGGAAATCAAGAATGGTAAAGCGTATATCTTTGGTGTTTGTTTCTGTGCTTTTTATTACATGAAACTTTTTTTTATTTCTGCCCAGATTTCCGAGTTTAAATAGCTTACGAATTGCACCAAATTGCTCGAAAGTGAAATTTCTGCTTCAAAATGGTATTTTTCACCAAAAAATTCAACTTGGCCGAATTGTAACATGTCATATATAATTAAAAAAAAAAATATAGCTGAACAGTATAAAAAAGTCTTTATTTTTTTCTGTATAATTTTTAAATGTAGTCATTCTTGTTGTAGGGGATCAAGTATCTCATAAAGGAGCTTTAACTGGTGGTTATTTTGATACAAGAAGATCGAGATTAGATTTGCATAAAGGACATATGCAAGTTGTGACCGAAATTAATGAGCAAGAAAGGCAGTTGGCTCAGCATCGAACTACGTTGACAAATATCCTTTTCTTTCTTTATCTTTTATAGTTTAGTCTTTTATTTTGGCTTGTTCATTAATATGGGATGTAAGGAAATTATTACGAAAATATAATATTTGTAATTTTTTTCTTATTCTCTGAAAATGCATTGAGTATTTTTTCCATTGTTCATTTAAATATAATTCATAAATATCTTTTTGTTTGTTTTAATTATTATTAGAATTAATATTTATATTTTTCCCAGTATTTTACTGTTTGTTACTTGAAACAACGAAACAATATTGCTCATTGTTTCTTGTTATCTGAACAGGATAAACATGTTCCTTACCTTCTTGATAAATGTGTTTTTCATATTCTTTTCATTTTTTTATGTTTATTAAATTTACTGTAATAAATTATGTATACTTAAGTTAGACTGTTATCCATTAAAAATTGCTTTTTTTTTCCTTTTGAAAATGATTTTATATTTTACTAATAAATAAAGATACTGTAGTATATAAACTTAAGATTGATTTTTATGGATTTAGAATTGCCTTGACTCTTTTTTTACATATTGAAAGTGAAATTAATAAAATTGTCAGTGACATGCAGAAAGCAGAAACCAAAAATAGTAAAAACAAGTAAGTAAATCAAGTATTTTTGTAATTTCATCTTTATTTTTAATCATTGTTATTTATAAATTTTTTATAGTCACAGTTTTGTTTTGTAAAACTTTATCTATTACTGATTATTTAATTTATTTTTTATTTTAAAGCAGAAACTTCATTCTAGTTCTGAAAACAAATTTTTTTTTGTTTTAAATTAGTTATACTGCAGCACTCTTGTGCGCTAAAGAATAGTTTTGGTTGTAATATGGTAAACTCTCTTTGTGATAGACTCTGACTTAAGACAAATTCTCTTTAAAATTTTGTTTACACGAAAATTTCAACTTGATTAACGTTTTTCTAATTTGATAGAATCTGCCTAACACAAATGTTTTTTGACAATAGCAGAAATCTTACAAAACAAAAAGTTTAATGTTTTTTTTTTCTTTCTGAAATTTTGTTTTGATTCTCATTTGTTTTAAAATATTATGATTAAATAAAGTTAGTTAATAAAATCGGGATTTCTTAGAAAAGAATGAGATATTGTTTTTTAAATTCTGAAAACAAAAATTTTTAAATTAATAATATTTTTTTTACATTTACTTTAAATTTTTTAAGGTTATTTTTGAATTAATTTCTGATTCGATTTTGGTGATTAGAGAAACATTTGCTCTTGGGTAGCAGGTTGTGTACCCTTTTCAAGAAGTTATATCGTTTATGAGTTGATTAATTATGTTTTTCTATTTAAGGGATGTGTTTGACAAACTAAAGACAGACATCCGTTTGATGAAGGAAGAAGTAGCTGCTTTAGATAGATCACACCAGCCTAAGGTAATGTTGTCTGTTAAAATGTTTGTTTATCCGTTGTATGATTAAGAAAGATTTAATGAGAATCAGAAAAGGAACTGTCAATTGAGTGGTCTTGTTTTAATTTAAAATATCTGTGTTATTGATATTTTAAAAGTTTTAATTTTTAATGTTTTTAGTAGATATTTTCTAGTTTAAATGAAGAAAAAATACAGTTGTTTTCCATGAGGATAACTATGCATGTATATTTTTAAAATTCTTGTAAAAAATAAAGTGAAACAAAAAGTTTGCACATTAGGAATCATATGTAAATTTTTAAGGGAGAAAGATGCAAAAACCTTTTTGAATTGTTACAAATCACAACTGCTGAAGGCAGGCCTAAAAAACCTTAAACCCTGTTCTTCAATAGACTGAAGAAAAAGAAAGAAGTTGAAAAGTATTTTTAGAAACCCCTGCAAGATTCATCAAGCAATCAAAATGATTTTGATTGCTTTGATTCAATTGTTTGCATGTCGTTCATCCACCTTTTTCACTAATAATTTAACAGATCTCAATTGTGTTCTTTTATTACAGAAAATTTAAACAATCTGGCAAAAGCTAAATGATTTAGGCAATTTGTTTGGGCATTAAAGGCCTTTTTAATGGAAAAAATTAATTTTTACTGGTGAATTGTATTAAATGTTTCTAGTACTAATATCCATTTAAATCATTAGATTTAAATTACTTAATTTGTTTAAGAATAAAAATGGTTGATTAAATCTGATTTCATTGATTTTTTCAAGAGACCAAATGTGGAAAAAAGTAGCTTGAAACTTAAAAATTCCTATTATTTATGTGTTAAATAATTTGTTGTTTAATGTACATATTATTTTAATTATATCCATTTAGCTTTATAGTAAATTCAAATACTTTTTCAAAACTTATTAAGTTTGTAGTTAATATATAAATAATGAAGAAAGACTGTTCTGCCAAAAGTAATTTTGAAAAGTTGATTTTTTATATGTGTACCAATTTAAACTAATTCATTCTTTATTTGAAATTTTACTGACAAATTCATTCATGAGGGTGTTGAACTTGTGTAAAAGTAGCTGTGATTTTCTTTTATTTAGTCCCTTCTTAGTTATAATTATATAATTTTAGCCACTTTAATTTGAAAAAGTATTTGTTTCAGATTTTTAAGCATTATTAATAAATTTCATCAATATTGTAATTGGCGATATTAAAAAAAAAAAGAAAAAAGGAGGAGTTGAAGTATTTTTAGAAGCACCTGCAAGTTTCATCAAGCAATCAAAATCGTTTTGAATGTTTTTCACTAATAATTCAGCAGATTTTAATTGTGCTTTTGTTTCTTTCTTTAAATATTAGTTTGCTACCACCCAACAACATACTTTCTTTTGAAAAATGTGCTATATTAATGACAGACATTATGGAATTTTGTGTATTTATAAACTTAAATAAATTTGAAAAGTTATCAATAAATAATTAGGTGAAAAATTATGTTGTGTATAATAGAGAATAAATTTTAGAATTTTTTTATGCAGAATAATTTGGATTTGAAGTTGGTTTGCTATAGTACTACATACTCTACTTCATTCCTAATTATTACCAATTGTATGTTACTGAATCAAAAGCCCATTAAGACACATTGAATTTGTGAAATATATTATAGAGAGTATTGTAATTTAATAGTTAACTATCAGAATTTTGTGTTAATATATAAATAAACCTCATAATTGCTATATAACCTATTGCTCTTAAACTTACTAATAGTCACCCACAAATTGGGTGCCTGAAAAATAACCAACAATTTGAAAAGCAAATTTAAGAAAACTTGAAATGGGTAAAAGTGTTTTGGTTGGTAAACCAATTTTCTTGCATGCAAAAATTTCAAAATTAGTTACTAAATATATCAGCTGGTAACTGTAAAAAAATTATTAATAATTTTGCCATTTTCGTTGTGCATGTGTTTTGGCATTGCTGTTTGTAAATGCATGATTGCCTGTAAAATGTATTTGCAAAAAAAAAAAAAAAAAAANAAAAAAAAAAAAAAAAAAAAACCAGCAAAATGAATGAAGTGTTTGTTTCATGGGGAAAATCGTAAACTATTGGTAAATTTCTGTTTGTTTTGTTTCCTTTTTCCTGACACGTTGCGAATTTAAAACACTAGATTATTGATTAGAATTTAATTAATTTAAGTTATTTAAATCATAAAATAGGCAGAAAAATTAAAACATGTTTAGTTCAAGGGTTATAACTAGCAGAAAAAGTAGCATGTTTTTTTTTCTTCAATTTTTTGTAAATTTAAGGTGCAATGTGTGAAAATTTTAGGTAGGAATTTTATATACATCGCACTAGAGCTGCACAATGGGCTATTGGCGACGGTCTGCGAAACATCCCTGAATATAACCCGCAGACATGCCATCGCAATTTTGATTCGCTGCTGAGAGGTTGACCCCCCTGCTTTGGTGGCAGACAACCTGCGATTGAAGTCGAGCACTTTATGGTAGAACAGTTTAACGAGAGCCGACGCCGCACATCCTCATTCCCTATGCAGGCTGATCTAAGTGGTCACCCACCCCGTCACTAGCTGCAGCCAGTGATGCTTGACTTCGTTGTTCTACTGGGAATCATGTCTTTATGATCAGTCCACTGTGAGACCTGAAAATTTTAACTAATTTTAATTTTTCATTATCATTTTCTGCTTTTGTTAATGGGCTACTTATCTGCAATAAAGATTTATTTTAAATATAAATTTTTTTTATTAATCCAATTGTACTGACAGCCCTAGTTTAGGAGGAGTACTAACTAATTTTTTGTTTACAGTTAGCTGAACATGTAATCATCAATTTCAGGCACTTGTTACGCATTTTACATGATCGAATTTTTCTTTCTTTCTATTCTTTTGTAGGAAAGGAGCTTGGCAAGTCTTGATTCAAGCCTGAAGTCAATGCAATCTACTGAGCAATCATTACGTAGTGAACTTCAACAAGATTTGTTGAATCAGCTGTCAGTTACCGATCAGCAAGAAGTGGATCAACTCAACGACGATATCCGGAAATTGACTCAGGAGAACAAAGAAGCTTTCAGTGAAAGAATGCGTGTGAGTTATCATATCCATAATCTCTGTATGAATGTATATGAATAAAATAAAATGTCTTCTTAATTATTTTTGTATTTTCAAAGTAAATATTGCATCTTTATAACTTTTATTAATTTTATGCTGAAAGCAGCCAAAGGAATTTAGAGTTTCATAAAATTGCTAGTTCATACCATGTGATTTTTCTGGCTAATTTAGAATGTGCCAACAACGATGGGATTTTTTTCCTATTGCGTTTTTATGTAATAAAAAAATTATGAATTTAATTATTAATTTATTTATCTTATTATATCCCCCAAAAAACAATTACATTTGTGTACCATGTCCCTTTGTATCAATATTTTAAAAATCTATGTAATTCTTTGCATATCAATGCAATGTTTGTTTTTTAAAGCTTGAAGCGGAAAAAAACAAGTTGGAGAACTTATTAAATAACAACTTATATAGAAGAAAGGAAGAACTCGAAGCTGTGAGTATTGTTTGCTGTCCTTTAAGAGTGTGTGTATCTATTATGTGAATATATACTTATTTTTCTATAAAAATAGGCACTTCAAGAAATTTCTGTAGAAGATAGGAGGAGAAAGTTGGAAAACAGCAACGCTGAGCTTGCAGCAATCAGTACCAGGATAAATGATGTGAATAAAAATCTTAAAGGTGAGCATTACAAAATGTTGCATCATCCTCCTTGTTGATCATTTTCCTTTTTTATAAAAGTTTTCAGAATTAAAAACTTTTATTACTGAAAATTTAAAAATGCTATACAATCTGGTGAAATCTGGCTAATATTTGGCCATTGAAAGCCTTTTTAATAGAAAAAAATTATTTTTACAAGTGAATTTTATTTAATGTTTCCAGTACTGATATCCATCTAAAAAATTTGATTCGAATCGCGATTTAAATGACTTAAATTGTTTAAGGAAAAATCATTGAGTTAAATCCTTTTTTATTTTGGACAAAAAATTAATTGATTTAAGTAAGAAAGATTTCTTTTTAAAGTCTGATTTTCTTCAAGAGACCAAATGTAGGAAAGTGGCGTGAAACTTAAAAATTGTCAATAATTTATGTGTCAAATAATTTGTTGTTTAATGCACATTTTATTTTAATTAAATTCGTTTAGCTTTATAATTAATACAAATACTTTTCAAAACTTATTTAGATTGTATAATATATAAATAATGCTTGTTTCGCCTATTGATTCCTGAAGATACATGTTTAGCTTTTTTTTGACATTTTATACAGTTACAACTTTTATTTCTACTTAAGATGACATAAATATTTTTTATCAGTTTGCATAGCTGCCAGCTTATCTACATTTTGCAGAAGCTTTCTTCATTTTCCTTCCATTTTCTGCCCTTTTGCAGTTCAACACAAATCTTCTGCATTTTGAAAATGTCCATTAAACTTTTGTACAGTGAAACCTCTCATTAGCGACCAGTCTCTGTTCCACAGTAAAATGGTTATTGATGGAGGTTGCTCATTTTTAGAGGTTACCTCCATTGACTTCAAAATGTTATCAAAGGTTTATAATTTTTCGCTAACAATTTCAATTTTTATTGGTGTCATATTCATGGTATGGAAATACTACTTGTAAATGATCCCTACTAATATAATTATGTTTAAAAACAAATTTACCAATAATGAATAATAAAACTATTTTAAATGAATAAACAATTGTAATTTTAAAGTTCGCATTTAATTTTGTATCATAAAAATAAGTTTGCTTTAAAAGATGATAAGAGCTTTGTTTGTTGAGATGCTTAGTTTTTTCAACTCTAGCTCTTAGCTTTCAACTCTAAAATTAATCCATTAAATAATCAACTATAAGAATAATCTAAAATCATTCAATAAAAATAACTGATAAATCAGAATTTATTGATTGCTTCAAAAGATGGGAAGAGGTTTGTTTGTTGTGATGCTTAGTTTTTTCTAAAATAATTTTTTTTAAATTTAGCTTTCAACTCGAAAAATAATCCATTAAATAATCAACTCTAAAAATTATCTTAAATAATTCAATAAAAATAACTGATAAATCAAAATTTATTGATTGCTTTAAAAGATGTGAAGAGGTTTGTTTGTTGTGATGCTTAGTTTTTTCAACTCTAGCTCTTAGCTTTCAACTCTAAAAATAATCCATTAAATAATCAATTATAAAAATAATCTAAAATAATTCAATAAAAATAACTGATAAATCAGAATTTATTGATTGCTATAAAAGATGTGAAGAGCTTTGTTTGTTGTGATGCTTAGTTTTTTCTAAAATACATTTTTTTCTAATTTAGCTTTTAACTTGAAAAATAATCCATTAAATAATCAACTCTAAAAATTATCTAAAATAATTCAATAAAAATAACTGATAAATCAAAAATAAATCATTCAACTTGAAAAATAAATAAATCATTGTCTGCATCATGAGGTTGCAGATCTCTTTCAGAGATTGTCGGAAGGAGCTCTCTTAATAAGAGCTACACACAAATATTTAAAATACATTTTAATCTACTTATTTGTTTTGTTAATATTTTTTGTTTTGATATTTTTTCGAGTTTCTTCCTTTGACCTTTCCTGATCTTTGACCCGATGTTAAGCATCTCATAGTACAAAAAATTGAGTCCTTTTTCCCCCCTTCTGTAGCAGATTTAGGAGAGCTGAGTTCATTAAATCACTTTTCACTCGTGGAATATTATATTCCAATAATTTACTGTTGATTATTTGAATAAGAAGTAAAAATAAAGAATGTGTAAAATCATCTGTATTTAAAAAATAAATGATTTTTTTCCTTTTTTTGTGAAATTTCTTTATTTTAAAAAATCTAGTATGGCAGGTATGCAGTTTATCTGTGTATTTTTTATTAAATTCGTCTTTCTGAGTGAAAAATAAGTTAATTAAATGTGAATCAATTTTCAATTCCCTTAATTTTCCCCCTCTTTTTTGTTTAGGACTTGAGCAGAAGTTTGAGAAATTTCATTCAGAACAAAAGAGCTTACAAAAAGAATTAGAACATTGGAAGGCCCAAGAGAGAGATTTTCAAGATAAAATCAATGAAGATTCCAAAGATTTAGAAAAAATGACAAGCAAGCAGTCACTCCTCTTGAAAAAGGTAATTTCTTTATTTGCTGTCCAAAATCATTTCTTTGATAAATTTTAACATATTTAACAGTTAATAAAAGGATTATTTGTTCCCCTAAATTTGAAAAATTTTCTTTTTTTGTATGAGCTCTATTAAGTTTAATTATGAAATAAAAGTTTAATATGGGTTGGAAAAGTCATTCACTTAAGATGTGATAAACCTCTCAACAATCAAGAACATTTTTGAATTATAATAGAAGAATTGAAATTTATTTTTCTGAAACAAGCCATGTTGGGCAGTTTATTTTGATGTAAGTAGTATGGTCTTCAAATTTGAATTTCAATGACTGTTTTGGGGTAACAAACCACATTTACAAGAGAATGTGTAAATTCTGCAAATTATTTAAGCAATCCATAAGCAGTTTCAAATTGTTTTATCAAAGAAAAAAATTATTTTAAAATTAAAACTTATCTTAGAATTTCAACAATTCTTTTGTGAACTTCAAGGAAAATGCAAATGCTGTGTTTAGAAAATTATATATATCTACAGAGGCCTAATTCTTAAATCTAAATAATTGTAAAAATAATAATTGTAAAAAAATTGTCTTCAATGTGCCAATCGTATTAGGAGCACATCTGTTGATACAGCTAACTAGTTATTACTTAACTGGTTAACAGTTAATTAGCTATTCATTTTCCAGATCATTGTTTTTCTGTGACACTGCAAAACTTTGCAATATACTTGTCTTTAGGACCCAGGGTTTCCAAAATCCTGGGTCTTTTTTCTTCTTTCTCTTTCTTTAATAAAAGTGGGTCGCTAATAAAAACTATATAAATCTTTGTTTCAAAGATCTGTGGGAAAAATTAATGTTTTTTGTTAGAATATTATGTATACGAAGTGTGGTCATTAAATAATGGTACTATTGCTGTGAAACATATTTTGAATTCAAATACTTTTAGTTATAATCATCTAAATTATGCTCTATGCAAATTTTCCCCAGTTTGAAGCAGTGCTGGAATCTGCTTTTGAGAGTGCTTTTGTTGCACGTTGCTTTTATGTTTTTTTTTCACCTTCAATGAGCTGAAAACTTGTTCTTTTTGATACATGCTTGACCATGGAAAATCAATAAAACTCGTATGGTCAGGAGGATGGTTTACTTAACTCAAAATATCTTGACAGACAACGCAGAATGAGCTGTTTTTTACATAATTTGATTTGTTTTTCTTCTTGATCTTTTAGGGAGTTTAGAAAGATCTTCAAGGTAGTAACGTCGATTAATAGTTTTATTTACTGTGCAATCAGAATAAATCTTTATAAGTCTGAATAAATCTTTTTCAATATTTTTCTCCTGTTTTTTGCGTGAAAGGGCAGCTCATGTTCAATGTCTTCTCAGCATTCTTTGAAACCTTTAAAAGACTGCGAAACTCACGCAAGTGGTAAACATAAATCGTCATACACTTTTTGTTATAGTTCAGTACCATTTGTCCCATGTTATGTAAAATTGTTGGTTCATTCTTGCTCAATTATTACACTAATTATTTTATTTGAAAGCAAATCAATAGCTCTTTATAAAAACAAAGGTCACGGTCAGATTATAAATGTAGACCATACGTAAGAATAGCACTTTTGAAAGAGAAGGCTTTATAGGCATCAATCTCGTTATTTAACAGCCACACCTCATGTATATAATTAGAAATTGAATCAGTAATAGTTTTTTCTTCTTCCTTAGTTTGGTTTAACTTTGCTTACAAGAGCAAGTTTAATTTGTGATTATTGCCTCCTTCCTTTTATTTATTTTTTTGAAAAGGATAATTAATTTGCTCTAGCTATAAATAATAAAAGAGTTAAGAGAAACAGTATTGAAATTTATACATGTGCTTCTTACTATTTTGTAGTTTTATGTAAATTTTGTTTATATGTCATGATATAGCAAAAATTCTTTTGATTAATATTTTAATTGTTGTGTTTATATCTATTTTATGTATATAGAAAGAGGAATTCACTCGGAAAGTGAGAGAACTTGGTTCATTACCATCTGATGCATTTGAAAAATATCAAAATTTGAGTACTAAGCAAGTAAGTAAAAATTCAGATATTTTATGTTTTAAGCTTTGATGAGTGAAAGTATGATAAAAGAATCAAAGTAGGAAAAATTTATGAACTTTTGACATCACACTGGTACACTTTCAACCATACATTGCGATGAAAAATGTTATACCCTGATTAGCTTTTAATATGATGACCCAATTTTCTTGTACTAGGATTCAATCCTTATGCTAGAGAGCCAACGTTATTTATGCTGATTAATGAGGCAGACGATATTTTAAATTACAAAATCAGACACAAGAACAAACGTTTTCTGAATGAAGATACTTTTTTCGATTGATTGGGATTATGATCCTAGTCGCAACCTGTAAAATAGAGTTCCAATAGTTGTCATAAAAAAGTTGTAATTTTAAGTTTTATTTCTTAAGAACTGTTTGACCAATCTCAGTAAAATTTTGTTTTTTCCTATATAAAATGTCTTACTATTCAAATTTCTTTCAACTAATATTAAATAAAGTAATAAAAATATAATATATAATTGTTAAAAATATTTTTTGTGTGCATAGAATTAGGTTTAAAAAAACAAATTCTATAATTGTGTGCAAATATTTTGTTTTAAAAGTTCTGGAGTTTTATCAAAATATGTAAAACGTAATTGTATTAACATTAAACTGACTGATCACCTGCCTAAACTATTAAAACCCCATTTCCCAAATTGCAGATACTTCCTTATTTTTAGGGTCAGGAATCAAATTTTGAAAGAAAAAAAAGGTATATTCATTCAGTGCAAGAACGTTTTTGTGTATGATTTTGTTACTTAAAATATTGCCTTCACTTATTATTTAGTATATTTAAGGTTAATGCTCTCAAACCATTAAGATTACATCCCAGTACCGGAAAATCCAATCAGTTATTCAAGAGGTTAAATTTTTTGTGTGCACTGTTCAAACATTATAAAAAAATAAATTATAATATCATAGAAAAAAAGGAGGGAATAAGTGGGATAACCATTTTTATATTTTTAGGAGACTTAAAAAATACAATAGGCCCAATGTTTATATAATATTTTAATCATAAAATTAATCAAGTATTTAGATTCCTTATGAAAGTAAATATAATAAGTAAAATAGATTTAAATAACTGTAAACATTTTTCTACAAGTTAATTGGGCCAACTTATTATATATATATATATATATTGATTAAAAACTATCTGAATTTTAAAATTTTAACTCCACTGAGCAGAGAGAATGTTCACTTTTACAAATGTAATTCAAATTCTATTAATAACTGTTAGTTTTTGTTAATGCTGTTTTTTTTATAATATTTATTTATTTATTTTTGCATGTATAATTAGTTACTTTTACTCAGTTTTTTTTAATTTTTTAATATTATTTACTTATGATAAACATAACTACGAATAATTTATTATTGTTGATGTAATTAAGGAATAAAGTATGAGAATGATTAGGTGGGGAAAAAAAGCCAATGAATTTGTAATATGCAAGTCAACAAATAGAGAAATTGAAAATCAGTATATAATTTCTAGTTGTGATAGTTGCTGTCTCCAATTTTTTGCTCTTATTATGTATTTAATATTCTTTTTAAATACTCCTTTCTTTTTGCCTTGTAATGCTTATTTAAAAAACGTGCTTTTAAATATCACTGAATACTCTTAAAAGACCGTTTGAAGACATTTCTTTTAAGTCTTTGTAAAATTCATGTGAATTTTTAAAAAAAATTCATTTAACTAAGCTGATTTTATATCAAACAAACCAGTCTNTCTCAAATGGTGGTTCCCTATATATTTACACAATACAGTGGGACTTCTGTTACAAATCACAAGCGCTGTATATTTTTTTTGTTCTGAACTTAATCTGGTCACGGAAAAAGTTTTATTTACCTTTTTGTTTCAAAAAAATAATATTTCAATAAGTCAGTACAATATTAATCAAATCTAATTAATCTGAAATTGTTTTCATATGGAAAAAAATTTAAACAAAGATTGCATTTAATTTTTTGCTTTTAGAATTCGGTTATAGTCAATTCTATTATTTTGATTTCGATTGCTCATCTTTAATATTATTTTTTTCACCTGATTTGTTTCTGAACCTGATATAACAAATATAATGAAACATTAAATCCTACTGTTTTAAACTGACTTCAAATTCAGTTATCTTGTTTTATAAATTTAATATTTTTGTCCATTCTTAGCTATTTTTAAATTCTATCTTATTACAGGTTCTGAGTAATCTTTATTTATGCTCTAATAAGCATTTTTGTTTGCAGATCTATAAATTTAAAATTTTTCTTTATTGTCGAAGATTATGCAAATTTAAACTTAAGCAATTTAAACTTATATTATGAAATTAAGAAAAAAAAATCTACACAGTTTTACTCAATGCATGTAGGCTTTTTTTATAAACACGAAGTGCATCTATTATTATAAATTCATTACACATATATTTATAACAATAAAAATATCTTGCAGAAAGATATTGTTTCTAGTTAGGTTTGTCGCAGAAAGCCAGAAAAAATTCTGCCACAGGGAACATGAGTTAAGAATTGTATACTTTGGTATTTATGAATCACATGCAACTAGTATTCTTGATTAATATGGGATAATGTATATGTAAATACATATATGTATGTAACACAATAAAGACAAAAAGTATAAAAGAAAAGAGAGGTTAATGAAGAAAATTGTAAGTTTTATTATTGTAATATAATATTGTACTCACAATATCGTATTGATAAAATTTTGCTTTGGCTATATTAATACAATATTAGAAATCACTCTTTTTTTACAGTTGTGAGCTGATGAAGAGATTATATCTTTTTCTTATTTGTTTTTCAGCTTTTATATTTTTTTCTTAAATTTTTAAAAACGTTTTTCATTTCTTTTAAAAAATCTTTATATTTTTTATACTTATTTCTTTATATTTTTAAATTGATTTGAATAATTTCTTTGCATATTTTTTAAACCAAATGATTAAGCGTTGGTTACTTTATTTGGAATGAACAGTTCAGTGTGAACGTTTTAGTGAGCATTAAAATAATATTGGATTTTTAGAATAGCAAACGGCACATTATGCTTCCATTATTATACTGGGAGGGTCACTGTAAAATTATACTAAATAGTGTAGATTGTATATGTATGTCTGTGTATGTTTTGTTTGACATTAATGCATAAATAAAAGTGATATTTTTGTTTCATTTTAGCTATATAAAAAACTGGAGCAATGCAATCATGAACTAAAAAAATATAGTCACGTTAACAAAAAAGCATTGGACCAATTTATTAGTTTCTCAGAACAAAAGGAAAGATTTGGTCACCGCAAGGCTGAGCTTGACAGAGCTTACGAAGTATGTGTAACTCTTACAATGTGGAGTGTTTTGTAACTACTGCCTTTAATGGGCATATATATTGATAAAGATTATTTTATTTAAATTTAAGTCCTTTCATTTAGTACTTAATTAAATTGAAGTTAATTTCCTTTCACTTTTTATTAACAAAAGATTTTAATGATTTTAGCAGTATCTTTGCTGGTATTGACCTAGATAATAATTATTCAGATTTTGATGATAATTCTCTTCATATCTTAAATCTGGGGTGACCTATTTGCAGACCTGCATAATATACTCAAACACGGTTTGAGGAAAATTTGTTATCGCTGAAATTTTTTTACTGTTACTAAAGAAGAAAAATCCACCTTTACAAAGAATGTTAGTCTTTTTTTAATTCTTGAGGAGGGGGGGAAATTAATTTTTACGGATTTTTTCTTACAAATGCAAAGAGATTTAAAATCACATTTACATGAGTTAAAACCACACATCATGGTCCCTATTTACCCGATTTAAGATCGTTAATCATGTTTCCTATTTTCAGGATTTTATATAAAATAACACGTTTCGTATTACCGCGATTTAAAAGCCATTATCCTGTTCAAGTTACTAGGAAATTTTACTTTGCAATTCTTATTTACTCAATTTTAGAATGAAACATCAAGTGATTTCAACATTAAGTGACTGATAAGCATGCTTGTACTATCTTTTCAAACGCATTCAAACATCAAGTGACTGATAAGCATGTTTTGTCTGAAACAACAAACTTGCTTTGAATTTTTCATATATATTTTTGAATAACTTTTTAATGAAGTTTTTTTCTTCTTCCTTTTTTGTATCTTTTTATCTAGGTGAAAGCATTTTTAACATTTTAAGAGTGGAGACAAAAACAATAACATAACTTCAGAAAAGCCAGGGTAATCTTCCTGCAGGCTTCTGTAGCAACTTTCTGTTATTAACAGTACAAAACAAATGATTCCAATATCTAGTCTCCAAAATTTAAACCACTCTATTGATTAAATTATTGGGACCATATTTTCTAAATTGGGGCAACCTTTCACATTTTTAAGGTCGTAAATCAGTATCAATCTAAAGAAAAATATGTCCAGTATGTTTTTGCATTTAATTTTGTTACTTAAAAAAATATTTTCATCATTAATTAATTTCAGGTTAGGATGACAAACCACTAAAATTGAGTCTTAGTGCATAAAAATCGGATCATATGACCAAAAGTAATTCTGGGTGTTTCATTTTTTCCCCCACTGTATATTACATTTTTTTCTATTTCTAATTTTTTTAGAAAGAATAATTTTATTTATGATAAATTCCAGTCAATTCTGCACTTAATGGACCAGTTGGAGAAGAAAAAATTTTCAGATATTAAATCAACATTCAAGCAAGTCTCCCAATACTTTAGTGAGGTGTTTAAGAAGTTGGTACCACAGGGCCATGCCACACTCGTTATGAAAACTGATGAAGAAACAGGGGGACAAGTAAGTCTTTCTAGGACAATGTTTAATCTTTTTACACCTAGTATTGCTTCTTAAGCAATGCTAGGTCTTATATTAGCATTTGCTAAGGAGAATTTTTATTTTTAACTAACATGATGAAAGTACTCTTCTTATAACTATATTTTTCATAACATTTGCTACTAAAGCTTTTAAAGACATTGATGGTTAGCATAACATGAGTAGAAGGTGGATCTTTTTTAATTGTTGTGGAAAAATAATTTAAAAATATGATATTATATTTATGGAAATAATATTCAGAATTTAATGGGAAAACAATGGAATAGAAAGTTTTTAAAAAATCAGGTGTATCACAAACAGTAGTTAAATTTACGAAAACCAGTTTACATTTGCTAATTTTATGGAAACATTAAAAAGGCTCATTTTGCAACTATAGAATATCTGACCATAAAACATAAGTATGCTGAAAATTTTTCCCTAAATACTTTTACTCAAATATTCCAGTAAAAATGAAATTAATGTTCGGACATCGAATCAAACATGCTTTAGATTTCCCTGAAAACGTCCTTTCAAAACTTAGAAAACTTAGATTTCCCTTGTAGATATTCATTCTGATCAAACTTTTTAATGAACAAAATGCTCAAAAAGATATAGATTTAGTGTATGAATAATTTCAATAGACATCAGTGTTCTTGGATAGCTGACCTTATTTGTCTGGTTTAAACTTTGAAAAAGATACTTTTATTAAAAATGTGCCTGCTTCTCCCCCCAAACATATTTCAAAAATTTACTTAATATTTTCACTTAATATAATGATGTGATTATATGCTGTAATTTTAATTTATTTTGAAGCTTTGTGAAGAAGTAGTTCTGCACTTTTTAAACAAGAAGCAAATCTAGTGCTATTTTAAATAAAATACTTGATTAGAAGATATGACACCATTTTCAGAAATTTCAAATGTTGAACAGAGCTTGCATAAATTAAAATAGGATTAGAATATGTTTAGACCATTTATTAAGACAAATCAGAATTGGACTGAATTATGTGTGGAACAAATTGCAGGCTGATTGAAATATTTTCAAAGCACAAATACGACGGTTTGAAATGATATGGAATTGTGTTTGAAGCATAATTTAAACAAATTTGAATAATATTAAAATATCTTTAAAGTAGTCCGATTATTATGTAAGCCTATTTTTGGTAGTTTTGCACTTGCTCTCTACCTTAGCCAAAATGAATAACAATTCCTCCTCCCATGCTTACTGCCATTAGTTATTACCCTGACAGTGTTTGTTTTGACTTTGACTGTATTAATCTAATTTTGGGACTTTTAATAAAGGATGCAACTTTCCATTAAACAAAATTTACTTAAAAATTGAGTAGAATATTCTTTTGAAATCTTTTGTGTTTAAATTTATTGACCTCGAAAACTCTTAGAATCAATTTCTTTCTTTCCCCCATTTCAATTTTTCCACACGAAAATTTTTTGTTTACATTTTTTATTTTGTTTTCTGCAAATCAGGGGATTTTAATGTCTTACTAAGCATTGCTCATATTCCTTCTTGACCCTGTCAGCAAAAATAAGCAGTCCACAATTCCCTACTCCTGTTAAATGCATACATAATATTTGAACAGTCCTTTTGAAGCAGATAAGCTGGATTGTACCAACACATCACATCATTGTTTTGAAATTTTTCTTTAGATATTGATGCAATAGGAGGATCTTTCAGAAACTAAGTTTCCCACTGCCTATAAAAAGAAATATGCATAGATTTTCTGAAAATGTATGGCGAACCTCATAATATCCACTGTAATGGTAAAACAGTAACACTTATAATAATATGGGATAAGTTTTTATAAAGTATAATAAAAGTCTGCTGTCTGCACTGTCACAGGAGTTTACATGGTGATGTCGATGAAGTTTCTCACTTCACCTAAGAAACCAAGTCAATACTTTGGTGTCACAGTGGAACTTTGTGTCTAACAAAATTCAGGCAGACTATATCTGCACAGAAATTGATAAGTGTGATCATCTAGAACAAAAAAGGCTTTTTTTTTTGTTTATTTCTTGCTAAGGGGTGCTTGAGGGAGCTATAAACATTACATTACTGGAGAACTTGCCATTCATGAGATGTTCAGTGCTGGTGTTGTGTTGCTCCACGACAATGCACTTCACAGAAAATCTTTCTGAATCTTTGCTGAGAGGTGTTAGACTCATTCTATTGACCTGATTTTGTGCCCAGTAACTTTACTAACTTGCACCTAAAGAAATGCCTGTAGGAGCATCAATTTCCGACAGATAAAGATGTCCAAACCAACTACATTGGCAAATGGAAGACTTCCATGAAACTGGACTAGAAAAACTTATCCCGCTATAGGACAAGAATTACAATTCTGAGTAGCTGAAATATTGCTGTATTTTTTTAAATGAATGTTTCCAAGTTTCCTATTGACCATAATAAGAAATAAAACGTAATAACATTTTGTTCTTTTTATGGTTCATAGGAAACTTATCTTTCCACATGGTCTTCCTGAAAAATATTCTGAAGAAAAAATAGAATACAGATATTTAATAAAATAAACATCAACTTGTAAATAAAATTATATTCTAAGGTAGTAAATTTAATGAAGAAATGATTTTAATAAAAAATTAATTTGTTAAACACAAGCTTACGCTAGTGTATTGATAATTTTCGTCTTTAATGTAATAAATTGTCAGAAAAGTAATGCTACTCTGATTTTAAATAGAACTATGTAATTCATTATCTGAGAAATTTTTTAACAGTTCTTAATTTGTAGCAGTTTTTCTACTCTATCAGTTATTTATTCATCTAGAAACAAACATGGTTAATTCCGCAATAAGTTATACTTAGGTATTCAAACAGATATGCAAACAGTGACGAGCAAGTTAGGTTGAGATATTCCTTTTATATTATTTGTAATTTAATAATGATTATACAAATTATAAGTATTATTATTAAATTTAATTCATTTTTAGGCAAATGCTACTTCTATTGATCAGTTTATAGGAGTTGGAATAAGGGTAAGATAAATGAATTAATTTATATATTTAAATAAATACTATGTTTCATTTCATTTGATTTGTTTCCGTAATTCTATTTTATACTTTTATTTTTCTATACACTAGCTGAATGCCCTTTCTGCTTACGGTGTGTAAAAAAAGTAAACAATAAAAACATTGGTACTGAACAACTCAGCGAAGTCACATGCAAAACTGAAACACATAATACAACACAATTCATAATGTTAAAATAATTCAAATTTTTTTATTTATTATTTTTTCCTTGCTTTACATTATTAGATTAAACAAAGCATGGTTTTAGCAGTTTATTTTGTCAAAATAAAGATTAACTCTATTCAGTATCATGATGCAGTTGTTTGAGGCCAACTTATAATAGTCAAAATTTACCACATTCAAGTGATTTTCGCTGGCATTTATCTCTTTCAAAGGCATGTAAAAAGCTTTTTTCTCAGTATCTATACTAAAACTGCACTATTTGATGCAGTTTTAATAGGTATCAAATTATACCTATATTAGTATATTGGTACCTACTTAAACTGCACTAATTACCATAATACTGAAATTTATTTATTACAAATATCAATTAAACAAAATTATCTATAATAATACAGTAGTTTTTTATGTTTCTCTTAAACAAATTTCTCCATTAATTTTGCTTTTTTGTACATAGCTTTTTTTTTACTTTAAGTATTTACTCTAATCAAAATTAACTAAGCATCATTGGTGTGGCAATTTTTTACTGTTCCCCTAAACGAATAAGTATCTTTTCTCCATTAACGTTTCATTGTAGTACATAGATTATTTTATTTATTTCAATTGGAATCTATTACCAATATTCATTAAGTATATTTGACATCAATAATACCTTCATGACTTTTTGCACTTCTCCTTAACTAATTAGCACAATTTTTCTATTAATTTCACTTTTCAGAACATAATTTATTTATTTTTTATTTCAAATACTGTTGATTTGAATTTTAGTTTTATGTAAATACCTTTTTATGGCATAATTTTAAACAAAATAAATATGTGGTTTCAGATAACTTTATAAATATTTATTTGGTAACCTAATCTGCTTTTGCTACCCGCTCTCATTGATCATTGAATTTATCAGTCATAACAAATAAAAATTAATTAAATATTATAGAGCATGCAATAAACTTCTTTTTTTTTATTAATGTAGCAAGTCTGTAAGTTAGCAAGCAACCTTGATGTCATTTTTAAAATAAGGTTGAAACTTGCTAACTTGAACTTTAGTTTCCTGAATTTTGCAATGACTTGAGAAAAAAATTCCCTTTAAATTACCTATACACTCAATGCTAAAAACCCCTTGAAAAGTTTTTTCCCCCTTATTAACTTGAGTTTGTTTTTGACAAATACAATAATTAAATCAATAAATATTTTTCACAAATAGAAATTTTTAAAAAATGGAATAACTATTCACTAATTTGCAAACAAAACCTTACATAAGTATGATCTTTTTTATTGTTATTTTTATTGCCAAATTTTTATTGATCCCCAAAAGGGGGAGTCAAAGACTCTTGTTTGTTGTTTCTTTATCAGTCTTCAGATAACTACAATAGATATTTCTAATGATTTTTATTCTGGGAGGTTGTAAAGGGGCTGTCATGGCTTTAACGAAATAGATAATGAAGACATGGACAGGTATGAAACGGGTGAGCATGAATGGACTGGCTGAAAGGAATTCTTCCATGGTGTCTTTAAAAATGTAGAATTTCTTATGATCCTAACTATTGCAACAAGAGATGACAAATACATCTGCGCCATTTCCCATTCTAGCTATCTTGTACGACCCTTGAAAAAATTTGAAATCATCTTTATATCAAATTAAGATTTTGAGAAATTGTGCTCTTTAGCGAGTCATCTGTTTAAAATGCCTAACAAATGAAAATTAAATATGCTTAATATTGAAGAAGCAAATTATTGATGAGTTGGGGAAAGGTTTGAGAAAGAAAGTGGAAATTGCAAAAGAGTGTGGGATTATGAGTAGCATATTATCTGCAATTCTAAAAAAAAAATAAATAGAGCAATTTTTCTTGAGAAGTTAAATGGTGGTTTAGGTTATCATAGAAAGCAGAATTTCCAGAAATGAAAAATTATCTAATAAGGTTGTTTGCGCAATGTAGAACTCAAACTATTCTCATCAATGAACTTGTAATTGAAGGAAAAGCTGATTCTTTTGAAGAAAAAAAAAATTAGGTTATTTAAATTTCAAAGGTATTGATAGTTAGTTGAAAACATTACATTTCAGAACAAATAATTCTGATTTAACAAAATTACATTTTTGAAGGTATGTGGTGAAAGTGTTAGCATTAATGAGAAAGTTAGTGCAGAATTTAGAAAAACAGCAAGCTTAATGCTAAAAGATAACGATGAGAAAGATTTGTTTAATGCTGATGAAACTGGATTATTTTTTATATCCATTATTGGCAAAACCATGCATATAAAAGATGCATGTCATAGAAAAAGAAAAGGAGTAAGAAGCGATTAACTTTGTTGTTTTGTGCAACTATCAATGGAACTGTAAAGGTAAAACTGTTATTTATATTGAAATCTACAAGACCAGCTTTAAGAAATTTGTAGAAAATCAGCCAAATATGTGAGACCACATTCAAAACTCCTGATCCTTTAGAAAGTGTAATTGATGAAATATCTTATTCTCCTTTTAAGCAACCAATAATGGAAACTTTTTTAGATATAATTATTTTTAAATAACGTTTGTATTAATGAAAATTACATAAATTTTCAATGCTAGTGCAGGTGTTGAGTAGATGCCCCCTCTCTAAAATTGCACAACCTTGATGGGCATGGTGAGCAAAATATTAAAATAATATATATATCCCTAAAAAACTTACATAAAATTTTAACTTACGAGGATGAAACAAAATTTAGCAATTTTTTTACTTTAATTCTAATGCCTATATTGACAATTTGTGTATCGAAGAATTAATAACTATTACAAGTAAAGATTATGATTTTGAACTATGATAATTAAAAAATATTTTGATTTATTATAAAGCTTAACTTGAATCAAAATTTCGTAAGGTAAAGGCTTGGTTTACCTCTGCTTTATCATGGGCTCAACTTTTTTGACACTTTGATATACTCTAAAACTTCTCTTTTTTAGGTATCATTCACTGGTAGATCGGGTGAAATGAAAGAAATGCAACAGCTGTCTGGTGGACAGAAATCTTTGGTCGCTCTTGCCTTAATATTTGCTATTCAAAAATGTGATCCAGCTCCATTTTATCTTTTTGATGAAATTGATCAAGCACTTGATGCTATGTACCGGAAGGGGGTTTCAGGTTAGTTTTTTTTTCACTAGTACTTTCTAATGCAAGGATGCAATTAATTAAATTTTCCATAATTTCACTAAATCTTAGTTCTAACAAAGGAAGGAAAAGGAAGATATGGACGATTGTGCAAGGGCTCGGTTGAAACTCTTTACAAAAACGTTATGTTTTTAAATTTATTGTTTTATTAAAGAAGCCAACAAAAAATTGTTTTGGTACATTTAAAGTATTTTACAATTTTTTTCTCGCAATGAAGCTTACTACAACTCTAATAATAAAAGCCAATAAACATTAAATTTTTAGATGCATTATAAAAATATGCAGGAATAAAACAGTTTGAATCTGTAAACTAACTATATTTATGAAAAGTAATATTTTTTAAATCAAAAAGGTAAAATACTTTTTTCAGATAACTTTTAAAATACATGAAAGTTACACTTTTTGTGTCTTAACGAACAACTCCGGAATAAATTTTGACTCACAGAATCTGTGTTTGGTCCCAGCTTCAACTATGGATATATTTTGAAAAGTGCTTAATTTTTTTAAAACAATTTCTTGTTTTCTGGTACCTTATTTTGGTAACATTTTTCTTATTTTTAGTAGCATTTATTTTAAGTAGTTTATTGCAATTTAAAAATAAACTATGATATTTTCGTGTAATGAAATTCAAAGTATACATGCCAGGGCTCGAAAAATTTCAGAAATTTTACCCGTCCCCGAGGACGACTTGTCCAACAATGTACCCATCCTCCTTTGAAACTAACCCGTAGCTTCTAAATAAATAAAAATATAATTTTCTCTTATTTATTACAAGCATCTATATAAATTGCACAATGAATTAGTAGTTACTAGGATTACAAATACTAGGATTACATTATACAGTAATAAACGAAATACTAGGTTAATAATAGTTACCTAGTATTTCTTTTATGAAATAATTTCTTTCTTTTATGAAATAATTTAAATAAACAAAGGTCAAGTTACCTAGAATATCAATTTATCCGAGAGTACTGCTTTTTTTAAATGAATAAAATATGATGTTTGCCAATTCCACAATCAAGCCAATGATTTAGGTTTCTGCATAGAAATCTGAAAGGGTTTTTCCATTAACATGATCAGAGGAATTGTCAGGCGGTAAGTGATCAGAGGAATTGTTAATTCCCTCGTTAGAAGTCTAAATGCACATGCACAGAGCAACTTTTCTTTTGTTTATCGATTACATGAGCATGCTCATTAGGTCTAACAAAGGAATTAAAGGTATTTCTAGATTAGAGGGTCATTTTAGAAGTGAATCTCTAGACCATAGATTCTCAACCTTTTTAACGTTGCCGTCCCCCTAAGAAGCAAAAAAAATTTCAACACCCCCCTTTGTAAAAATTTAGTTATTTTAAGCAAAGGGGTGGAGGGGAGGTGCTGAATTATAAGAGGCAACATTTTTAAGCAATTTTTTAGGAGTAAAATTTGCTTCGTTCTTTTAAAAAAAATAATGTGCACATTAACTCGATATTTTTCTTCCGGCAGATAATCGCATTCTATTTGTTGTAAACAAAATAAATACAGTATTGAAAAAAATACAACAAAGAAGTCTATAGTTGAAAAGAGTAATTTATTCTTAATTAGATAATAAAAAAACACACAAAAATAATTTTTTTACTCTAAAAATTATTATCAACGAAACAATCAAATAGCCATGTTAGTGGAATGATTGTGTTTGATGGTTCAGAGCTAGTTTCTTAACATTCGGTTCAATATTTTTAGTTAGATAAAGACGCAAATCTTTTTGTGACTAGATCCGTCACAGCACTGAATCTTTGTTTGACAAGGTAGGAGGAAGGGAAGGCAACTTAAACNTATATATAAATTTTGGGGGGAAATATGAATAGATAGGAAGTTGAAGTAGGATCTATATTTCATTAAATTGTTTTTACATTTGAGAATATTTGAATAAATTGTTTTGGTCAAATATTGGTTTATTACAACCTACAGTACAGAACCCGTTATCCGGAAATCAGAAAACTGGAACAAAATTCGATACATTTTCTCGCCATTTTTAAAAAAAATTAATTTTTTTCCTCGTAAGATTTTAGGATTTTTTTTCTTTTTTGAAAGATGTTTACCTTATCATCATTTTGGAAATAATCATTAGTGTATTCCTTCATCGTTTTTTCTTCTTTTTAAGATTATTTCCAAAAATAAATTTTTTTTGTTGGGTTTAACAATAAACAAACGGCTTTTTGTAGCGATTCAAAAAACCGGAAAAATCAGTTATACGGAATAGCGATGGTCCCGATTGTTCCGGATAATCGGTTCCCTACTGTATTTTTAAACATAATTTAGTATAAAAAACATCTGTGCTCATATTATTTTAATAAAACAAGTGGGAGTTGTTATGAACCATTCATGTAAGTAAGAAAGCTTTAGTATGTAAGCAAGTGTTAAAGAATTTTATTGTACCAAATTGTCTTTGGTATGGACATGGAATGAATATTGTTTACCCCTATTAGGTGAGTCACATAGAAGCTGTCACCCAAGAGGAAGCGAGAGATTTTGTAGAGGATGACACGCCACACAGCTGAAGAAGTCTTTTTCAAGTGATGAGCCCAATTCTGAAGGAGGAAGTTTCATATCATAATTTTGTATATTTATCTTCTCTCATTGTTTTTCTTAGACGCATTGAACTATATGGTTCACACTTTTCTAAAAATTTTGTACATGGAAAATTTTTATTTTTAAAGCTAGGCTTGGACACTGTGTTGAGATCTTAGAGTGTATATAAGGTAATAAAGAGGATGTATTACTGTTAGAAATAAGAGAGAGTCCTGTTGAAGAGCATGTAAACATGTGATGTATGAAAAATAGATAGTATTGGTGGTTGATATAACTGTAGGGTGGAGAAGGGACTTGTACTGATTTGTTGTAAAAGCTAATTATGAATCACAAAATTACATTCTAAAAAAATTAAATACAGTAAAACCTTAATCATCTAAATAACGGTCCAGTTCGTTTATAGTGAGCAAAGGATAATTGCGAAAATCTCGTGATTAAATCAGGAAGTTAGATAAACTCTAAGTTGTTGGAAATTCCGAACAAAAATAAAAGCTTTTAGATACAGAGGAGAAAGTAATATAAGGACATTTAATAAATAATTTCTGAAATACAAAATATAATTGTCATGGCCCTAGCCACATGCTTTCCTCGATGGAACTAACCTGCATTTGCGTTACATGACGAGGAAAACCACCCACGGTTAGCCCGATGACAAGGGGACTCTAACCCATAATCTGTCTGCCATTGAGGATGTTTTACTTCAGCACTGTGGTCGGTGCAAGTCGAGTGCGGAATTCCCATCGACCAGCCATCGCATGGATTCAAACCCTGTTCACCTCATTGGAAAGCGAACGCTCAATCTCCTGAGCCACTACAGCTCCGTGCTACTCTTTTAAAATCTTTGTAGCTTGAGAGACTCCTGTCCAAACAATTAACCTTCATTCTTGTAGATTAATTGAATAAAATACATATAATACCAATCATGAACATAGCATTCTCATTCTATGCACTGATAATACAAATCTAAAAAACCCTCTATTCGTTTTGCCTATCAAGGGAAATTTTTATGCCACTTTCCAACTATTGCCCCCTTCTTCTAAGAGAACTGCACGTTTTTCCATTATAGAAGATGGTTGTTGCTAAAATGAATACAAAAAAGTTGGGGGCAGTTCTTACAGGAAATTCATCTGGTCAGGAACACACACAGAGTCAGAAACAGGATGTAGAACATATTCAATAGTTTTCAAAGTAATGTCTTCTATTCAGAAAGGAATCAAATTTAGAACTGAAGCAGTAAGAGCTACTTGTTAAAGCAAATTTTACTTGCTTTCTCAATAACAGTAACTATTTCTTCTTCATCTGTTTCCCTGCTGTAGTCGGGCAGCTAAACTGTAGTAGTTTAATTCTTACCATGACATAGGATGGAACCAATAATGTTAGTCTTTGTTTCTTGCCTGCATGTATTTTTTTACTTTTTAACTAAATGAAATTTTGGGGTTATTTTTAAAAGAAAGACATTTCTTGAGACAGTCAAATGATTTAAATATTTTTTTCTTTCTTTTATCCGATCGAAAACATTTTTTTTAATGTTAAAAGCAAAACATTATTCCTGAAAGGTCATGACCAACCAAACCTACAAAGGAATAGACTGGATATATGCATGTAGTTCACAAGACCAGAATCTTACATTGAAATGCTTGAGAAAAGGTATAACGTTAACAAAACTAGTTTCAATTTTGACAAAGAGAAAAACTTACTTTTATTGAATCTATTAATTGCTACTGGAACCAAGAAAAATAACTTTTTGTTAGTTTATTGTTCATTATGAATGACCATAATTATCTGAAGACCAATATATGAAATTCTTGGATAAGAAAGGTCTACTCTTGTGTCTCAACAAAGAAAAAGAAAACCCTTCAAAATAAATTTTAGCAGATGTATTCATGCGAAAAAGACTTGGTTCATTGAGGTTTTACTGTATAATCAGTTCAACTTGAGAAATATATTTTTGTGTGCAATACAATTTTTTTTCTTGGAGAAAGTCCAGAAATGAGGCCCCTTATTGTTAAAAATTGTAACAACATAGGAGAGTTTTTATCTTAAAAATGTTGAGAGAAAAAATTATTTCATTATATTTGTTATTTAGTTGGTGTAAGAAAACAAATGAACTGAATTAATAAAACTAAAATAAATAATCTAATTTATTTCATTGAAAATATCAGACATTAATGTTAGAAATGTTGACATTTTAGATTTCAAATNTATATATATATATATATATATATATATATGTATGTATATTGGTGAATATGTCAACTTTTTAGAGCACTAAAATTTTATGAAAGTCAAGGGATTGAGTATTCATGTCATTTAAGAATCTCACATTTGTTTATTAATGTTTCTTATATCACATTTTTATAAAAATCTTTTATTTTTCAAAATCAGCGTGCATCATGCGTTTTATGTAATCTAATTGTATTATTCA